ACTCTATTGAATTTCGTGGACCCTGTTACAATTCCATTTTTATTTTTGAAAATCTGCTCCTAGATTTGTTGAAATCATTCTGCAGCTATTGATGGTGAGGCGTAAGAACATATACGGGGTGATTCATAATGCAGTATACAGTTTCAACGAACTATAAAAAAAGAAGACTATAATATATCTTATGTTATCTGTAACAGAATTGTAGGGGAATGTTTAAAGTTTCTTTTAGAAACAGTCACAGATACATTTTCTGCTTGGAGGTCGTCCCCCCCCTGAATCGTGATCAAAAATGCCATTGCACAACACTTACAGATTCCGTTCTGCTTAATTCAAGAACACAACACGCCTTCTCCACTGCAGATGCAGCCATTTTGCCTGACTAGCCTACGTCAGTTTCTGACCAAACTGCGGGAGGCAGTGGAAGACAGGAGTGCCTGGCGTGCTCTGGTCCATGGGGTCATGAAGAGTCGGACACGACTAAATGACTAAACAACAACAAGCCTACGTCACTTCCCTCAGTAGCAGAACACAAACTTTATAAGTACATCTACCTCACGGTTCGCAGTTGTGGTCCGTGTTGTCGCCTGTTACTGTTTTACAGCATCTGGAAACTATACTTCATTATGAATCACCCTGTATTAAGCCAAGGTTTTGAAGTCAGTGTCTCTCTCCTTTCGTAGGAACACGCTTAAGAACTGTGTTCAGTTCCTGAGGTCCTCCTCACTGTCCTTTTGCCAACAAAGTATGGCGGTTAGGGACAAGAGAGTGGCCCCTTTTCGGAAGTGACTCCATCCTAAATTATAGAATAGCCTCCCAACAGAGGTTCATCTAGCCCTTTGTGTCTTGCTTTCTAATGGACTTGTAAGTCTTTTTAATTTCAGCTTCCTGCTTACCCACAGTAGCCAGCTTCTGGGAAGCGCACACAGCACCATATGAAGCCCCACCCTGAGAAACTGGTATACAATCTCAGAAGCGAAAGGATCACTTCGATTATCATGGCTAATACTCACTGATAGATGCCCTGCTTTTCGAAAGCTGCTCTCTTGCTAAACAGAGAAGTTCTGGATCAATGTTGTGCCTCCTTGAAAAACATAGAACAGTTGTTTGATTGCTCTTGAACAATCACTATTCCCTGCAAACACCGCCCCCCCCCCAAAAAAAAATACAGGGAAGGGAAGTTGGTAGAAGAGACACCAGTTAGTTAAGGAAGATGTATTTTCAAATACAGTATTGAGTAATTCATGCAAATTATTAATGTGTTTATGAAGAAAGGTGCTAACAGATGCAAATTAGCTGTGTTTCTAATAGCGTGTAGAGAGATCTTTAGGCTCATTCTTTCAAGAAGGTTAGTAATGCAGAGGACGATGCAATCACCTCTGGTCAAATGGGCAAGGCTAAATTTTGAAACGACTGGAAGACTTCAAGACTTCACTAACACTCTTCCCAGGAAATCATGGTCAAAAAGACATTGATGTGTCAAATCCAATATATATGAAAGACTGCCCTCTTGTGGTCTCAGATATAATGACTGCTGTTCCTGAGCAGAATCTTACAAGTTTTCCAACGTTTGGAAACCGTTGCCTGTTGATAAATTGGAACAACTGTAGGAATGAGCATTGGCAGTCACAAGCCATGCCACTGTCATGTGTTGGTAAAAGAGCGGCAGCTTTCATGCATCACAAATCAGCCCAGAGGCAAACCACATTGAGCAGATTTTGTGATGCATGGAAACATCTGTTGTTTGCAGTTTGGATGGGCTGCACAGGAAGAGAGTAAGCAAGAAGAGAGAGACACCCTTGTGTGATTTAGAATACAATACTATACCTAAAATCAATCAGATGAGGGGGCTAATGGATTTGGTGAAATCCATATTTCGCTGGCCAAATACCAGATACAGTGGTACCTCGGGTTACATATGCTTCAGCTTACATACGCTTCAGGTTACAGACTCCGCTAACCCAGATATAGTACCTCGGGTTAAGAACTTTGCTTCAGGATGAGAACAGAAATCGTGCTCCGGTGGCACGGCAGCAGCGGGAGGCCCCATTAGCTAAAGTGGTGCTTCAGGTTAAGAACAGTTTCAGGTTAAGAATGGACCTCCAGAACGAATTAAGTTCTTAACCCGAGGTACCACTGTATTTACCACTGAATCGAAGGAAATGTCAATCTGCAGAAAACCCGATTGACATTCAGTGAAACCATTCAGTGGTTTCCCTGGGGGAAAGCAGCAGGACAAGTGGAAGTATGAATGAGTCCTGAAACATGCCAGCAGAATGGCTGAATTGGATTGGAGTTGTGGGCAGGACATATGTAGTCTAAGGGAGCAGCATTCCTTCCAGCCAGGGTAGCCACAGGCCTTCTAGGGCAGCTTCTGGTTTGGAAGCACAAAACAAAGCATGTAATTCTAATCGCAATATGGTAAGTGGTCCTGAAACTCCTAACAACTTGGCTGTCTGGCTGCCAACATTTGCTGTTTCAGGGCTGAAATCCAGCAGGTGAAGCATTTCCTGGCATGGAAATGAATTGATAAGAGGAACTTCACCTTGTAAACTTCTGCCTGCCAAGAGCAGGGCTATTAAGAGGAAATGAGCTCTTCAAAAAAACAAAACCACACTTGGCAGCCAGGAGACACATGACTGCATTGTATACATTTGGCTGAAGAAATTGCATTGCTAAACAGCTAGTGTCATATGAAGAAAATGGATGACTTTTCCTGTTTAAATGTTTGGAATCTTTTGGGTCTCATCAGTATTGTCCTCCCTCCCATCTCCTAGCTCTTTTTTGCCTGTGTGGTGACTTACATTTCCATGATTAATTCAAGTCATTTTTTTCCCTCTTGAAAAGCACTAAACTGGGAGGTTTAGGTGGTTAATTCTATGCAGTACCTTCAGAGATGCAACAGTGAGATCAGAAATACTTTATTGGAGGCAGTTTGGGGTACATTCATGATCACAGGGTGTCCCAAGGAAACAGTCCATTTCTGCAATGTTGTTGTGGTGGTTATGCAGGGAAGGCTACAGTTACTTTTTAAAAAGTTTTAAATTGTGCTTTAGGCTGCAGTTCTAAACACAGTTACAGTACTAGGAAGTAATTTCCACTGAACATAGTGGGGCTTATTTCAGGGTAAACATGTGTAGGGTTGAACTGTTAGGCATGGAGAATAGAAGAGATATAAAACATCCTCCTTGTTACCGGTTTTTAAAATTGTCACATTGTTAAACAATTAATTAAGGCTTCAATGAAATCTATGCAAAACCTAATGGTTGTTACTATTGTTGCATGGGAATTTAGTTTCAGATCTCTGCTTCTTCTTGTGAAAAATCATACCCCACATTTATTTTTTTGAAAATTTGTTTTGCTTTTTCTGCTTAGTTACATAAAGCCCTCTCCGCTCAAATATTTCTACCTTGTCCTTCTTCTATGGGCCTAACTATGGTGCAAAAAAGTTGGGACAGAAAAATAGCTGTGGGGCAAAGGGTTAAGCAGTCCCATCCCCTCTTCTGCTTAAAGCTTCAGGTTGCTTGGCGATAAGAAGCAGTTGGGGGAATTCACAAGTGCCTGCATGCAACATCTAGTTTGGCTGTGTAGTTAATGCTGTGGTGGTAAACCTGTGTCTGGACTGCACCACTTCACACAGCAAATGGGAGCTGATCTGACTGAAGACTCCTCCGCTAAATAAATAACTAAACCTCTGAATGTAAGTAAGTAAGTACCATGTCATGGTTTGTTGTACATTGCCCTGAGTGCCTTTGGAGGAAGGAGGGCCATCCATCTGTCTGTCATTTCATCCATCTTCTTCCCCACCTGCTCTAGTGAGCAGGAGCCCAGGCTGCAATCCCAAACAAGCTTCCAGCAAAGTAAATCCCAATGAACTAAGTAGCTTTGGACATTACAGCACTAAGATATTTAAGTGTGCTATGTTTCCAGTGGTGGTGCTACTGCACAAGATTTGAATTCATATCCCACTTGCCATTCACTCCCAAGTTCCCCTTTGGACCTTGAAAATGGAAGCATGAGCCACTTACCACTGTGGATGGCCGAGGGTGCTGTGATATTCAAAGCCATTTCTCAGTCCAGTTTATGGTAAATGTTGTGTGTGGTGAAGCCCTTACTTGTGTGGGATTCCACTTGGCCAGTGCCATGTTTTAATTGGATTGCTGGACCCCATACAGGACCCTGCAATGTGAATGCAGCATCCCTTGCACCATGGATCCCTAGCAGGCTCATGTAGGGGAAGGCATCTCAGTTTAGAGGTTATGCCAGCTACATAATACCCAATATATTTTTGTATGCCTAACATGTTGAAATTGGGCCTCTGAAGATCTCTGCAAAAATACTTTTTTGCTTTCCCTACACAATACTGTATACTTTTCGTGCTTGGATTTCAGGCAGGCAGAGTGGGCGATGCCCCGCTCCCTTACTTTTCGTGACACCCCGTTCCCGTTTTGAGGAGACCACAGGGAGAACTTATTTGGCCCCAAACTGGGAGACGTCGGGAGAGCAGCCTGTGGAATTAAATCGAGGGCCACCACTGGACAATTCTCTTTGATTTAAACACGGACCTCCTTTGCTTCTCTCCCCTGCCCCCCAGTTAACAAAATGCATGCATGCACAAGGAAGCTTCCTATGTGTTTTGGTGTCAAACCCCCACTTTTGCCTGTAAAAAAAAGTTCTCCAGGACCTATGGTTATTCTATAGGGTGGCAATGAATTCCTGAGGTTGATGACACGCTAAAATGGGTGTCGGCGGGAAGACGGAATCCTGACTTGGAATTCAATCCGCAAGGGAGCTTTATTTCCTTATTAGCCTTCTAAAACCCATTCGGAGCCAGGCCGGCTGGTCTCAGCCCCGTCCGCGCGCTCGGCCTCGCCCAGGGGTCTCTCGCGAGCGCGCAACCGGGCGAACGGCAGCGGCGACGTCCTCGCCCTTTTGTGCGGCAAACGGACAGCCATGCCTCTTGGTACGAGGGGGAGGAGAGGGCGGCATTTTTGCCCTCAGCGCGGCTGCCTACCTAGCGAGGGCAGCGGGTGCTTTATTCTGTGTCACGTTTAATGAAACCAACTTCGTTTGTTAGACTTTGGAGTCCTAATGAAAGACTTTATTTATATGTACACGCATCACGGTGTTTGCCCCAGTATCCTCCCCGCCATTAATGCCTTGAGTCGTGCTCGTCCGTTGCCAATAGCAACGAAGACTCCCCCCCCCACCTCACTCTCCCTGCCTCCGGTTAACATGGCGGCGTCCGGGCGCTGAAGCCGGCGCGCCGCTCCACCTGCCACTTTCCCTCTCTCTATGGTTACCGTGGAGGTCTGTGGGCGGGGAGTCCCGTGACGGGCCGCTCGGTGCGCGGTGACGGCGGCAGGCAGGCGGGCGGGCGAGGCGGACGGTGGAAGCGGCTGTGAGGAGGGGATGGCGGAGGAGCCTCCACGGTAAGGAAAGCTCGGGGGGCAAGAAGGCCTGAGGGCGGGGGGTGGCGTCTGTGGCAGTGGGGCGGCGGCGGCAGGGGGCAGCTAGGGGGCTGCAGCTGGAATGTGGAGGAAGGGGAGGGAAGTGGGAAGGGCGGCCGTCTTGTAGGGGTAAGGGCAGCCGGGAGGGAGGGAGGGAGGGAGGCGGGCGGCTCGAGCGGGGTATCGGGAGCTTGGGAAGGGAGGCGGGAGCCTTCGCTGGAGGGCGGGGTGGGGGAGGCGGAGGAATGCGGGAGGTCGGCGGGGGGGGGGGGGCTGTCGTTGGCAGCTGGGAAAGGGGAGGCGGCGGGAGGGAGGGCGAAGGGGACTCTGCGCAAAGGTGAGCGCGGTGGGGAAGGGAGCAAATGGGGCTCCGGATCGGGCAGGGGGCGCGTCTGTCGGGGGGGGGCGCACACGAACCCGCCTTTTCAAGGGGGAAAATGGATGGGGAGGGGAAGGTTGGGCTGCAGGGGAAGGAAGGAGAGCAGCTGAAAAGGGGGAGGTTCCGAAGGCAAGGCGTGCGTGGAGAAAGGGGGCGATGGGTGCCAAGGGGGGAGAAGGAGGAGGAGGAGGAGGGGACGCAGTGGCAAGCCAAGGCCCCTCCTGCCTCCCTCCCAAGCAGGGGTGCCTGTTGTTGTTTGCACCTGTGCAATGGAAGCCCTTGTTTAGGGAGGCAGCCCCAGCCGGTGGTGGTGGTGGTGTTGGGGAAGGCTGCCGTGGCCCAGGGAGAAGGGCGAGGCTGCAAGGGGGACCCCTCCGGGTCGACCTCGGGCAGTGGGTGGAGTATGCAGGGGAAAGGGCTCGGGAGGTGGTTGGCGAAAGGGCGCGCGTGTGCCTGAGCCTGTGCGCGTGTGCGCCGCTGCTTTGCTGGCTGCTGCTGCTGCTGCTGCTGCTGCTGCAAGGGTGTAGGTGGAGCAGCCTCTGATCCAAGGCTTGTCTAGGGCTGCTGCTTGTGCTGCTGACAGGAGGCAGGGGTTTGGGCCTAAGAGGCCACAAGGCAGAAGGAGAAACGGCAGCAGCAGCAGAAGGTAGTCGCGAGAAGAAGCAGGAAGCCCCGAACACACAAAGCACTGACGCCCTTTTCCAGCAGGTATAGCCAGTGTCCTCAGATGGGTGAGAGTTGGATTATTTGCTCTAAGATAAAATGTCTGGTGTCAAGAGAAAGTGTGTATATACTGTGGAGGAGTGATGTCAATTACAGAAGCAGAGATGGGCAGCTTGTCTTTCACCAAGCATGAAGATCAAGGGGAAAAGTTGTTTCAGGGATTTTGACTGTAATCAGCACCACTGTTGTATTTCCATTTTTAACACTGGATGTTGATTCTGAAAAACCCTGCTTTCCTTTCTAAAGGACGTGTATGTAATTATTTTCCTATTTCATTGTGATTATATTTCAGTTTTCTGTATATGATTCTACTGTCTTTAATCATCCAGCTATCAAATTTAAAGGATTTGATTTTAGTGATTGCCATTTGATAAACACTAAAGTAGTTTGAAATCTGTTTCCATTTATTATGCTGAACAAATGTGTGTGTGTGTTCTAACTGTATAAATACAGTTTTATTTAATGCAGCATGAGATTTCAATGTTGGGTGTTTTGATTTTTTCAAGACTATTTTAAAAGATTTTAAAATGCATTTTTTTAAAAGACAAACTTTAACTCAGCATTTTTAATGCAACATTTCAAAATGTAGCTTAAACTGGTATGTAAAATCATTCATTTTTAGTAACTGCATATGAGCATGAAGAAATATGTTTTCACAGGCAAATAGCAATTATGGCTGAGTTTTAATTGTATATTGTAGCCTGCCTTTTGGAACTATAAAATTGCTCAAACATAAGTTAAAAGAGCATTTCCCACAATTGACGCAGATTCTTAGTCATTTTCAACAGAGGTTTTTTTAAAAAAGGATTGTAGCCTTAAGTTTAAAATGGGATTAAAAAATTAGGGGAAATACAATCAGCAATCATATGGGGGTGCGTCCTATTGAACCCAGTAGAATTGTGTAGGATTGCACTGTAAGGCATGCTTGGCATTCTTAGAAGTTACACAATATATGCAGTCATGCTTTAAGCATAAATACTTTCTTGATCTCTGGAGTTCCACCTAGTTCTTATCAATACATTTATTCTGTTTAGTGTCATATTTTAGATAAGCTGATTTTTCAGACTCCATTACTGTTGACATGGGTTTAAATATTTAGATTGTCTCAGTGATTTATCCCAAGAGCTCTTAGCAAGTAAGATTTCCCAATAGATGGCAGCTGGATTCATTTTAATTTGTGATAATCATCACATGTAAATTGGTTTGTTGAGCTTTGGAGTTTCTGTAGATGTAGCAAGTGAAATTAACAGGCCATGGTTATTTACATATGATTTGGGGAAGCAGCAGGTTTTTTTTTGGGGGGGGAGCTACTTTGTACTTGGAGCTCCAATTGCAATAGCTTTAAAATGTAGAAGCATGGCTGGAATTACATGAAAGTCTGCAGGCTCCCATGCTCCCAGTTGTTTATAGATGTAGAAAGTGATTTCCTTATCTGTGCTATGGATTATGATAGAAGTAAGGTTTGTAAACAGTGCTGTCACTGTGTGTAAGAGCTGCTGCTAGTTACAGTTTTTCCAGTGTTTGCAGATGTCATAGAGGGCAGGGAGAGGCTTGCACATATATTATCTTGATAGTTACAGTATACTATCATGCTGGTTCTTGTTTTAATTGAGTGAGATGGTCAAGTTTTCATTGCACAAGTGTATAATTTCTGCAACAGTTTCTGGGTATACTGATTTATGGATGTGTTCATATTTTCTGTGTGCACTCCTTCAGTTTCATTTGATGATTCTTCTAGTGAGCTCATCCATGGCAACAGTTTCATTTTGACAGATATTAATTTTGTGAGGGAATAAATTCAATATGTGCGGTGGTATTTATTTGTTTTATTAAAACAGTAATATCTTGTCCACCAAGGGTGGCTTACAGCATATATAACATTACAGTTCCATAAAACAATATCAAAAAGAAACAGGATCAGCCGTCAAAAATTCATATACATTATCATGTTTCAGTTCTAAGAAATATGTCCAAGGACTGATATGGATAAACATTCTAGATTGGATCAAAATTAATAAAGGCTTTTGTAAAATAACTGTCATGAGAAGACAATTTTGCAAGAAGAATTTAAGAATTTAATTTTTGAATACTGTAAACACTGCAATATGCTGTGTAAGCATTGGACACAGATTAAAGGTTCAGGGCAGCTCATATATTATTTGCTGGTTTTGCCCAAGCTGTTTGTTGTAAAGTTGATCAGATAATTCTTTTCAGATGAAAGGCAATGGCAAATAGAGGTTTTCATTTATCTTCACCTATAGCTTTCATGGCTCACTGGTGTTCATTTATGTATCTTTCTCCATCAAAACTTGTTCCCTGCTACTTTTATTTCCTTCTGTTTTGATTAATGTATGAGAAGCCAAGCTTGTGCAAGTTTTTCCTCTGTCACGGCCATACAACGCCTTTGTGCAGTATGAATTTTGGTGCAACCCCATCCAGGATAGCCAACTGACTAATTTATTGGACACAGGAACCCCCCCCCCCCCACAGTGTCTCTATCTTGCCAGGGTTCAAGCTGATCTTGTTCTTCCTCAATTCATCCAGGCATTGGTCCAGGGACTGCACAGCATCTCCTGATTCAGATGTTATGGAGAAATAGGGCTGAGTGTCATCAGAATACTGATGGGACCTTGCCCCAGATCTCCTGGGGTCTCATCTAGATATTAAATGGCATTGGAAATAGTACCTTGTGGTAACCCATAACACAGCTGCCGGGGGCTACAAAGCACTCTGCTAATCCAGCTCTCTGGACTTGGCCCTGGAGGTAGGATTGAAATCACTGTAACACAGTGCCCCCAATTCCTGTTCCCCAGAGCAGGTCCAGGGGGATACCATGGTCAGTGGACAGATCACGAGGACAGATCACGAGGCAAGGTCAAACTTCCCTTGCTCTGCTCTTTGCAAAGGTTATCCATCAGGGAACCCATGGGCAGGCCTGAACCCAGATTGGAATGGTTCTAAATAACCTGTGTCATGCCCCACCACCATCCTCATCACCACCTTCTCCCCGAAAGGTGTGTTTTTCATTGGTAGTTCTAGTCTAAGAAATCTAGGAGTGCTGCACCACTGTTTTCTTTCAAGGCAGGAACCCTCATGCAATGAAGTGTTTTTCATGCTCTGGACCCAACCAGTCAGACCACCTCTGCTAGATTTAATGAGCCAGGAGGGACAGGGGCCAAGAGGGCATGTGATTGGATATGTTGCCGCCAGTACCTTGCCCACATCAGCTGATTGCATAAGCTGAAACTGATTCCACTCAATTCTGGGACTGGGTACTTCAACTATTTAAACAGAATAAGGGACCAGAGAGGAAAAAGGAGAATAAAAGTTTGTGTGTATGAAGAAGTAGATTGTTGCCGACCAGGAGCCCTCGAGATGTTTTTGGTAGGGCTAATAGTCCAGAACATAGGGAGGGCATCAAGTTAGCAAAGGCTGACATGGAGGAATAAATGACAAACCCTCTTCAGTGTGTCAGGACCCAAACACTTGTCTCCGTGTTAGAATTGCTGTGGCTGATAGCTATATTATTATTTCTGTTTTAAAATTCCATTTTGTTGATATGGTAAGTGTCTATGAGTTGATAACATTGTTTCATTTACCTGCACAGCCTAGAGCTCATTTTCCATTAGACACACCTAAAGTACTCAATCTGGCTTCAAGCAGAAGTATTTTCCAGCATAACATTCTTTTCAGCGTAATATCATTGCTATGTGTTTTTCCAGTCATTATCTCATGAAGCAACTGTACTGACTTTAGGCAGTTCTGTGTTAATTGTGTAGACCTGATGTGAGGGACCGGATCTGGGGTGGGGGTGGGGGCACTTACCTGTCAGATCACTGTGAAAAGGGAGCGAATTTTATGTACATTTCTGATTCTTTCCTTTCTTCCTTTGGTCTCCCAAGATGGAACTCAAGATGGGCTGTAAAGGAAGTTGCCTTTACTTATGTTAGTTAACAGTCACATTATTTTTAAAGGCAGTGCCAAACATGATACAGTGGTACCTCAGGTTACATACGCTTCAGCTTACAGACTCCGCTAACCCAGAAATACTACCTCGGGTTAAGTACTTTGCTTCAGGACGAGAACAAAAACCGTGCTCCGGCGGCGCGACAGCAGCAGGAGGCCCCATTAGCTAAAGTGGTGCTTCAGGTTAAGAACAGTTTCAGGTTAAGTACGGACCTCCGGAACGAATTAAGTACTTAACCTGAGGTACCACTGTAATTGCTTTTATTATTATCATGTTGCTGTTGTTTTTTATAATGTGCTTTCCCCCTCAGATTGGCATTATCTCTGAAGACCATAGCCTTGTGAATATGTGTGTCCTTTCTGATGCTTGTGCAAATGACCAGTTGCCGTTTCCCAGCATACGTGTGTTCAGTGGGGTAGATGATATGCATGCAACTTGCACACTTTCATAAATGGAACTGGCTTCTATGTGGGAAGTTTGTGCAGTTTGAGGCAGCTAAGTCCATCTCCCTTCTAACCTCATGTGGATGTCAAGAGAGACCAAAAGAGAAGGGCGTGGCAGAAAGAGAAATGGGGGATGCCCTGCCCACTTTTGGCTCTGGCCACATCCACCGCTGTCCCTACCTCCACCAAACACCAGCATGCAACCCCTGACTACTTTGAGGGAATGCAGCCCTTGAGAGAAAAAGGATTTCCTACCCCTGCTATAAAGGAGCAATGCCTTTTACATGATGCAAGTAAATTTTGAAATATCTTCTGCATTTGTACTCTCATGACTTACGAAATATTGCTTGCTGCACAGCTGAGTTCATGCTTGCTGTCTGACTGTTGATGCTAAAATATACAGTATTATGTTTATGGAGATTTGCTCAGAGCTGGCAGTGTGCTTTATTAAAAGAGGATTGTGCAGGATGTTACTGCTAATAGGCAAGGTTGCTGACAGTTAGGGAGTACAGTTTCTCTTCCATATATTCCTAATCTATGGACTAGAAAGGATGGTTGATACCATCTGGAAGGATTAAATGAAATGACCTTTTTTGATAGTCCATGACCCTAATAACATTATTATCCACAGTGGCCATCAGTGTGAGTAGCTTCCACCAACCCTGCCCTCCCTTAATTGTGTTTTCTAAAAAGACAATAATATACAATTTGTTTCATACTTTAAGAGAGCTCAAACTGACTGGAAAGATCAATAATTATTGAAATAATTGGTGGTGGTAGTGGTGGTGTGTGTTACTGAAAAGATACAGAATTCTGTAAATTATGCTTAGATCTCTCTCTCCCCCTCTCATTTGTCCTCATTTAGCATGCTGATACTGATCAGTGATCAATCATATCTCTATTGAGGTAACATTCTTGGTGTAAAACAATATTCCCCTCTTCCTCTAGCAGCACAGTTCCTTCCAAATCCATGTGTCTTTAAATTGAGTGGTTAATACCAACTAGGTACTATTTTCTTTCCTTTTTTGTGTTAGCCTGTGCTATTGTCCATGCTGGCAATCTGTAGTCTCCACTGAACCCTTCCTCCCTTAATTGTATATATAAAAAAGCGGATGAAAACATGTAGTACACAGATTTAAATGCAAGGTGACGAAACTAGGCAAACTGCGATTAGGCACAGCTCAAAGTGATTTCAAAATTATTTTGCGATCTAGAAGTGAATATTCGTCACTGGTTTCTGCAATTCAGTATTTCTAAGACTGTTTAGGGTTTAGTAAAAATCCTGATCATGTGAAAAAATTGGTGTGTTTTTTCAATTTCTTTCAGAAATTATGATGGTTGTAAAACACAGAATTTATTCATGCTGAACAAGCTTAGTTTGGGAGCAGTGGAAGAAACTCATGCTTTCATAAGCAAAGAATTTGTCACTGATGACATGTCGTGAAGTTTCTTCTTTTGTTTACATGGCTATTTAAAGTTGGGCCAATCACTGAAATTGCTCCTCTTGAGAATGCAGCATTAATGTTAGTTGGACTTGTACCAGCTTGCTGTTTTAAACACAAGTCTGTTGTGCTATGCCCTTTGCAATGAATGCTTGCGGAGAAATTAAAAATAACTTTGAGACTGAAAGTACTTGAAGATACATTCAGGCGACTTAAAAACAAATTTATGCAATGAAAATCATCCTGATTTGGTGATGAGAGAGAGCTAAAGCCAATTTTAGAGAGCTTTCTCTCCAGATAACTTCTTTCATATTTAGACACAGGTTATCAGTGTTCTCTTTATTTCTGATGCAAGTCTTCACATGCTCGTGCAAAGGTAGACAGAAATGCACCACCCACAAGAATGAGGTATCAGGAGGCTCAGGATAACAGGAGTATAAAAACTTCAGGGAAATACCCCATGGTGGTTTCTCCTCTGCCCCGACCCCCCCCCCCCCCCAATGTGGCCACACATTGCTGACTAACATAGACTGGAAAAAACAGAAAACGGAGTGGGAGGATGATGGAATGGGGCCACTGGAAAAGGAAGCCTGAGGAAGAGGCACATAGAGATAAAAAGGGAAGAGAGAACCGTCTCATTATCTTGATATATTCTAGTTCACATGATGAATCTGTTTTAAGTGTCCCTAGGGACCGAAGTGAGAATCGCTGATAGGGATCCATGAATCTGAGCATGCTCAGTGGGCACAGAATGCTACCTTGAGTGAGGGTAGGGGTGGGGTGGGGAGATGAAATGAGTGGCTGCAACCTTGGTCAGAAGTGTTCTGCATTGCAACATTTTGTTGCAGAGCCCTGCTGGTAGCAATATCAAAAGACGTGCTTTTAGGAATGGTTCATGCATTTAAACGAAAGCTTGAATTCTTGGTATATAGAATCTCCTTAGATGGTACACTCTTGGAGGATATGTATTATGCAAGCATAATGATTCTGGAAAAATCTGGAGACCCCCCGTTCATAAACTGAGTACTGTCTAAGGCATGTCATGTTGAAAATCTCTTCCCTCAAAGTTGTCTCAGTCATTATTGTTACATATTCTGTCTATGGGGTTTGTCTGGCAATATAGCTCCAGCATTTATCTTAAAATATTTATATGCTTTCTGTCATGTAAAACATGAAAGTGGTGTACAATACAGTCAAGCACATGTATACAATATACTAAAAACAGCAACACAACGCAAGCAGTAGTGAGTCTTAAAATTATAGTGGCTGGCATTATGAACCATCAGATGCTGATCAAAAAAGAACATTTTCAGCATGTGCCTATGGTTCAACAAGGTCAAGGCATACTTTGTTTCAGGGGGAAGCTATTACATAGTAAGGCTGCCATCACAGAAGAGGTCCTCTTCTTGGCTTTTGCCAGCTGATGCCAGATGCAGTTGGTTACACCAGGAGGGTCTCTGATGATGACCACAGTAGCTGGACTGGTCAGTATTGCAGAAGGCATTCACATGAATAGCCCAGCCCAAAGTTGTTTAGGCTTTGTAGGTTAATACCTGGTCTGGTAGTAAATCAGCAGCCAGTGCAGTTCTATCATTCTGCATTATCTACAGCTTCCAGACCATACATCATGGTGTCTAGGAATAGCCATTGCTGATGTACTGGCCAAAGCTGTTTAAAGAAACTCCTTGCTCCAGCTGTTGGGGTTCCAATAGCAGTAAATGGCTCTAAGATGGGTGGCTAACTACTGATGCTCATTCTCCCTTCCAAGAGCAGTGCTAGAAACTGGGATAGAAAAGCTATTCACCACATGGTTGCTGCCTATGTAAATTGTGTGGCCAATGTGTGTGCCTGTAGAGGGAAGTTTTTGCAAGCAATCATTGATTCAATTCCTCAATACTTTAGAGTTTACTAAAGATTCCAGCATGGTGGTTAAAATGACTCTTACACCCTGCATACAATTTACACCCTTGGTACATAGGTTAGTTTTAGGGTCTATCAAAGTTACCACTTTTATTGCCTTTTTTGTGTGTGCTATGAATGAAGCTCTTATGACCAGAAAGGCGATAAAAGTGATAACTTTGATATTGAATGCTTAAAGCTCCAGTGATGTAATGGTGGGCTGTGTGTGTTGGTGTTCGGGAGACTTGTGAAACTACATCGTAGCTTCTCCCAGTTATTAATAATTAAAGCAATACAAGAAGTTTACTTTACAAACTAGGTTGATGTGCCTTGACACAGTGGGTGGCAAGGAAGCAGAAGCCAAAATGTATGGCATTGCATAAATTGGAGGGCAGCTACGTGTATACTGGAAGGTCTGCCACTACATGAACACTGGAAAAAGCGGTGAATCAAGTTTTGCAGGCTGCAAGATGAATTGGTATGAGGCAGCTGACATGTCTAATGGCTCAAGTCCCTCAGTATATATATGAACTCTTGCTGAAATAATAGATATCCACATGCCTCAAAACATTATTTTGGATGTCTGCTATTGTTTGTGTGAAAAATTCTCTTTAAGTACGTAGCAATCTGCTGCACTCAACACTTTCCTTACTCCTGCATATTGCAGCTCAGGTTATCTTGAAGGAACCAGTAAAAGTTTTTAGAACACATATTCTGGTGGTTTGGAGCCTGGTGAAATAAACAATATTCTCAGATATCATTTATACTAAATAGTGGAGGTAAGGCTGTCTGGTTCTAGCATGAAGTCAGACCGGCACTCCTGCCTACTTCTCTGTGGCATTGCTGCTTGCTCCTCTGCTTAGAAGTCATTTTGGCATTAAGGGGTGTGTGTGTGTGTACCTACCTACCTACATGTATTCATATGTGTCTATTTTGTGTGTGTATTAAATATAACACATCAGCTTCTGTACCCCTTCCTGTATCTTAATGTTGTACTGGAATGCAGTTGGGGATCGCCCTAGCTTTGTGTTGTATTTCCAATAATTCCTCCTAAAGGATAATAATAATAATAAAAATAATTTATTATTTATACCCCGCCCATCTGGCTGAGTTTCCCCAACCACTCTGGGCAGCTCCCAATCGAGTGTTAAAAACAATACAGCATTAAATATTAAAAATTTCCCTAAACAGGGCTGCCTTCAGATGTCTTTTAAAGATAAGATAGCTGCTTATTTCCTTGACACCTGATGGGAGGGCGTTCCACAGGGCGGGCACCACTACCGAGAAGGCCCTCGGCGCGGGATCTCAGTGTCCCGGCAGAACGATGGGGGTGGACACGCTCCTTCAGATAATTGAGCAACATTTGTATATTAAGTGTCACTAATGTTATAGTCCATACTGCTACCTCCTCCCATTCCGCACTTTCAAACATCCGTCTAGTTTTTATGGGGTGGAGGGAAAAGGAAGTTTCAGAAATATGTTGCCCTTCCTTTAGAACCCTGAAGGCGCTTTCAGGAGGTGAGGTACTGTTGTCTCCCATGGGCTGCTTTCCAGTACTGGTTTGGCCAGCCACTGTTGGGGTTAATTATGGTTGTGTGTGATATTATCTCCAGGTGTAACTCTTTGTTTTCTCTCATAGGAATGAATAGGATTCCCCCCCCCATTCCTATATGGAAAAGTACAGTTATACCTCGAGTTGAATGTGCTTTGGGTTGAGCGCGTTCGAGTTGCGCTCCGCGGCAACCTGGAAGTAACGGAGCGCGTTACTTCTGGGTTTCGCTGCTCGCGCATGCGCAGACGCTCAAAATGACGTCACGCACATGTGCGGAAGCGGCAAAACGTGACCCGCACACGCGCAGACGTGCCGTTGTGTCTTGCGTTTCGTTCGGGATGAGAACAGGGCTCCAGAACGGATCCCATTCGCATCCTGAGGTACCACTGTAAAGGCATGCACACCATTGAGGAGGGGGCTAAACTTGCTCTTGGCAATTCTAGTGCTTGGAGCAAGAAGCTGATTTTGCCCCCTCTAGAGTGAGTTTGTTAGGGGACTTCCGGGTTAGCGCCATTGGCGAATGGCAGAGTTCCTCCGACCGGAGGAACTGGCTCCGTGGAAACTGGGTCTTCCCGCCGCAGCGAAGGTGGGGACCCGCTAGAAATCCCAGGCGGAGGAAGCCTGGGAACGTGGGGTTTGGCAGGGCACCAGGAGCGCCCCCCCACTCAAGGGGAACCCCATTTCGGGGTTCCGGAGTGAAGTGGGGTGAGCGGCGCGGTGCTGCGAACTGATTGCTACTTTCACGGAGTGAAGCCGCATAGCCACTGCCGGAGAGCGCTGACTTTTTCCTGTGGACAATTGGATTTAAAACAAGTACCCGTGAGTAGAAACGGAAAATTGGATCAAGAAATATCTTAATTTGGCACCGAAGCGGGAAGGTTCAAAACAGGAAGTCCGCCTTCCGCTTTTTGTACATAGACTGAAGCAAAAACCTTGTAAGCTAAAGCCTGGAAAGTCGTTTAAAAAGTCTAAATTTCCTTCATTTATAACTACTGAAACCCCCTTGGAAGCAGGAGAAAAGGGGGGGGGACTTTGTTTAATGCCTGCAGGAGAGGGAGTGAAGAAAGATAAGTTTCCACCGTCTCTAGCCTGGGAATGGGGTGTCAGAGACAGAAATTGTTGGAGAGGTTTATTGACTGTGAATGGAATACTTTGACAGATAGCTAAAGAAGAGAAATAAACTAATTCCAATGTTGCCTTTTGCATTCTAAAGAAACAAAATATCTGAAAAATGAAAGTAAATTTCCTTTGTTGGACTTGCCTTAAAAAGATGGATACAAATAGAAATTGTCTCCTCTAGAGGGAGCTTGCTAAATTATTGCTGCAGTCTACTTGAGGACTCTACAGCTGTGAGATTAAGATCGTGGGACCAGTCCTTTTGACCTTGACTAAATATGAGCTGGGAGGAAGTTTTGGTGCTTGCTTTATGCAAGACAAGTGCTTTGTTGGAACAGATGCATGAAAAGGTGGATTTGATGAATGAGAAAATGGATTTGATGACTGTTGTGGTCAATAACTGTGGACAAACAGGGAATATTGATACAGAAACCACTCAGGGACCAAATCAGGAACCTGTATTGATTGGGCAAGTGCAGAAGATAATGGAGGAGGTTGCGGTTGCACCTCAAATAATACAAATGGAGAGACCCGAGGCCCTACAGGAGCATAAGCCGCTGTTTTTGAAGACTGAAGTTGGAGTGGGCCAGGGGGAGTCTGGAGCTGAGGAGGTTCTTAACTTTGGAGAGACTTTGAAATATGCTCCTAAATATTTTTTGGATTACATTGATGACTGGGGGGAGTGGGACTGTGGGGAATGGGCTGGTTTGATGAAGGGAGACGGAGATAATTTTGGGTTGGAACCTCCCAGAGACCTACTCCTCAATGAGAAAGGAAAGAAAATAAGAAAGAGACCAACCAAAGACAAGGAAAAGTGCAGGTATAAACAAGAAGAAGAAGATCTGCAGAAGGGACATGTAAGAGACTTAAGGGCCTCGGACATAAGACTACCAGGTTGATAGACTAGATGGAATGGACAGTAAGGACTGACATGACCCGAGACCAGGAAGAAGAGACGTTGGATGAAGATTGGAAGAAAATTTATAAAGAAAAATTTTTATCTAGGGAATTAGCCTAAAATTAATGAATATTAGGGGAAATGTTGGAATGAAACTATATGGCTCTAGTAGAAATGATATCAGGAGTTATGTATAATTGAGTATTAAGTTTCAAGCTCTAAGGTATTTTACGGTAAGATAAGGTTAAATAAATTAAGGTAATTTGAATAACAGAATATGGGGGAAAGATGGAAAGGATTTGTTGAGTTAATTAATAGGTTAAATTGTTAAGATAAATTATTTAATAAAAATTGAGAAAGATGGAAAGAATTTGCTGAAATAACTAATTAAACTAGAACACAAAAAGGGAGGTGTGAGGAGGTCAATGAAACAAGCAAATGGAAGTTAAAAATATGTAATATGGGATTTGTGTCTTTCTTCTTTTTTTATCTTTTTGCTGTATTGTTGTATTGGTTTTTATGTTTTGCTTTTTTTCTTCTTTTCTATGTACTGTAGTGTTGTTTTTTATTTTTTATTTTTTTCTGTAATTCTGAAACTATACATAAATATTATTTTTTTAAAAAATAGAGTGAGTTTGTTAGGAATTGGCACAATACTTTACCTCATATGTGAAATAATATACAGAAATATGGAAATAATAGTTATCAGTTTTATGTTTGCAGTTGCGATTGAGTTCTGCCTTGGGTGAGTGTACTTGATCTGAACAAATCTATTAGCATGAAGCCAAAAACAGAAACCGGAACCAAGAAGTTAAAAGCTCTTACTGCAAAGTAAGGGAAGCAAATTATAATTGCAGCAGATGGTATTTTTCAACCCACGCTAGCAATACACTATTTCACTATCGGTTTTTCTTTTGCTTTATCACAATCGGTCTAAACAAGCGCTGTCTGCTTTTTCTCACATAAGTCTAAATTAAAGTTTATTCTTTAATTTAAAAAAAGTTAACAGTGAACACAATGTTTCAAGGTAGATTTGGAGTACAGTAAACCTCAAATTCATAGCTTGGACAGTAAAAGTTTGTTTGAAGTGTAAATACTTGCAGATTCAAAGAGAAAAACCTTAACCGAGATATAATATTGCAGTTAAAAATTAATTCTGCAAATGATTTTACATTATTAACCTTATTGCCTGGGCTCTTTTGCCTGATCTATAAGTCATGCACAGCAGAATTTCTCCTTATTCCATGTGTGTGCACATGTGTGTTTTCACACGTGTGTTGGGAGATGTTTAAATGAGATGCTGGAAACTTTATGAAAACAATAGTCCATTAAAAAAACACGAATCAGCCAAATTTTCCATTTAAAAACATCAGGATCAGTTTCAGGTATTCTTATAATAAAATAATGTTATTACTTTCCCACATTTGTAATGATGTTTCATTTGGCCTCCAGTTGAGGTATGTTCCATCTTAGTTTTAGAACTGTTTGTTATCCTAATACATCTGATTTACGCTGTCCTTTTATGTGATAAGATTATTTATTTAAAATGGCCAACTTGTTTCCCAGAGGCCAAGATCCATCAAAGTCAGTTAGTCTAGATGATCCTAACTCGACAATTCTATGACCTCAGTCTAGAATATGTTCTTCTTTAGCATGTAATTCCAGTCAAGGTGCTGGTGGAGGAGAGTTCTTAGTATGGGATAAACTATCAAGGGAATTCTGCTGTGGTTTTGTTGGAATGGAATTGCTCTGGTTGAATTGGAAGTTGTTCTTTTAACCAGGAAAAGCATTCCTATTAGCACAATGTTTATCTTCTAAAATTATAGTGGGAACAGAGGAGAGAGTGCAAAGGTCTCCATGGCGATAAGCATCTCTGTTCACTTGGTGACGTAGCTATGTCTGTGCTAAGCTAGTTGTTTTCTGAGTTCTTAATGGATAATTGAGGTTGGGAGACATGGGTGCGGGTGCTGTGGACTGCATTTGCAAAATGTGGAATCAGGATTTTTGTGTGTGAGAGTTGGGGTTGGGGGAATGTTAGAAAGAAACATGAATTGTGATAGGAACATAATATGCGAAGCAGAAAGAAGAAGGTGTGTGTGTGTGTTGTTGTTGTTGTTGTTGTTGTTGTTGTTGTTTTGCAAGAGTTTGGCTTTAGAAGTTGTGAATGCTGCAGTTCCCACCTGGCATATACTTCAGTTGTGATGTTTTTGCACAAGGAGAAAGTTTGTGTTGCATAATCACGGTGAGGGGAGTCAGAAATTCTCAGTTCTAAGTTCAAATATGTTAGGAAAGCCATTATATTTGAGTTAGCCCTTCTGTCAGTGGTATGGGGATAATACTGAGCAGCAGTCCACACAGTTTTGCAGGACTTAGAAGCCAGACATTATTTACAATCACTGCTAACACTTTCTTTCCCCCTACCCTCACACTGGGCCCTCATTTTAACTGGTTTTGGAGAAGGCCAGGAACAGCACAGGTCTTCCTCAGTGCTTCTAGCTTTCCTGGCATGTCTTATGCAAAGTGAGACATGAGAGCCTGCGTTTTCCCCAAGTTCTCTGCATGCATGCATGTGAGGGTAGGTGTGGGCTGTGCTGCCTCTTGCTCCCAGAATAAACTGAGAGGGTTGGATCCAGACTAAGTTGAACTTAGTTCCAGTTGAAATGAACAGAACAATTATTACTATCGTTATTTATTACATTTCTATACCACCGTTCCTCTGAAGATCACATGGTGGTTCACAGCATAAAAACACAATAAATACATACCATAATAACAAACAAAAGCAATAACCCCCACCAACAATTTAAAAGACCATAGATTGTTAAACATGCCTCTTGTTGATTTCAATAGGAATTAAGTTCAAGTAATTTAGGATAGGCTGTATTCAATACAGCATTAGGTATATTGCTCCATCAGCACACATGTTTCTCCTGCCCAAACATTTTCTCCTTCTCCCTCCTCTGCACCCCTAAACCTGTTCTGGGGTTTTACCCAACCCTCTGGAGCAGATTTGGGGTATGTGCAGGGGCAGGAGAGAGGGGAATCCCATTGTGGCAAGTTATAATTCTTGTGCTAGCACAACTATTCAGTAGAATACTGCTCACTGTCTCCAGCCCAGTGCTTTCTGCTAGGCTTTGAGGGCTCTGTTTCTGCCTCTTGATGCTGTGGATGGTGCAATGTGATAGCCAGAATTAAATGTAACATCACTACTGGTGATCATATTTGTGGTCCTCTCATACTGACCTGTCTTACAGGTCTGCTGTGGGCATTATTGAAAACTTGTCTTAAGGCATTTTTGAATACTGAAAACTGCTGTCTAAATGTTGAATTACATTAAGGCTAGAACTTTGTTTAAGAGATTCTGCCTGTTGTTACAGGGTTACTTTGCACTCCCTCTGGAAATTCTTATTGCTGAGTGGAAAAGTTCATTGTATGCAGTTTTAACTTCCCTGGATTTGGAGCATCTGATGTAATAATCATGCTAGCAATGTTTAGCATTGAGTTATAATATGCATTTTGTGCTGGTCATGGACCAAAATACATTTCTGATTAGATATGAGTCTTATCTCATATTTTCCTAGAAAATACGTTGAGATAACAGAAAAGCAGTATTTTGCCAGAGTGTTTTTTAATCCCACCATGAAGATTTATAAATTCCAGATATACATTTATGAAAGAGAGAGTGCAAAAAATTGAAAATACCTATTAATGACCAAATAGGTATATATGTGTGTTTAATACAAATGGCATTGATCTGTTTAACAATAAACTGCTTGTGGCTTTGTAATAGTCAATATGTGCTTCCCTTCCTTTTTAATTTGAAAATATGGAGATCTAAAGCACTTTTATTCATGACACATAAAAACAGATCGGTATTAAATCTTGGCTTAATTTGTTTTCTGTGGGGAATTTTGGTAATTCACATGTATAAAGCACTTATACACTCTTGCAACTTAAATGTTCTGAAGACTATAGCATCTAACTAGCATATGGTGAGAGTCTGATTTCCAGCCCCCACCCCCCACAGTAGAAATGTCATTGAGTGCATGTGTTTAAAAACGTGATACATCATTTAAACAGACTTTGTAGAATCTGTTTGGAAAATACCTCCCCACTTCTCCCCTCTTGCAGGGATAAGATCTTCTGAAGCTGCTCAGTTTTTCATGAGATGATTTATTTATTTTTGTCACCTTTTGAGGCTGAAGGTGACACACCTCAGCTCAAATAGCAGATCAAAATAGAATATAAAAATACACTTGGAGATAAAACAGCAGTCCAAGCAAAAATAATAATAATGTAGGCTCTGTTCACAAAGAAGGTAGCAGCACCAAAGGCCAAATGAAGAGGATGTACCCCTTATTTTCATGTTCTAAGCTGCCTTGAGCATGGTTTGAACTGTGGGAAGGCGGCACACAAATGTATCTGAAACAATTCCGTTACAATTTATATTGCACTTGAGGTCCTTTGACTTCAGAATGCTGTTACAGTGATTCTTTCTCCTTCAATATGTTACATTTCATTCTGAGCGACGGTGCTTGACATTAGCAAGTATCACTGTTATGAAACTGGCCACACAAACACACACAGCATTTCTCTTCTCATATTCTACAGAGTTGGCAGCAGGGACAGTTGCTGTTAAGTCAGGGAGGCTGGAAGATCTGAGTTTGTGGGCAGCCTCCATATTATTACTATAAGAGTATTCATGGGGGTGCATGAATGATGTTACATCTCATTTGGCCTAAGGAAGAACTATTTTCTACCTGTATTCTAGTATTTGCCTCTTCCTGTCTGGATCTGTGCTGTCTTGCATTGGAATACAGAGATGTTGAACACTTTTAACCTGTTAAAAGATATGTATTGTTGTCTTAGAAGTTTCCTTATGAATTGGTGATTAAGAGTTCCTGGTTGTTGTTTTTTTGCTGACCATGCCTTGTGGTGTAAAACTGTGACCGTCTTTGTGGTCTTTGATGTGTCCTCTAGTAAAGTGATGTAATTAACTTTACGGAAGAGTCCCAGTACTCTTGTCAGTTGCAGCATAATTTATTTTTTAAAAAAAGTGATCCTGGGATTTTATATACCATCGTAATTAGCAATTGGTGTAGCTGTTTATCATTGTTGCTGTGCATCAGCTTTAAAAGTTTGCTTTTGCTATAAATATATTTTCATATTTAAATTGTATGCACATTTTTCTGCGAGAGCAAACATTCGTATTTATAGCCTATTTTATCAGCAAAGTTGCCAAAGCGCAGACTCTGCCGTATGTAAGTCTATGCTTGCAAATTGCTGATAGCACCAGAAATGCAGCGCTCCTGGTGTCACAGAAATTTCCAAAACATCTTTGTTGTTTTCTTCCTTGCCCACAGATTTTGGTTTGGGTAAGCCTCCCTTCCAATATACTTGGTAATTGGGTTAGGGAACATTGCTCCACTCTTAATCTACTATAGTGTGGTAGCTTGAGCATAATTAAAACAGGATTACAGTCCTTTTCATTCTTATGTTTACAGCTCTTCATCACAGATGTAGCCTGGGATTGTTCACCATTTGTCTTTTCCTCACCCATGTTCACATCTCTTAACATTTCCTCCCTTTCCTTGCAAGAGCAAGTGATCTGCAGCATAGGCTCTTCTTCCATTGCAGAGCTGTTTCACTCTTCACATTGCAGTCCTGTTTGCCCAGGCTGTGCTGCTGATTGTTGCAGTAAACACATACTGAGGAAGGAAGACATGTATATACCGTATTTTTCGCTCGATAACACGCACCTGACCATAACACGCACATAGTTTTCAGAGGAGGAAAACAAGAAAAAAAAAAATTCTGAATGAAACAGTGGATGTATCATTTTTGTGCTTCATGCTGTGGCCACAGACATGTGATTTGACGGTGAGTTTGGGGTAGCCCAATGCAAAGATCCTGAGAATCCATGTGGATCTGTGCTTTGTAACCACATTTTTGCACCATTGCAGCCCCAGGCAACAGTGGGTGCGTGATTTTTTTGGTGAGGCTGTAGCCATGGACATGCTATGTGATCTGATGGTGAATTTGGGGTGACCCAATGCAAAGATCCTGAGGATCCATGTGGATCCGTGCTTTGTAACCACGTTTTTGCACCATTGCAGCCCTGTTTTTGCATCAGATCATTGCTATGTGATCTGATGGTGAATTTGGGGTGACCCTATGCAAAGATCCTGAGGATCCATGTGGATCCGTGCTTTGTAACCATGTTTTTGCACCATTGCAGCCCTGTTTTTGCATCAGATCATTGCTACGTTTTAAGTGGGGAGGGAAGGAAAAACATAGAAGGGACAAGGAGCATCGAGAGGGGTGTGCGGAGAAGCAGCTGGCTAAGAATGCAGGAGAGGGGTTTTACCGGAGGGAGGAAAGGAAGGCAAAAGTTCCCCCCACGCACCCACCCAAGCCAGCCAGCTCTCTCGCTCTCTCCCCCACCTGCATGTTGCAGCACCGGAGCACAAGAGGAATTAGAAGGAAGGACACTCTGCTTTCCCCTCTGCTTGCCTGGAGGGGAGGGGTTTTCTCTGCCCTTTGAGCAAACACAGTAACAAACAGAAGCGGGTGGGCAGTAAGACCCTGAGGCAGAATGCAGGAAAGCAGCAGCTTCCTCTTTTCAAGGCTTCCCTTCTCCGGACGATTGATATTTGCCTGATTTTTGCCTTCACTCGCGCCTGTCGGCTCCAGGGACCACACATTCGCTCAATAACACGCACAGACATTTCCCCTTACTTTTTAGGAGAAAAAATCTGCGTGTTATAGAGGGAAAAATACGGTACATACACACACACACACACACACACACACACACACACGGGAGTTGCAAGTTGCCATAGTTCCCCTGGCACCAATCCACTGCATGAGTCCTTTCACAGTGTGGGCTGTATTCAGTGGTTGTGCAAATGGAAAGCTGCTTATGCAATCAATTTTCTTTTCCTCTCCTCCTCCCCTAAGACCAACTTCAGAGGTTTGGGGAGCCCTCCTGAACAGTGGCAGCTGTTTCGTATGCGTTGAAATGTGAAGGGGAAACCACCCAGATCAGGATAAAATAGATATCGTGGCCATTGGAGCATTATCCCCACACCCAATGGTGCTTTCCCCCTATCATTGCAGTCTTGTGCAACACAGTTCCACTGTTAATGAGGGTCACCAAACCACAGAAGCTGCCTTCTACTCATCAAATCACTGGATGGAAGGTTCCATGAGTGAGATTCAACATTGCAGCAGGACTTCCCTTGCTCTCTTCCTGCCTGCAACACCCACACCCTCCCAATCGGCTCTGGAGAGTCTGCTAACCCTCTGGAGCAGAGTTTGAGGGAACGTAGGGGGCTGCATGGTGGAAGAGAGACAGCGTAAATCCCTTAAACAGTTGGGATGTCGTGGTTGGATATCATCCTGTGTACATAGTGCAGCAAACCAGGCTGTAGTAGCAAATGAAATGCCTCTTTAGAAATGACATGGCGTTCTTGGGATTTGTGACAATTCTGATTATGGAACTCAGCTTTGGCCTTTCAAAAATGATTTCCACATAGCCACAAAAGGAAGGACGTTAGACGTTTTGCACAGAAGATGCATTTGTGTAACATGTATGTGCTCCCAGTGTGCAAAATGGAAAATAAAATATCGTTGAACTGCGTATTGACTGTTGCATTCATGTAAGTAAAACCCCAACTACTGAAAATCAGTCAGTAATAAAATGCCACCTACTGTATTTGTAGCAGACAAGATGGGAAGGCAGAGGAATAGTGGTTGTTAACCCAGTAAGTGTACTTAATTTCCTGGTAGACTTTTGTGATTCTGTGCCCTTGTGAAGCCATGGGGATGAAGAACAGCATTCTGTTTAATTCTATGCAGTCTGTGGTATTTAAGCAGCTCTTCCCTAATAAGCCTTGAGTGTACCAAAATTGACAAAATATCATGAAACATTTTTTCTGTCTTTTGTGCTTAAGACATTACATTCACAATGCTGTTGTGACAGTAGCTTCAGGGGTGGTGGGTGAAACGCTCTCAACTACAAGAGCAGCCACGACGCATACTCACAAAAACTGTAATAACCTTGCACAGTTGATTGGTGATAAGTTTCTGGAGGCCATTGCTTTTTCTTTGCCGACCATTGGTTGTGCTGGGTGAGGGGGTGGGGGTGGGAATTGGGAGTCAAGCAACATTTGGAGGGTCAGGTTGGTCTGCTCTGCCCCGTAGGAACAGGAAGCAAGTTAAAAGTAAAAAGTTATCATGAACAGATCCATATTTTTTCTAGAATTGAGTTTCTGCTTGTCCCCGTGTTACGATTCCAGAGTCCATTAGTTACCCACGAAGCACCTCAAAATATTGACAGTTACCTGTAGAAATATACCCATCATACTTACTACTTTGTTTACATAAAAAGCAAGGGTAGCCATGCTGGTCCATAAGGAGAAAAAAACACTGCAAAACCCCCACAACTGGCCAATGAGTTTATTTGGTCCTAATGAAGTTATTGCCCTGTTAGGGATTTTGTAATTTTTGAGTTTTCCTTTCGTCCCATTCTCTCACCCTCCCAGCACCCTCATTCTCCAGTTCTGTTATTCTAAGAATATATTTTGTATTGTGATGGTACACATGTTCTCCTTATCAACATTCCAATAATGAAACATTTGGGAGTGGGTCCAAAAACTTGCTGAGATCCTGTGGAGTAATGCCAGTGGAAAATTCTTCTTGTGATCGTGTACAGGATAAGGGAGAAACTCCTTTGGATTGTGTCAGCTTTCTCTTAGTTTTGCTCACCATACTCTTTAGCACATATTTAACTTAAACTAGTGTAACTTAGTTTCCAAAGCCATTCAACATTTGCGTATACTCCCATTTATCAACAAACATGTCAGTAGTGCTAGCTAGCATTTTTGTAACGTGGGTGTTATCAGATGGAGCTAAGACCATCACTCAGAGCAATTTATGGCTTTCAAGATTTTACAGATTATGCAAAATTGCAATACACCACAAATTGCCATGACAACAGTGATAAAGAACTAAAAAATGTACGTGCTGAGGAACCACATGGGCTGGTGTACAAACTGTTTCCAATCACCAGAGGTGAGATAATGCAGAATAAAAGGATTGCTATCTGAACACTGCTTCACAGAGTATTTGCTAAAGTCTAAAGTGGACATACTGACAAAGTTTATTGTGAATGTCCTGATAAATCCTGACTGTTTTCACTTACAACTGCAGTTAAGCAGTCTCTGCTGTAATAAATTTGCTGCCACTGGCAGGCAAAATTACTTGTGTTCCACATAACTTGGGACTTGTAAATTTGGAGGCAGAAACTGAAGTGTAACATCATCATCATCATCATCATCTTCAATTGAATTTATATACCGCCCTATACCCGGAGGTCCCAGGACGATTCACAGAACAAAATCAAAATATAAAAACACTAAATATATAATTAAAATAAATACAACAATCCAGTAACCCCTCCCCCCCAAACCCCACATTTTAAAAGGGCATAGGATGTCAATCAAATCAACCAAAGGCCTGGTTAAAAAGGAACATTTTTGCCTCGTGCCTAAAAGTGAATAATGAAGGCGACAGGTGAAGTTCCCTGGGGAGAGCATTCCACAGACAGGGAGCCGCTGCAGAGAAGGCCCGTTTTCGTGTTGCCACCCTCTGGACCTCTCAAGGAGAAGGTATCTTTGTGAGTTAATATCCTGGGGACATAATGATATGGAGACGTTATTTGGAAGGATACACATGGCCTGATTATGGCTTAGTAGAAAAGTAGGCAGGAAAACCCCCCAGAAATATCATTGGTTAGAATTGCCTATGTATCCTTTTAAAATGGAGCAAGATTTTAGTTTTATCCAGACTATTACTTTCTGTGTACCATCCCTCCAACGTTTCTTGAAATATGCAGGTGGGAGGAAGGAACAGACAGACAGGAGCAGTGAGTAAAAACAACAACAACAAAGTAGGACATGGTTTCTCTCGTGTTCTCTCCTTCCTTTCCCAGATATATAATTTATTTGTTTGGTTTTCTTTCTCCGGTGTCTGAAATGTTTGCTCCGTATGTGTAGTAGATATTTACATGTTTGGTTTGAAATTGAATGATGGAGATATATACACTTACATACATGTTGGCCATGTGGAATGTCTGTGAAGGTTATATATTTGCTCTTTTTCTGTATATAGTGAGAGGGTGGGGAGGGGTATTACTCAGAAGGGTGGTGGGAATGGGTGATTGCATATTCGGTAGGATAAGTGGATTGTAGAGGGTTCTTAATTCTAAGACCCTTAGGTATAATGTCCAGGTCCTTGCATTTAGTCAGAAAGAAGATGTCAGTCTGTACCTGTGCAAGTTTCTTGGTGAGGTTGATGGACTTCCATTTCATGTGGCTCAATGTGGTGCCTTCCATAGTTCTAGTTACAGGTAGGTAGCCGTGTTGGTCTGCCGTAGTCGAAACAAAATAAAAAAAATTCCTTCCAGTAGCACCTTAGAGACCAACTAAGTTTGTTATTGGTATGAGCTTTCGTGTGCATGCAGTGTATCTGAAGAAGTGTGCATGCACACGGAAGCTCATACCAATAACAAACTTAGATGGTCTCTAAGGTGCTACTGGAAGGATTTTTTTTATTTTGTTCCGACTACGACCTACCTGTATCTAGAATTTTTACTAAGAGTATAAAAAATGGCTTCCATTATTTGTTCCTAGTGTTTGGTACTTGGGTGGAGATACACTGCCCCTTAGCATGCATGTAGCAGAGGGTTTTTAAGAGTATTTAAGGAAGCAAACCTGTTTCCTAAGCATCGTAGATAAGCATATTGGTGATAAGGCATATCAGAAGAAAGTGGTGATAAATTCTGTTGTCAAAAGAATGAAATTTGGTGTTTATACTGAGAGGCACAAAGTGCTGTTTAACATTTCCCACATTCTTTTTCTTCCATAACATCAACAAATAGTATTCTTCAACATATCCTTTATGTAATTTGATTTACAAATTTATAAGAACATTTGAAATAGGTGGTTAGGTAGCTTTTGCTTGGGGAATAAATATTTGTTTTTTTAATCTAACTTTAGTTGCATAACATCTTAGGCATCCCAAATATATCTGCAGTTGCCTTTTCAGATGTTTACATTTTTAAAGGTAGTACACCAAGCTGACTCTCAGAGCACTGTGGTACACTGTAACAGTAGGAAAGATCAGCTCAGAAAAAGGCAGGGGAACCTCCTTGGCATTCTAGTTGATAAATCAGCTTAAGAACTGTAGATATTTGGTATTTTTCTTTGCATTTTACACCTTCGGGAAATATATTAAACCTTCTTTGCCTTTAGAATGTTTCCAAACCAATCCAAATCTTTATTATGGTCATAGATCAGCATAAGATAAAAGCACCTCCATAAATAAATAAAACCTGCTAGATAGGCAGTAGGACAACTGCAGAAGTACACATACTCATACTCTCATTTACAGTAGACCAGTTTGAAAAAGTTGGTAATGGGGTATTATTTCATGTCTCTCATTTTTTGTAATTCTCAACATATTACCTACCCTTTCTACCTTTTTATTTTGCAGAACTTCTAATGAAGATCCTATGATTATCTGAGCTCTAATAGCTGGATCCTCGGATATCAAAGCTGGGAGAAAGTACTTCTGAAACCAACATGTAGCAGATAGCTACTGTTCCGTCAGATTTGCTGCTTTTGGCCAAGGTGTTTGTCTTCTAGACTTCCCTGTGCTTTCAGCAGTGAAAGAATCATTCTAGGGATTCTTATTTCTTGGGTGGTGAATGAGTTTCGTTGACAGAAACTGAAATTGGATTTCACGTGGTTTTTTGTTAAACTGAGGAACCATGAGTAGTAATCTTGGGAAAGAAAAAGATTGTAAGGAGAAGGACCCAAAAGGGTCTTCAGCAAAGGAAAGGGAGAAAGAGGCCAAGACTTCTGGTGGATTTGGGAAAGAAAGCAAAGAGAGAGAGCTTAAGACCAAAGGGAAAGAAGCCAAAGATGGGAAGAAGGACTCCAGCGGTGCACAGCCGGGTGTGGCTTTTTCAGTGGACAATACAATAAAACGACCTAATCCAGCTCCAGGTGCTCGCAAGAAGTCCAGCAATGCCGAGGTGATCAAAGAGCTAAACAAATGTCGGGAGGAAAATTCAGTACGCTTGGACTTGGCCAAGAGGTCGATACACATACTCCCACCATCTGTCAAAGAGTTAACGCAGTTGACGGAACTTTATTTATATGGAAACAAACTGCAGTCACTACCGTCTGAGGTGGGCTGTCTTGTGAATCTGGTGACACTGGCCCTGAACGAGAACTCACTTACCAGCCTCCCTGACTCTCTTGATAACTTGAAGCAGCTTCGCATGGTTGATTTACGACACAACAAACTGAGAGAAATTCCCCCAGTGGTGTACAGGCTAAGGTCTCTCACCACACTTTATCTACGCTTTAATCGTATCACAGCTGTGGAAAAGGATATCAAAAACTTGTCGATACTCATCATGCTCAGCATACGGGAGAACAAAATCAAGCAACTACCTGAAGAAATTGGTAAGAGTGATTTTTAAAACCCTGTACTAAATCTTATTATGTAACAGTGGATTGAATTGTTATCCATGGGCAAGAGCCACCTTTGCAGAAATGAACTGCTGCTCCCTAGGACCCCCAAATCTGCTCTCTTGTGTCCGCTAATGCTCAATCTGCTTTGCAAGTAATGTCCATTCTGCTGGTGGATGGGCTTCACCAAATTAATGCATGCCGTGTGGCCATTACATTCCTAAAGCACTGAACCATACCTCATATATTTCTCTGGTGTTCAGCTACTGTCCCACAAATTTTATTCCTTCATATTGGACTCCATGAAACAGGCTTAGTTCTTGAGGAAGGAATACAACCATTTCTTGGCTCCCAGATACAGTGTTAGATATTAAGGATTGTGTATCTGTGCTGCCTAAGACATAAGTAGTAGTATTGTATGGGGGTAAAGTCGAGAAAGTTAGAAATGCCTTTGTAAGAATTGGGGTACAAACAACACTTTAGGAGAAAGCAGTTTTGGTGCTATCTAATTACTGATCAGTATGCCTGCAATTAATCTTTTCATAAATGTAACATTGAATCATGAATTCACATTTCTTTCAGGAGTGGAAACTTGCTTAAGTTGCAAAAATGGCACGGCTAGTATTTTAACTAAGAATCTGAGTAAATTTAATATTTTTAAAATAGGTCAAGAGATTCCATTATGAATTGCCTATAGAAATTCAATAACTTTCCAACTCCTTTCCTATAAGCCATAATACTGAAAAGGCTATGATCATTTGACAGTACTGTTAGGAGGGATGAGGTTTAGGGAATATGTTGGCTGGTCTCTTGAATTAAGACCATATGGGGATAGCATAAAGACCTGAAGAGGTATCATGCAGAGCAAAAATTTCCACATTTAAACTATGTACATCTTAAACAGTTCCTAACTATATACAAATGTATGCAACAGGATATATGTGTGATCACCTACTTTGCTTTGTTGCTGTCATTTTTCCACTTTTATTTACTTATCACTGGGTTTTTTTGGTCTCTTGTTTCCCTCTAACCTTACTCCCCTCCATTTCTTTCCACTTGCTGATGTGTATATGTGCCTGCCACTTTCGGTTTGCAGTTTATTAATTTGTTAGTCTTAAAGTGTTTCAAGATACTTCTATTTTATTTTGTTCAAGAAATTCAGCTTTCTTTCAGCTGGCCTCTTTCCTTAAAATTCTTTTAGTCATTCTAGTTTTCTTTTAATAAGTAAACGTGGTTCTGATTTAAGACAATGTTACGACACTTAAATTTAATTTTAATCCAAACAGGCAAGATGCATCCATGTACTCCATCCTGATACAGTGACAAGTAAAGCAGCATATGCAAACAGGATACACTCCTATGGGATTTCTATTATTGAAGTCACTCAAAAAATTGCCTGTTCATGCAGTGTATGCTTCTATACAGTTCTTGTACTTGGAAACAGTTGGAGAGGGATTATGAAGGCTGTTTATTGCTGTAGACTCTTCCTTAGGGCAAGTTACTCTCTAAAAACTCATAGAAACCTCGTGGGGGTTTGTGTGCCTCCATTTTTGTGGCTGGAGTGAACTTAATATATTCACTTGTTTAGTATAATTTTGAAACAAGTATTAGTTTTGCCAACCTTTGCCCACTGCAGCTTCTTTAAGTAAATGCAGTGTAATTTTTTTTTGCTGCTGAAGGGCATAAGGTGCACATCTAGTGCAAAATTAAGTAAAAATGGTTAGGCGTTAGGGGATGTTTGATGTGGCAGCAGCATAACTCAGCTTAGGTCATGTTGAATTTGTGTAAAGTGTGTGAACTGATTTGTGGACAATTTAAAGAACAGTAGAAACAAGCAACAACTTGATTCTCACAAATGGTTCATGTTTACTTTAGCTGTTAATCTCTGCCTTTGCGCAGTGATATCAGACTAATCTTTACCACTTTTATTGGTAGCTGCTTATATTTGTCTTGCTTTTGGAACAAGACTTATTGCTGCTGCCCTTTTGACTTGTGTGATACCTTTGAGGAAAGCAATTGGAAATACTGTTCTCTGCTGTGTCTGTTGGGAGAAGGACTACACAGTGCTTGTGTATTTTTGTATATCCACTGTGGCTCCAGAGAAACCACCAAAGGAGGTTTATTTTTCTCTTCTCTGAACTGTTTAGTCTGAGGTGTCGCACCGTATTAAAAATGCGAAGTCCTGCCAACAGCTAATGCTAAGAATTATGCATTCCTGAAGAAAACATTGGGGATCCCCTATTGCCTAAGGTAGATCTAGCTTATTATCCATATCTCTCTAGGAAATCCTCCATTCCATTGAAGCAAGGGTGAAGAGTGGGATAAAATTCAAAATTATAGTGAGTCACAGAAGAAGCATGAGAAATATGAAGAAACAAATGGGAGTGTCTCTGACTGAATCCAAAGCATTCTTGTAATCTTAGGTTTACCTTATGCATTCTTTTATAGCTAGTTTGTTGTACATGTTCATTTCTAGAGGCACTTCATACAATTAGTTTTATTTTCACACAAAATAGCTTTATTATTCAATGCATGCATTCTCTAATAAAACTACTGACTGAAATGGTGACAGGTTTCTCTATTTTTCACAGATATGCACATGTAAGTAGCAAAGCAGGTGAAAGCAGATGCTTCTAAAATTATTCAATTTGGGGTGGTTTGGGGAAATTGCAGTAAAGGCTGACCTACATATTTTGAACATCCCTGTTGGACAGGTTTTTCAAGTAAGGGGTGGATGGTGTGTAATGCGAGTTGTTGGTTGCCATGCCCAAGAGATGTAAAGCTTATTTAATTTAATTAAAAGAAATTGTTTCCCGCTCTTCTATAAGATGAGCGTAACCTCTGCTACCTTCTGAGTTTTTCACAAGACAGCAATAGAATTGTAGATATGAGATATGATTGATGGGCAGTGCTCCAGGTAAACCCAGAGCCAGTAAGACAGCTTGCTGTTCTATATGTTAGCAATGAGAGAAATGAGAATGGATTTCTAAGAGCTTAGTGGACTCCTGATCAGAATTCATAAGATAATTGTTCTTACATGGGTAGCTGGCAGGAAAAGAAAAATGAAGGCTCATTGTTTTTGGTATACAGTGGTACCTCGGGTTACATACGCTTCAGGTTACATACGCTTCAGGTTACAGACTCCGCTAACCCAGAAATATTACCTCAGGTTAAGAACTTTGCTTCAGGATGAGAACAGAAATCGTGCAGCAGCGGCGCGGCAGCAGCAGGAGGCCCCATTAGCTAAAGTGGTGCTTCAGGTTAAGAACAGTTTCAGGTTAAGAACAGACCTCCAGAACAAATTAAGTTCTTAACCCCAGGTACCACTGTACTGGCACTTTAAAAATCAATCAGGGAATAGAAATTCCAGTACAGTACTTACTATAAGCTTAGTAATATTTTTCAATGCCAGAATTTTAAAAAATACTTCAAGTTTTTAAATTCTCAGGTGTTATAACAATATAATTTAGGTTACCTTTTTATGTAGGTAGAGAGTCTAGAAGAGGATTAATAAACACTGTTGCTAGCAGACATACACGTATGTCATTGACTGCTCTGTATTGACTTAGTTTGACTCATCTGCTTGTTACTAAAATTTTATTTAATGCAATCAGTATGCTGGATAATGTGTTCAGGTCTCATAATACTCCTCAGTGGGCTAGCACAGCTTAAGAAAAATGGAGGGGAGATGACTTCAGAGAAGAGGTCAGAAGACAAATGCTAATTGAAGCAAAAATCTAGAATTGCTAATATTCCTAAATTCCTTTTCCTTATGTGCACAGGGAAAGCTTTCTATGCATTCCCTTTGTCATCTAATGCAGGATTTATTATGATGTAAAGGGTTTTAGAATTTTCAATCTGCTTATGGAGAGAGCGAGAGTGTGCAGCCGGTCAGGAGAGTTGCATATCATCCTTGCAGTATCAAATATTTTCCACCAAGTTAATTGTGGCAGGAAGAATGCATACATACATACATACATACATAGTTCACAACAAGTGAAGGTAGCCATGATGGCTGTAAGAAAAATTATACAATCTGCATTATGGCAACACCTTTACTAGGCCAACCAAAGTGTCTCAAAGTAGCGTGCAAGCTTTTGGGTTCTGGAAGATGCTCCATCAGGCTAGATGGTAAACAAAATGGGATGGACAGGAAACAGGCTGACTCTATAAAGTCTCCATTTAGTTATAGTCTTATGATGGAACATAGGAGTGGCAGACCTTCAGATGGGGCTCTGCTAGGTGATATGCAGGTTTCAGGTTACATCTAAGGCTGCTGGAAAGAAAATAGGATGACTAATCCACCTATCTTTGAAAAGATAAAGTTGAGCAGTTACTTGGATCCATCTCCATCCTTAGGTGAAACACAAAGGTTTCATAGAAGGTGGAAAATGGGAATTAAAAGCAATCAGTTTGTTTTTATATAAGCTAAACTGGAGATTCGGTTCAAGTGAAGAAAAAAATGAACATTACTGTTTTCCTTGTATCTGTGCGTCTCAATGAGATGTGAGATGCCTCCCTCCTTAAATGAAAGCATGACAATATTAAGCAGCCTATATATAGGAGAAAGTCTGTGTGTTTTAATGAGGGAAAATATATAAATAAGACCGGTTTTTCATCTTCATTGTGAGAAATGGTAGATTTGCTGTTTCTGCTAGAGTTCTACTTATACAGAATCAATATCTGTATCTGTTTCTATAACATTTTAAAGAAAAGCACTCTATCGGTTGTTTTATCAGAAGTAATTAGGTTCATGGGACTTACTTCCAGGTAAGTAAGCAAAGAATTCCAGCCTCGAATTCCTGCCCTAAATTAGAATTAATCAGTTCTTGCCAGGTTTTTAATTTAGGGAAAACTGTCCTTATAAATACCATGTTAGCAAGATAATTTTAGTACTGTGAAAAGTGCTAGGTATAAGAGCAGCCACGTTGGTGCAAAACAGAAAAAGAAATTTAAAATGCAGATTCTTCTATTGGGAAGAATACCAGCACCATACAATTACTATTCTTATTCCTTCTTTACTACATTACATTGAGAAGAGAAATTGTGAAATTGTGTGGGTTGGGATTAGAGGTTGAAACTTGACAATGCCATGCATGCCTTAAAGGTGGCCTTTTGCGTCTGCACTGTTTAGTCCTGAGCAGAACAATGACTTATTAATACTTGTATCTTTGTGCACTTTCAGGTGAGTTGTTTAACCTCATAACACTGGATGTAGCACACAATCAGCTTGAGCATCTTCCAAAGGAGATTGGAAATTGTACACAGATCACCAAACTTGACCTACAGCACAACGAGCTCCTGGACCTTCCAGATACCATAGGTATGTAAATATGTAAATATCTTTATTTTTTGGCTTCACGTTTTGGGGAGTGTGACTAGTCCAGGGTAATCCAATGCAGGCATTTGGACTTATCCCTTGCCATTCTGTGCCCAAATCTCTAGCGACATTTGCTGAGAATCAGTATTGAAGGCAGGTAAATATAGAAGCTAATTAGTCTAAAGATGACCAACAGTAATGATCATTGCTTAAATACATGCTTTTAATGTAACTTTTAAAAATTAAATTTGATTTGACAAGATTTGTGATTATCTCATTCTGCAACTGCTAAAATTTACTCATTTTGAAATTTATAAAGTTTATTTTTTTGTAAAAAATCTAGCTGTATTTCTGAAAAACCTTTTGCTACCACCTAAATGGAAATACTGTTTGTAAACTTCAACATGAATGGAATGAATATTCTTTCTAAACTGCTTTAATAACTCCATGTTACCACATGTCTGCCTGTGTAGTGAATTACAGTTATTTAGTTAATTTGTGCCATTTATTGATTTAGTACAAATTATTTCCTGTGAGTGGAAATTTATATTTCCCCAAAGGACATTTTCTCATTGCTCAAACTTGTATGTAGACAACACGAATAACAAATCCCAAAGCTTAATGGGTGTCAAAAAATTACCCATGAACAGTATTTTGCCCTTATGGGAGAAACCCATGTCCTAGATCCTGATCCATCTCCAGGTTTTCCATAGCCCTAGAAGGACTGTTTTTAACCGTTTCTCAGAGCTCCCTCAAGCACTAATTTTGATGAAGTCCAGCAAAGAGACTTCAGCCTAGCAACTCCAGAGACCATATCCAGAAGCCTTGCATCAGCTCTAATTATATTGAGATCTTTGACATTGTTTTTTCTGCCAAGGCTTTGGACTGCTTAATCTGAGTTTTAAATAGGTTGGGGATAACTGCAGGAGGCTGATGTCTTCTTCAGCTGAATATACATGAACTATATATATATATATATATATGTATATGTGTGTGTGTATGAGCTCAACCCAGGTTGTTACATACCTCCCCCACATACATGGTTTTGCAGCCCCTGCTCCATCTACTTTGTAGAGTAAGGGGTGGTTGACATGGTTTTGTCTCAAGAGCCACATTCACCCTTGACCAGCTCTCCAGAGGCTACATGCCAGCGGTGGGTGTGACCACCCCACGCTCATCCATGCAGGCTCTTGCAAGCATGAACACACACCATGTATACACAAACACATACACACAGACACGTGTGTGTTTGGACATGGTACAAGCACACAGCTTCCCTTCCTCCAACTCAGCTTATCCAAACAGATCAGTTGAGGAAGGGAGTGATCGACTTACTCCCTTGTAACTTTACAGAACTTTTGTTTGGCATTAGCTTTTGCAGGCAAGATTCTGCCTGTCAGATTTAGATCGCAGCCCACACAAGGATTTTGAATAGTGAAATTGCTAATAGGTTTTGCCATTTCAGATGATTATCGTAACTTAGATATTGACACCATCATATGTGTGTTCAGGCATCATTCCAGGTACTATTGATGTCCCATCATTAAGGTTCAACATGCCTTCCCAGAGACTTCTGTAAAGATCATAAAGGGTGTGTGTGTGTGTGTGTGTGTGTGTGTGTGTGAAAACTGACAACAGTTTTCCTTGCAACATCTAGCACTTGGCTCCAGTGGACCATAGGTGTGCATTGGATGCATGAAAATTTAATTGTTAGCACAATGAAACATTTGCCTGAAAGTCAGTGCTTAAATCTTGAAATTAACAAACACAACAGAGTAGATGGGCTGGTGGTCCTAAAGTCTGTCTGTCTGTCTTTAACTTCAGTCTTCAGCAGAATTTTTGTTTCATTTCAATTAGAGATTAAATGTAATCATCTTCAAGCAGATTGTAGCAGTCACTCACCTCTTAGTTATTTCAAGAACCACACACCAATCTCTGAACTCAACCGACTGTGTTTTTTCTCCCCCTTTGCACCTTCTTTTGGGAATGGTTTGCTATAGATAATATAGGTTTCTAATTATTGAAACAGGTTTTTGTCTTTAGATTTAAATTTCTGTCCTCCCTCTTTTTCTTCTTCTTCATTGTTCTTCAGAGGCACAGTTCACAAGAAACTTCCATACATGGAATGACACTCAGTTCCATGTAAGAGAGCTTCTATGTTCCTGCCCAGCTATCTGCAGGAAAAATATTTTATCACCTTTCCAGGCCTAACTTGCTGCAGCCCTGGAGAGGCTGGTGAATGCTAAATAAATATAAATTCAGAGATGAAGCATCACATAGTTATCATTTATTAAAACCATTAATGAGGCACTAATATAGAAAAGGCACATGCAAATAACATAAAAATCAATTCAAATGCATAAATGCCACAAAACCAGTGAATGATTTAAAACCAAAAACACTAGCGATTTTCCTTCCTTGGTAGTGGCCTTCCAAAGCTTTGTCTATTGTAAGCCAAATCTTAGGGCCAAACTACAAGTGACACAAGTCATATATTTAAACAAGTGTGCTTAACATGGCCTCTTTTTTATTTTGGAGAAAAAGCATCCTGATCTGCAGCATGTGCCTGGCTTAGATCCACACTGGTTTCTGCTGAATGTCACTCCTTATCTGGGTGCTGTCTCCCACCCCAGTTGTTGTTTGCAGCAAACAACACTTTGGGGTCAAATCAGCCAGAAGTGTGTGATTTTCAGGACGAAAGTGTTGTGGCCCCGGAACTGGACCCAGGTGCATGTTCCAGATTGGGTTGTTTTCTAATCCAAAATAAAAGGAGCCTGGCTAAGTACCCTTGTTTAAATATGTGACCAATGTTGTTTATTGTTTGGCCCTTAATCTCAAATAAGCACTTCTTCATTTTTTTAAAGGCGTTGTTTATTTTTAAATTCAAATTAGATCTGAACATGTGGCAGCTCTTGATATTCCCAAATTACTACTTTACATGGAGCCTGCTTTATTTTTGATTCCTGTGTACAGTCATACCTCGGGTTACAGCCGCTTCAGGTTGTGTTTTTTCGGGTTACGGATCACCGAAACCCGGAAGTACCAGAACGGGTTACTTCCAGGTTTTGGCGGTCGCACATGCACAGAAACACTAAATCATGCTTTGCACGTGCACAGAAGTGCCAAATTGCAACCAGCGCAGACATGGGTTGTGAATGCTGCAGGTTGCGAACGTGTACCCCGCACGGATCACGTTTGCAACTTGAGCATCCACTATATTGGGGAAGCTCTCAGAGTTTGTTCTGAGGTTTGGGAGGAGATGTAACCTACTGTACTTCTTTTCATGTGACTCAGGTCTTGCCCAATGTATCATCATAGTGGAAATCAAGCTGACAGAAGCTGAGCTCTTATATAGAATTACTGTTTGTAAAGGGGCATTTTTGGTGGTGGTTCCCTTTAGAGGATCCCTGTGTCTAAGGATGTGAACAAGTTGTTTGGAGAGCTTCAGTTTATTTGTTAGCTCATTATATTTTTATTTTTTAAATCTAAGTATTTATGTTCTGCATTCCCAAGCAAATAACCTTTACAAAGTGACTAACGAACTAACCAAATAGTATACATGCTTTAAAAAACCATCACAATTACCACCCATATTTCCCTTAATATAAATTTATTTGCTGAATTAATATCCCACCCAAATTACCCCAGATCAGTTCCTCATCAATTTATTTTCCTTCAGTTAATTTCACTCCCAGATTCTGCTTAAAATCATTCCCTCCATAATTAATAACCTCAAATTACATCCTGATAAGCCCTACTTAGTTCCCCATACCCTATCCAGATAATCCCAAATTGATCTCTCCCCGAAGTCATTACCAACCCAGATACTGTTCTAAATTTGTTTCATTTAAATTAACCATCAATCCTTATCTTTACTGGAGAGGTGGTTGCCTATTGCTGCAAGTCCTTCTGCATTAAAAGAGACACTTGCCCAAGTCCTGCCTCTGTAGTTCTTGTAAATAACCTGTATGAAAGCAAACATTAGAAAACATTATCTTCCTGGTTTATTATATATATCTCCAACTAATCAAAAAGGTACGTAAATTAAAGGTTATAGCCCATCTTTTAAAAAAAGAGAAACGCTTCTAGGAAGAGTTTCCTATAATTAAATAGCTTGTACTGTGTGTAGACTTGCTCCTTGAAAAAAAGCATTACACTCTTCAGGATAGCCTGGTACCTTGCTAATGCTGGAGACTCCAGCATCCCTATGGCACTTATTGTGGATGATTTAAGATGGTGGCTGCTTGATGAAGATGAGAGTCAAGAGTCATACGAACTTATCACTGCTGTTCACTAGGGTGAACAGAGAGTTAAGGATTCAATGGTAGGTGGATCAAAAGTCCTGCAATATGAAATCTGGCCCACTGTATTCGGATACATATGCTTTAACTTGAATAATTTTCAAAAGCTTTTCATAGGCCTTTTTCTGTAACCTTCACCGTTTTGATCCATTGCTAGCAGGGATTCCTAAGAGGAATCTTGGCAGTTTGCAAATATTAAAGAGGCTTGAGAAAACAATTGCTTACTCTTCCTACTGAGATCCACTGAGGTTACAGGAAAATAGATTTTGCTACAGACTTAATGTATCTGTTGTGCTCTCTACCCTGGCCTCTTCTTGCATTCTGGGCTACTTAATATCCTCATAGGACTTCTCTAAATGCTTTGACTATCAGCATTATTTTTGAAAGGTCAAGTGTCACCCCCAAACTGCCTATTAAAATAGTCATTTAGGTGAATGGAGTTAAAGTTGTAGGTCCAACTTTTTAATCTTGCCATTGTGTGTTTGTTAGACCTCGTTGACGGTGTAAGCAGTGATAATCTTCATCATTCTGGTCTTTATTAATTCAAAATTTAAGTTATGAATAGCTTACTTAGAAAAAGGAGTGTTGAGCCGTTAATTCTGTGGGAAGCTTTGTGTAACAAGGAAAATGCAGATGTAAAGTCCTGTACTTTGGAAACAAATCCAGGCAAGTTCAATACAAGCATCTTCTAAATGCCTATGAGCAAAAAGTTGTTATGGGCAAAGGTTACAAGCATCACTGTAATTTGGTACCTTGTCTATTTCTGTATTACTCATGCTGTGCTAGGTGGCTAAGCATCAATTTGTATGAAGCTTTCAGGTCCTTTGTGTTCGGGATCTGGTTCCCTTAAGCCAGCCTTTATCAACCTGTGGGTCCCCAGATGTTGTTGAACTACAACTCCCATCACCCCTAGCTAGTCCTCATGTCTCTCTACTTTGTTTCCATTGTGGCTACAGAAAAAGGGAAATCTGTCTATCGGTCCTGTTTTTTCACCACCAGCCTGTTTGGCAGAAGGCAGTTGTTTTAACTCACATGCTAAGACGCTAGTATCCTACATTTCAGGGCTGGAATAGGGGAGAATTTCCTCCCCTCTGCAGGCAGCATGTAAACCTAGGCTACTAGCCTCTTAGCAAGCTAGTCAAAAAATGTGAAAGCTACTAACTTTTGTAGGGACGCGGGTGGCGCTGTGGGTTAAACCACAGAGCCTAGGACTTGCCGATCAGAAGGTTGGCGGTTTGAATCCCCGCGACGGGGTGAGCTCCCGTTGCTTGGTCCCAGCTCCTGCCAACCCAGCAGTTCGAAAGTACGTCAAAGTACAAGTAGATAAATAGGTACCGCTCCGGCGGGAAGGTAAACAGCATTTCCATGCGCTGCTCTGGTTTGCCAGAAGCGGCTTAGTCATGCTGGCCACATGACCCGGAAGCTGTATGCTGGCTCCCTCGGCCAATAAAGCGAGATGAGCGCCGCAACCCCAGAGTCAGTCACAACTGGACCTAATGGTCAGGGGTCCCTTTACCTTTTTACTAACTTTTGTGAGTTTATTTACAAGACTGTGATACTTGATAGACAAAAAATTGTCTGTGTCTTCCTTTATGCATAGCAGAGTACAGAGCACATAAGATTAGATTGCTTTGTGTGATCTAGTTTTCCATTGGCAAAATAGGTAGCCAGACCTCGCTTATGTCTGTTTGCAAACTTCCCTAGAATCGTGATTAGTATGTTTTATGAGTGTGAAGCTTATGTTCCCAGGAAAAGGAGGGATGTCATTCTGCCCAAAGGTGCTGCAGAGTGTGATGGTGGCATGCAAATTTACACTTTAAGCTTCTGTGGCAATCATTCTTCTTATTGGTCTGAGAAATAGCTAAGCTTGGTAATAAAAATGGATATGGACAAAGGTGTCATAAAAAGCCAGTATTAATTTTTTTTATAATCATGACTATAAATATATTTCTGCAGTAACAAAGTTTTTATTCTTCACCTGTGAATTCTGTTTAAACTGCCAATCCTAAGAAATTTATCTCCCACACCTAATAAGAGCACCTTGTAGCAAAAAACATTTAACTGTAATTTTGCATCTCATGAAGTTTTATAGACTGACAAGTGTTGGGGCTTTCTGTTGACGAAATGGATAGCTTGCCCTGGCAATATTGATCTTATGCTCAGTGTTGCACCAAGAGAGATGTATCAATTTGCAATATAGTCTCATGGGTTAAGTTCAGAAAGCATTAGGAGATGGCAGCAGGTTTTTCATTAATTATCCGCTGGCACATGCAGCTCACATGCAAGGTTTTTATGTCCTTAATTGTATTGCTTTTGACGTCTGCTAATTTCCCCTTCCTCTGTTCTTGCAGAAATGCTTACCCTTGTAATCTGAAATGTGTAAAGTGGTCTAAAGTACTAGAGTGATGAGTGGCCAGTAATGTTTAAAAAGAAACAAACAGAAAAACTTAGATGTATGCTTTGAGAGAATTGCTGGGCAGCTAGAGATGAAAGCAAAGCTGAGTAGTGTAAATTGATTACACCAAAATGGGACATAGCTGAAATTCTGAATCCTTTACCAGTGTTTGCATCTATACTTGGGAAATCCTTTGAAAATATGCTGCTGCTCAAAATATGCAGAGATATTATTGTGGAAAGAATGTGTTTACTGAAAAATAAAAACTCTAGGAATTGGTTCTTTTCCAAGAAAATGCAAGCAGTGGTAGTCCCCTTCTCCCAGCTTCTAAAGCAAATCTCTCTTAACCCTCTTTTGTTTTTAGGAAACCTGTCCAGTCTGAAAAGCCTCGGGCTGAGGTATAACCGGCTCTCAGCAATACCCAGGTCTCTAGCACAGTGCAGTAAACTTGATGAACTGAATTTGGAGAACAACATGATTTCTGCTTTACCAGAGGTGAGGCACTCTACAGTTTTTGTATGATTGAGGCTTAATGTTGTTTAAATGTTGCTCTAAAGCACTGGAACCAGCATTAGTTTTATTGAAGACAAATGCTCTGGAAATGGAAGGCTGCTGAAATTTGCCAAATTGGATGTAAACTATTAGCATTAGCACTAATTGAATGGGAATGAATGGATATTGCTTGAAGAAGTTGCTGCTGTGAGAAAGTTGCCTGAAAGCTTTTAAGAACAAAGCTGAATTGCCCCTCCCTAGCGCATTATGAAAGTTACTCAAGTGTAATTAAATATACAAAGGAGACTGACAGCAAAACAGATTGCTTTATCATAAGATAAGTTTGGCTCCCAATCCAAAAACTCTTTTAACAAATAAAAATGCTTTATTCAGAAGTGCTAGTCTGTGTATAAATTGTAATTGTTGCTGAAAAGAGCCACTTGCATGTTAGTGTAGTGGGGTAATCCATTAAAGCAAGTCTCTTTGGCAGCAGAAGAAAGAAAACATTTGTAAAGAAAACTGCAGAATTGCAAAATATACCAAGCTCATGATGATGCAATGCCTAATAAACATTAGATCTTAAAAGACTAGTTTGGGAGAGGCAGCTGTCCAACAGTATTCATAAATAGTAAGTACTTTGTTTCTTTTCGAAGCAGTACATTCATTAGCCAGCCTCTTCTCTGATCCCTAAAAAAATAATAATCAGTGTGTTTGAAAATGGCTAAAAAATGTAATATCTATGTGGCTGAGTTTATTATGACAGCCTTCAGCATCAAGCTTTCGCAGATTTCAATATTCTTTGAAAAGTCGGTGGTGCCAAAGCTCCATTGCAATCTTTGGCATGAAGAACTCTCTTAAATATGATTAATATGAAATACCTTATGAGTTTAGGGCAACATGCAGACTTTTGCTCACTCTCTGTGCTCTCCTCAAGTCTGCTCTGGAGGTACCCCAGCACTCTGGAGCAGATTTTGGGAGGGTGGGCTTGGGGCTGCAGGAGAAAGAAGAAGAAGGGGAAGTCCTGTTGCACCAGTAAAAATATGTTTTGCTGGAGGGTGGTTACTGCTGGATATTTTGAGAGTTTACTGATGGAAATTCCTATAACTAGTACTTGAGAGCATCTTGCTCTCATTTTTAAAATGATTAATGTTGTGCAAGTTTACCAGTATTCCATCATTACAGGCATCATGATGCAATATTAATTGCATCAGAAAGAAAGTTTGGCATAAGAAACCAGAAGAGGAAACTTTTAGTGATATCCCATGGTGTTACTCTGTTGATGGAAGGCATCCCTTAGTGGAAGAGGGGAAGAGGCAATGTTCTGCAATTTCCTCCCCACCCCTTTGTAGCCACCCATGCTTCCTATTTTGTTTCGTTGGGTTTCCATCCTGCATAAAATTGGGCCCAGCGGGCTGAGCTTGTGTCGCATTTCCAAAAAATGGTCTCCCTTCCCCAATCTATTAATGGATATTTTCCATCAATCAATCTCTTTATTATGGTCAATGACCAGTAATTTCCTTTCATTGGTGGAACATTACTGTTCGATACTACTGTATTTTTCTCACCATAGGGCGCACCTGACCATAGGGCGCACCTAGTTTTTAGAGGAGGAAAACACACACAAAAATATTCTGAATCAAATGTTGTACTAAACTATTTAAAGCAGCAAAGCGGGCGGCTCCTGTCCACTTTGCTGCTTTAAATCGAGCCTCAGAGGAGGGTAGGAAGGGGAACCATGGCTTATCTAAGTCCAGTTAATAATGCTGAGCCTGACTTATGGCCATCGAGATTAGCCTGGCCGTCTCAGTGGAAATCTGGGGAGGCTGAGGTGGACTTTCCAGTGGTCAAAGTGTGGTTGTGTCTTCCTGCCCGGCATCTATTTCCTGCCCTCTTTCTCCCCTGCACCCCCGCACCCTGCTTCCAGGGAAGGAAGCGGAGCCATGGATCCTCTGCTCGCAACAGCAGTGGATTCCATCCACTTTGAAGCAGGAAAGTGGGAGAGGAGCTGCTTACACGAGTGTAAGCTGCTCCCCTCCCACTTTGCTGCTTCAAAGGGAGCCGGGGAGGAGGGAATCCTCTGCAGCCGCAAGCAGAGGATCCATGGTCCCCTTCCTTCCTTCCTCCGTAGTTGCTTTGAAGCAGGAAAGTGGGAGAGGAGCTGCTTACAGGAGTGTAAGCTGCTCCCCTCCCACTTTGCTGCTTCAAAGGGAGCCCAGGAGGAGGGAATCCGCTGCAGCTTCCCCCACCTCCTGGAGAGCCCGCAGAAGCCGCCAGCTCTTTAAAGGGGCTGCGCGGCTTCTCCTGGCTTTTCTGGGAGGTGGGAGAAGGGACTGATGCAGCCAGTCAGTCCCTTCTCCCTCCTGGGGAAAAGCCCGCAAGAGCGCACAAAGCTTGTGTGCGGCTCTTGGGGGCTTTTCCCGCCTGCCTCCCCCTTGCATTCGCTCCATAGGATGCACACACATTTCCCCTTGCCTTTTAGGAGGGAAAAAGTGCGTCCTATAGAGCGAAAAATACGGTACTCTTTGTAATTTCTGAATTACAAAGTAGGAATATGACACCATTTTAGTAAATAAAGGAAACCAATCCTGTCTTCAGGTGCTTTTCTTTTTCATATATAACAGCTTGCCTGGTGAATGATATAATCTGTTTGAATCTGTTTTGTGTTTGTTTTAATCGTTACTTACAGTTATTTGTCAGAAGCGTAAATTTAAAAAATATTGAGGGTGCAGTTTAAAGCCCCAGACTTGTTAATCCTAAAAGTACGTACCTTATCTGAGCGCACAGTGTCCTGGAACTTAAGTTAATGGAACAAAAGTTCACAGTTGCCTCATTCTCCCTGCAACAGCTGATGTCGCCCAAAAGTCCTCTTTGGGTGACGCAGGCAGGTTCCTGAATACTGTGGCCTGGAGGGTGTGCGTGGAGAGGATGGGAAACTTGGTTTTCATGAACTTGCTTAAGCTAACTCCCCTTAAATCCAGCTGAATTTGGAGCAATTCCTGTGTACCTCAGCTGTCCTCTGTTCCCCATTCCACATTGTTCAGGGTATCTTTGGGCACAAATGGCTGCAGGGTGTGAAGAGATAGGAAGCGTTCTTCCCGTGAAATTCCTTTTTTAGGATCCAAGCTGTTATCTTTAAAGTAAGGCTGTCACCCAGTTAAAGATAGTTTAGTCTATTGCTTCGGCATAAATTTACATTTAAATAAAGCAATAATTCCTACGAAACATGCATGCTTCTATTTCATGTATGGGCATGTTACAGTGGACACCATCTTAGAACTTCCAAGATGGTGCCTGCTGCCACAGTTGTGGTAAGTTCTTACATTAAAAATATTAGCAGTTTGCTTAAATCTTGCCAATTCAATTGGGGAAAGGGTTCTTTCTTAGTTGACTGAAAGTTTTTCATCTATTAATCTAACAGATTACTTGACTAAAAGTTGCAGCCCCACTTGAAAGTACTCTAGTTTTAGACAGCAGTGGATACAGCAACAGCTATTTGGATGGAGAATGATTGTGCCTATCAAATGAAACCATAGCACAGGTGTTATGGAAGCACTGGTTTCCACAAAAATGAGATAAGCAATGCTGTGTTATATAATGCCTGTTACATGAGGATGCAACAATAAGTGGTAAGGTGACTATAAGTTAAATTTCCGGCACAACCTCAGCCATGAATTACATGGCTCTCCCTTTCCATAGGCTGAGCTTGTTACAAAGTGCGAAAGTACTATAATTGGCTGAGCTATCTAGACATTACCTCACTACTTGGAATTAATTCTAAGCTTTTCATGTTGCCCAGAGTTTATTTTCAGCCATTACTTTGGGGAAATAATTTACCGGTGTAATGAGTGGGTTTTTTTAAATGACATGCTTATCTTTTTTAAATGACATGCTTATCTTTTTTTTGAATCGGCAATTACAGCACTGTATGTACAAGTTCTGTGCAAGCAGATACTTCCTCCTCCCATCAGTTCTGGCGACAGTTCTGCACGCACACTCCCACTGTGCACATGAAACTGTTCCCTGGTATTGAAGTATACATGGAAGCTCTTGTGAACATTTCTATGTGCTTTGGTTCAGACTACTGTTATTTGTTTTTTTGAAAGTGTGAAGTTAACATTTTTGCAAAAACAACAGAAACCCATATGTTGTCACACTAAGATGGAGATTACCGTATTTTTCGCCCTATAGGGCGCACTGCCCCATAGGACGCACCTAGTTTTTTTTTTGGGGGGGGGAAATAAAGAAAAAAAAAATATTTCCCCCCAGGCGCGGGGGAAGCCCGAGCTTCCCCCAATCCCAGCCCCGAGAACAGCCTGCTATCTGCAAGCCTAGGGACGCCAGCGGTAAGTCGCGCCAGTCTCCCCAGGCTTCGGAATGCAGGCAGCTCTGCGCAGCCATCGGGAGGCAGGCGCGACTTCGCGCCCCGCTCCCGATGGCTGCGCAGAGCGGCGCTCGCCCTGGGACTGCAGGCAGCTCTGCGCAGCCATCGGGAGGCGGCGGCGACTTCGCGCCCTGCTCCTGATGGCTGCGTAGAGCGGCGCTTCCCCCGGGACAGCAGGCAGCTCTGCGCAGCTATCGGGAAGCGGGCGCGACTTCACGCCCCGCTCCGGATGGCTGCGCAGAGCTGCGCTCGCCCCAGGACAGCAGGCAGCTCTGCGCAGCCATTGGGAGGCGGGCGCGACTTCGCGCCCCGCTCCGGATGGCTGCGCAGAGCTGCGCTCGCCCCGGGACTGCAGGCAGCTCTGTGCAACCCTCGGGAGGCAAGCACGAAGTGGCGCCGGTCTCCCGAGGGTTGCGCAGAGCTTCCTGAAGCCTGGAGAGTGAGAGGGGTCGGTGCGCACCGACCCCTCTCACTCTCCAGGCTTCAGCGAAAGCCTGCATTCGCCCCATAGGACGCACACACATTTCCCCTTCATTTTTGGAGGGGAAAAGGTGCGTCCTATAGGGCGAAAAATACGGTAGGTGGCATGCAAGAGAAAAGAAAAATTCAAGTATGTTGGTGTTCAGAGTTCATGCAAGTTTGTATTTAGACCTGTGTGCTTCTATTTTGCTTCCCCAGGGTCTCTTATCCAGTCTTGTGAATCTGACTAGCCTCACTCTGGCACGGAACTGTTTCCAGTCATATCCAGTGGGTGGCCCCTCACAGTTCTCTACCATCTACGCTCTCAATATGGAGCATAACCGCATCAATAAAATCCCTTTTGGAATTTTCTCCAGAGCAAAAGTGTTAAGTAAGCTGAACATGAAGGTGAGACATCGCTGACTATCAGGAACTGTTTTGCTTCCAGGCTTGCCAATGTTGCCAAACATTAAGTGCAGTTAAGTAAAGAGGTGCAAGATAACCAGGTATGCATGACAGTAGTGGATGAGTTGTCAGATATTAAGTATAAAACTGGAAAAAAGCCTTTGTTGATTTCATGCTTCTTTTTTCATATGAGAATAGCATAAAATGAATAGAGCACAAACTTCTTTTCTAATGCAGATTTGAATATCTGTTCTTTAGAAGCTGGCAGAAGCCTTCCTTTCCCCCTACTGCCTTTGTACCTTTTGCAAAAGACAGAGAACTTCTGTTAAGCATAATCAGTGTTTAAAATTGACTGAGCCCAAGCAGGCAGCATGTTTATGTCTTTGCTCCTTTTTCTTGTGAAAAACAAATGCACGGGGAGGTAAAGAGAGAAATGGGCCATTGCCACATACTGGGTTGTCCCCAAGGCTGCACAGATGGAGTTTGACTCACACAACACTTGCCCCTCATCTCCTCTCCCTGCCCCCTGGAATCTGTTCTAGACTGTCTTCCAATCCTCCGGAGTGAATTCTGAGAGTGCCTCGGGAGCTGGAGAGGAGGGACAAGTTCTTTAGTACAAACAGGAGCCTGTTGCACAAGCAGAATGGCACCGCTGGATACAAACAAGTATCCATAAATTACTTGTAATTAAAAATTTGTTTCAAATGTTGGCAGTCTGAAAAATGGAGGAGCTTGCTTCCATTGTTGCTGAACGTTGTTGCTGAGGTGGTGAAATAGGTTGACTCAGATCATTGCATATTATAAATGTGGCTTTTGGTATTTGGAACAAGATGTTAAGGTGTTTCAAGCCTAGATCCATATAAGTAGACTGCTCACATTGTAGGAAACATTTTTGGTTATACTTGAATATTAAATTGCCAAAAGCAAATATTTTATTGTCAGTTTCTTTGAAGTCTAGCTGAACTCCGTTGCAACACATAATTTCTTTCATTTAATAATGGTCTAAAACAGAGGATCTAAGTATTGCCAACTTTATTAAATGCTGCTGCTTGTAATGCAGGTGGTGAGTCTTTTACTTGCAGAGAACTGGCTCTTATATATAGATAAGTTGTACTTCCAGTTAACACAAATACTAGCCACAACCTGCTTTTTTAAATAGTGTATCATCTGGGCAAGGACAATACATACTTCAAATAATATACTGTTCTGATTTGAATTCAAATAATAAGCACAGTGTAGCAGTGCTTTAAACATTAATGAAAATGTAGACCTTGCATAAATATTGACTATTCTTTTGTATGACTTCCTAGCTATAATGCTTTAAAGAAATCCTATTTTCTTTATAAGTTATTGGTCTCTTATTAGGGTTTCTCAATAGTGCTATGATTTCCTTAGTTGCAATATTATTCTAACTTGATATCTGAGAGAACAGCCTTGTTGTATATGGAATCTGTGTTTATTTTTAAGTAAAAAACCCCAAACTTTGTGCGCATGCATGTGTTCACATTCTGGAGAAAGGCAGTATATACCCTTCAAAAGATTTTTTATTTAAGATACTGGTAGGACATTGTTATGGAGGAGAGAGTAGCATCACATTTCTCTCTATGAAATGTCTATGTGGCCACCATGTGAAGCAGTGAACAAGCACTTACTCTGTATTGATCCTTCTACCAGCCGGTGTTGGGGAATTGCGTCAGGTGTCAGCTGTGGTGTAATGGAAACTATCTGGAAGGAAATCCATGAGAGTAGCTGGAGTAAATTGCACACATCTTTTATCAGTGGGAGATGAGACATTGGTTGTGGGTGACTGGGTTTTGCCAGCATGTGCTATTTGCAAAACCTCTCTGTCCAGCAATTGAGAAGGAAGGACTGTGCACCCTGTAGCCCCATCTTCCCTGGCCACCTTTAAAAACAAATTGCTTATTCATATTCTAAATTATCTCCTTGTTTAGATGGGGATGATTTCATGCCGTGTTTACACACCAGATATGTAGCAGCAACCATTAGGTAAATGGAGCAGTCGTTCCACACCTGATTACCCCCTTAAACTATGGCTGCGTATCTTCTGTAAATACACAGTGTGAAGCTGTTCCTTGGGCTGTACTGTAGCTGGTTTTCAGCAAAATGAAGGTTAAGGTGAATCCATACAATTAGTAGCACTTTGCATCTCAGATCCCCTTTTTTATAATTTTGTGTATAGTCGTTAGATGTGTACAGCTGCATTGATTTTGCACACAGGTCTTGTGATGTAATGAATTTGTCTTTGTCATGTTGACAGTTTGATATTTCTATCCTGCTTTTCTGCAAAAAACAGTCAGTGGCTTATATTAAAAATAGTAAAATACAATTGGACAAGGTAAGTTAAAAGAGATCTGTAATGTAAAGATACCTGTTAAAAATATTAATGAACAGTTGTACAAAACTAAAAAGCTTTAAAACAGATGTGGCCAATTTGGTGCTTTTTCAGATGTTTTTGGACTGCAACTCCCATAATTCCTGGCTATTGGAAGACATATCTGGGGCTGATGTGTGTTACAGTCCACAATATTTGTAGGGGAACATGTTGACTGCCCCTGCTTTAAAAGTTTTAAAGCAGCAGATCAGTGGTATTTTTTATTAAAGTCAGAATCAAAGTGATTTTATTCCTCATGTACCCAATTAATGTCCTTTTCAAGTAGTTGTCTTTTACTTTTTCAACCACATTCCTAAACCTTCTTCATATGAAATTACAGGACAATCAGCTGACGTCGCTTCCCTTGGACTTTGGGACATGGACCAGCATGGTAGAACTGAACTTAGCTACAAATCAACTCAACAAGATTCCTGAGGATGTGTCTGGACTTGTTTCCCTAGAGGTGAGTGGCATACACTGAGATCTTGTGAACTGCCCTGAGCTCTTGTGATGAAGGGTGGTATAGAAATCTAATAAAATAATAATAATAATAATAATAATAATAATAATAATAATAATAAAAGCTACACAGAAATTTTGTTAACATTTTCTGGGAAAGGTTGCTTTTACTCTCAGTACTGTTTCTTTTTCCTAAATGGTTGCTAAAATTATTCAGTCTTTGCTCTAACTAATTTTAGAACTGAAGATTAAACTACTTTATATGTGTGTTGTTGGGTTGGGTTTTTGTTTTGTTTTGCAAAACCTGCTAAACTGTCCTAATTAAAATAAACATTGGCTGGAAAAAATGTGAAAGTATAGCTGTCTGAGAGAGAGCTGTTTCATGATTCTCATTTGCTGGAGTCAGTGTGGCAGAGGTAGGAGACGTTTTCGAGCTTGAGTGGCCATGTTCCCTTGTACGCAACCTTCTCAGAGCCACATGCTAGCGATGAGTGGACCAGAGACAAAAGTTTATTCTACAGTAGGCGACGTTTGATCCAATCTGCAAAACTCTGATATTTCTACACACTCCTTTCTATCCAGCTTAGAGGCGTTATCACAGTTGAAGGACACATTCCCACCAGGCAGAAGCACTCAGGGAGGATGCTAAGCAGAACTAGTGAGGAGTTTGGCATAGGCCAAGGGACACTTCCTCATCCCTGAAATATGGCATTTGTAGACGAAATTAAGCCACCTCCAGCTTTTTAATTGAAGAACCCTTAGTTTACTGAATGTTTACTTCGCCAATAACTTGCTGGTTTATTAAAAGTTCAACATACGTCTTTCTTCAGGTTCTTGTCTTGTCGAACAACCTTCTAAGAAACCTTCCCCATGGCATTGGGAACCTGCGAAAGTTAAGAGAATTGGATCTAGAGGAAAACAAGCTGGAATCCTTGCCCAATGAAATAGCGTACCTTCGGGAACTTCAGGTACCTATCTGTACCACATAAAAACGGAACCTCTATCAATGGGTCTTTTTGCCTGATTTGGTATTAGGGACTGTCTCTTTGTACACACGTTTCACCAGTATGTGGCATTGCCATGTAAGGAGGGTGGATAATCTGGAAGTAACTGTAGAAGTCATTGTGTGGACATCTCCCGGTTTCTGTGTATGGTAGATAACATTGCAGAGTGCTAAAACCTAAATTCTGGGTCATGACATGTTGCATGGGGTAACTGATGTGTTATGAGACCTTGAGGTCCTAGTAGATAGCTCGATCAAGACGTTGGCCTGGTGTGCAGCCATTGTGAACAAGACAAATTCCATGCTAGGCTTCTACTTCTCCACACAACACATAGTTAAACTATGGAACTCATTCTCACAGGAGGCAGTGATGACCACAAACTTGGATGGGGATAAGGCTATCAATGGCTACTAGCTACTATGGCTATGCTCTGTCTCCATGGTTGGAGACAGTAATGCTTCTGAATACCAGTTGCTGGAAACCACAGTGGGAACTGGTGGGGAGAGTGTCCTTCTGCTTGGGTCCTGTATGTAAGTTTCTTACAGGCATTTGGTTGGCCGCTGTGAGGACAGGATGTGGGACAAGGTGGGCCATTGGCCTGATCCAGCAGGCTTTTCTTACATCCCTATGGTTGCCGGGGAGGGGAAGGCTGTGATTCTAATGATTGGATAGTGTTACCCATCTTTGTTCTGGGTGATTGAAGATGACATTAATTTGATGCTTACATATGCATATTTCTTCCCAGAGGTTGATCTTAACAAATAATCAGTTGAGCACCCTTCCTAGAGGAATTGGCCACCTCATCAATCTGACACATCTTGGACTGGGAGAGAATTTTCTTACACAACTTCCTGAGGAAATTGGTATGATATTTGTTTTACCCATACATAGAATGATGTGGTTTTGTTTTAGCTACCAGTAAAATGCTGGAGATGTAGTCTACAGGTGTTGATTATCTGCAGTATTTGCTACATTCCAGTTGTGTCCTGCTCACAGGATTGTCCCAGGGATGCTACGCACTCTCTTAAAATGTGGGCAGAACTATATTTCTTGTAACATTTGGAAAGCACTAGGTAGATACTTTGCCAGTTTGGGGAGTCTCTTCTAGCATATCTCTCATCAGAAGACCTTTAGCATAATGAAGTCTCTTGAAGGTAGGAGTTAGGAGTTCAAGATTTTGTAGCTGGGAAGACAGTAAAGGAAGAAATAAGACAATTTTATTATCTACAATGGGCTTCAGTTGATGAGGGGAAGTCGCAATCTCTCAGTTTCATACTGCTTTTCGTTTGGCATGCAAACAATAGAAAATGGCAGTAGATGAGAAATGCATCTTCAATTTAAGGCATCTGTTTGGATCCTGTGGAAAAACGGGTTGCCGTACTGTGATAACTGACAGAAGAACAAACTATTTATGTGTTGAGAATATCTTAATGAGAGCTTCTTTCTGGGTGGTGTGTGGAGTTTTGTTGGCACCCTCATGCTCATGGGAAGGCTTTTGATCTAGCAGATGTGTCTCCGAATGAAAGAGGAAGGGAGGGAGTTTTCATTGAGTGATCCTCTCTCCAGCACCCTCCCTCCAGAAATCTGCTCCAATCAGTTGTCTAATCCTTCAGAACAGCATAGAAGGTGATATGGAGTACTGCCATGGGGAGAGGGAATTAACAACAGCAGGCTCCCGTCCTCTCCTTTAGCCGGAAAGCCCTTCCATAAGTGCAAGGACACCAGTTGGGTCTAAATTAGTTTCAGCCAAGGGTGTTTTTAAGTGCTAATTATTGGCAATTCTTGCTTTTGTAGGTACACTGGAGAATCTGGAAGAACTGTATCTAAATGACAACCCTCATCTGAACAGCCTTCCTTTTGAACTAGCCCTCTGCAGTAAATTGTCTATAATGAGCATTGAGAACTGCCCACTCAATACCCTTCCAGCTCAAATTGTTGCAGGTGGACCTTCCTTTATCATCCAGTTTCTCAAAATGCAGGGACCATATCGTTCCATGGTCTGATGGATATCTGCCCTAATGATGTACAAAATATAAATTGCATTGAGGGTATCATTGTGTACATAATATTATCTAGGCCACACGGTGCCAGGGTTTGATAAAAGTTGGATTGTTCCATACACTGTACAAAATGCAAAGAGCATTATTGGTATTGCGTATGTGTGAATATATAATATAATATATAGGCTGTATATTATATTATATATAAAGCATAAATAATATAAAACAGGCAAATTCAAGACCATGTTTATGTGTTTCTGCTAATAGAGGAAGCATAGCCATTTAGATTTTTTTTTCTTTGTAAAGTGCTTGTCTAAGTTTTCTTTGCCGAATTTGATGGATGTCTGGGTAATTGGAGATACCAGTTCACTGAAAACAATGGCCAACTAATTGCTGAACAATTTAAGGGACAAAACATTTTTAGATGGAGCCCTCTTCCTATGGGAAAAACAAGCAACTTGATTACACAAACTTTTTTTTTTATCATTCCCCTCTGTGCACATTCTCTGTCTCAAAAATCCTTTCGGGTGATTTGTCCTCTAGTTGGGGAGATTCTTTAACTTATTTTAAGATTTGAAACAAATGGTGATGTATTTGTTTACAGTCAGAGTAAATCACTGGATTATTTTTATTTTTTATTATTGTTGTTGGATTTGCTCTGTTATACTCATATCTAAAATTTATATGCTTCTGCCGAGGGCTTCTTATTGTCTGATTTTATATTAAAACAAAAGCGTAAGTAGGAAAAGATGCAGTTCAACAAAAGCTTGAATTTAGGCCTTTTTCAGTTTATCGTTCGTAAGCATATCTTATTTGATCCACTTATTTTACGGTTGGCCTCATCTAGCACAAGCACCATATTCTGATACATAAATTGACAGATATATTTGAAAACCCGCAACATTCTGTTAAGGTCTAGTAGTGCATTGACGAGGAATGAATATATATTACACCAGGCAAGTGTAAGCGCTCCCCCGGTCTTTGTACAATTAATGAATGTGTCTTTTAAAGCACTGCAGTATATGTAAGATTTATGGTTGGTTGACAGTGTTACTCTGGCTTTATATCTTGCCTTGCCTTGTACATCTTTCCATTGTTACGGAGCATCTGCATCCAAGCACAATATCTTCATGCTGTGCTGTTTTGCTGCTGAACTAAATGCACTTTTCCCTGCAGAACTGGGACACTTGCTTCAAAGTAATCAGTTCAGTACCATGGTTTATTCTCTCAGCTTCATCCTATCAATCTCAGTATTAAAGACTGGTCTGTTTTAAAAGGACACCTTTTCATTCGTACTTAAAACTTGCTCTGTAAAAAAGAACAGTAAAGTGGTTCACATGCAGTTTTACCGTCATTTTCGTGGCTGTATGAAGGGCTAATAACGCTGCAGTGAAACAGACACTTGCCACTAACACTTGCAGTGCCATTTCTAGTTTTTTTGCGCACTCATCTTGCATTCTGGGCAGTTGCTTTCAATGTCAGTTCACTACATTGGGTTTGCTTCTGAGATTGTGGAATTTAGAGAGTGCTGTGTCTTTTGAACCAGTTGTATGCACCACAGAAGCCAGAGGAATCTTGTTCGTCTATTGAAGGTTTTGGAACTTTTATTTCTGGCACTAAGAGCCATTTAATCAGTACAAATCAGAGATTATCACATATGCCTGTCCCATGTAAATAAGTAAGATGCACACTCCTGGCAGTATAATTAAGAATTACTTCTGAGTAAAGATGCTTAAGAGTGCTCTGCAAGTGTCAGAGGCTGTAGTGGGATTTGGATGTGCCTGAGTTCCTTTGGCTTGAGCCCATCATAACTTACTGCCTTGCTCTGTTTTCTTTGATATGAATTATAGCTTTTATTGATTGGTTTTCTCACTAGCGAGGGAGAATTTTTTTGAAAGAAAGTCAGGTAAGATACATAAAACCTTTAACGGGCTTAAGCTGGTAGCAAAAACTAGTCTAGATGTCACTGGATATACAAAGGAATATCTACTACAGTCTTCTGAAAAATAATAATCTAATGCTATGTCAGTTTAGATTTATAAAATTGTATAGTTTCAGCTGTGTGAAAGCCTATCCATCTGAGCATTAAGGTGTTAAAATACAAAGTGGTGGTTTAAAAGGTGAAAGTCCACTTTATGCTGAAGCTGTAAACTTGTCCCAGTAACTCAGTCTGTGTCTTTATATGCTGCCCATATGCACTTTTAGGGGGAGATAATCTTTTCTATAATCAATTGTCTGTACCTGTTACTTTTAAAGCCAGAGTTTAGCCATGTATTGAAAATTATTCCAGGCAAAATGAGAATAGTATCTTTGGAAGATTTTTCAGAATTGATGTAGGATAGGATGCTTCTAGTAGGTTGGGTTCTTCTGCCACTTTGTGGAGTTGTGGGTAGATGAAGTTGAACTGCATTTATGGAACTGGTAGTTTTGTCTGTAAATATATTAATACAATTGTTCATCTTGCCAAGGATTATGTGACTGACTGTTTTTCTCTCTCTCTGAAAGATCACTTGCATGTTGGAAACTGGTTTTATTCATTAAAACATTTAAAAAATGAACTTTTTTTTAAAAAAGGTGAATCAATTATACTTCAGTATCACATGTAAAGAGGAGTCAAAGTATAGTCTGTTAAGCACAGAATCTACAAGACTCCCAAATCCAAGTTTATGTTCCACAATCAGCACAGGATGCAAAAGGAATAAATTTAGACAGAGGTAGCAATAAATTCTGGGCTAAAAAGAAATCAGAAAATATTTTCATAATGCAGTTGATTGTCTTCTGAAATTTAGAATTTGATTTCTCATGATAGAAAGTTATTGTGTCCCAGAATATCTTTACTTTCCTTGGCAAAATGATGGATTCTAACCAATTAGGAAATGTCCACCTAAATCTAGCAAGGATGTATTAACTGGAATTTAAAAACTGAATCTGTGCCAATCAGAAACTTGGGGAAAATTCTAGGATTTGTGATACTGAGAAGATACATATTTCTAGATAGTTCTTTTTGGGATGTCTAGTAAGTGTGCCCCTTGCTCTTGTAACACTACACATTTAGTATCTCTGCTAAGTCAGTTCTACCTTTTTACGCGAAGCTGCAGAATTAGTGACAATCCTCTCAGGTCTCTCAAGCAGTTTTGATGGGTGTCAGTGCATATCCTCCCAAGTTCATCATGGAAACAACAGCAGATATATTTGGAGCATTCTTATTAGACTGTTCCCCATAGAATCATGTACATGGGTTTCCCAGTGCAAGAAAAGATGCCATGTCCATCGAGGTCATCACCTTGGCTCCAGTGCGGGTGCCACCATCAGTGCTGCTGCTCTTGTGTTGTTCTCTGGCAGCTGTATAGCAAAGGGATAAAACCTGTATGACTTTGATGTGATGCATATGGATGTCAGTGTAGCCCTTGCTGTGCTTCGTTGGAGTAACCCTGTGCCTGTGTGTTAGGAGCAGAATTTTAATGGCAAGCAGGACGGAACTGCCTCATGTGCTGCTTTAGCACATGAGGCAGTTATCATGTGCTAAAGCTGCCCTCTGCACTGCTGAAGGAACCCCTCAGATGGGCTGCAAAGTACACTTTGTACAGCTCTGCCACAGTTAGGAAAGTTACAAAAATCTAACCTCCACTTCTTAGGATTGAGTTGCAACACTGAATTGCAAAGGAGGAATAATTGGCATTGACTCTTTGGGAAACCAGTGTATATATCTTAGTATAATATTCATGTTACATTAATGGGAGTAAATTAATTTGGCTGCATAATTTGGCTTTAAAGATCTTTACCCAACTTCCCTTGTGGGGGCTTTCTAATGTGTTTCCTGCTAAAATTTTGCAGTGTTTGCTTTTTGATGTTTCAGACTTTATTTACACAATTTATCTTGGCAAATATTTAAGCTTAGGAGGGATTCTAGCTCATTGAAATGTTTTTGTATAGTAGTACTAAGAAGAGAAAACTGTAGCTACTTATTGTCAAAATGGCAGGCAAAATTTAAAGTAGCATCTTTGACCTGGACAATTTTTGGAACGGGGGCATTGGGATGGTTTTGTATTCTTCACATATCAAAGGAATAATGCCTTCCTGATTATTCAAGAACCTGAATGCAGCAGAGCATTTGTATAGTCAATATTGCACTTCCATTGTATATTTAATCAGCATGTCAGAACTTGCTTTTAATTAGGTATACACTTGGCAGTAATTTGCACAACACACCAACTTTAAAAGGCACATGTAGGGCAATTACTAATGATAATATCTGCAAAAAAATCTGATGGCTTTTTTATTCTACAAAGATCTGAAGATTCTGTTTATTATTTCAATGTTTAGGTCTTAAGCAGGACAGTGCAGGATTCTGCCTGTTAAATACAAGACCACACTAATTTGTGATTGAAAATGAAAGCGTGTAAAACGGTCTACAAAAATTGTACTTTCTGAATTATTGTAATGTTGATTGTTATGTCTATAAAAGATTGCCTTGCTTTTTTACAAGTCATTCTGTATCAATGTATCATTATAAATAGTATATTTGTAAATGAGCTGCCACTGAGTCTTTTGGGCATTTTCTAGTGGTAAAGTTTAATTTAACTTTGTCTGTAAATCTGTGCAGTATCGCAGATGATTGACATTTTGGATTGCCATTCTCTCTGTCCTTTTTCAAAGAGTTTGTCTCACCCATCCCTCCAGTATAAAATAAGGTTTATTGTATATTGATATTTATTACCAAATTTGCATGATAGTAACTGGTCTAAAAGCAAGCAAATGCAGTTGTGTAAAAATGCAGACCTTTATAAAGGAAATCTTGGTTAAAAAACCCCTTTACTTCCTTTTTGATCAGTAAGCCTTGAAAGTGTAAGCAATTCATTTGGTATTCACTACATTTGGTAATAAAAAAACACACACAATAGTTGACAAGGAATTTTATATGTCCTATATTGAAAAGATCACCTGAGGTCAATCATTTTTCTTGTAGTAGTTTCTCTACTTCTCATACACATTACATCATTTCTGGTAGTTTGGATCCAGTCCATATACTACTAGATCATGCTTTGCTTCCTGAAATACCTATAACTACAAAACAATTCAAATAATCACAAAAGTGCAACCCTAACCCTGTATAACTGGGAATCAAGCAAACTGGATTCAACAGGACTTCTGAATGCATGTGGGGAAGGATTCAACGGATGAGTCCCATCAACAGTAGCCCTGAGCAAGACCCTCTGCTTGTGCAGTGGAATTGCCCCACCCCCCCAATTGCTCTTGTAGTTGACTGGCAGGTGGGGTCCAGGAGAACCCCCAGAGCATTACGTGTGGTAGGAGAGAAGGGATTGTTCCACATGGCAAGCCAAGATGCTTGCCGGAATGTTCAGAAGGTCAAGTGAGAATGTTGCAGAACAAAGGGCTTCAACATGATTATCCATGCCAGGAACAGAATATGCAGTTAAGTTCTCCTTTTGTGTTTCCTCTATCAAAAACACAACAAAATTCCTTGCCACTTTCAAGAGTTTCTGTGCTGCTTTAAATATTGGCCAAATGGTTTTTTCTTCTTCCTATGACCACTTTTAAGATGAGAGCCCGGCTTATTTCTGATCTTTACACTTGCTGAGGTGTAAAGCCAGCCGACAGTGCCTGCTATTAATAGCATTGTCTTGTCTTTGCTGCCGTTTCCCTGTGCTGGTCTGACCTCCTTGGTGGCCTTTTGCAAATCTATTCTGTCAGTTTCCTCATTGGTATATAATAAGGATAATGCAGGGTTGCTGTGAGGATTTATTAAAGCTTATCAAGGACTGGAAAGATGAGTGCTACATGCAAAGGAGTTATATAAATGGAAAATAATCCTATTATGGAATTATGATTCGGATTAAAACTATCAATGAAAAATCACCCACAGCAGTGATTTATTTTTTATGATTAAATTAGTTACAAATTACATTATTCTGATCTGTCTTCTGCATTCATTTAATATGGGGAGCTGGAGAAAGTTGAGAAAAAGCAACATCAGGTTGTTGTTTCCAGAAGCCCAAGGCATTGTTAAGTATCATTACTCTTAGCGGCATGTTTCAAGGACTGCTTCTTTTCTTGTGCCTACAGCTGCTTGTTGCTCAGGCAAACTGATCATCTGATCAGTTATGTCTGTTTTGCAAACTTTAAGGTGAATTGAACAGCTCTTCTGTGTGATAATCTGGCTGTTATGATCGAATCTGGGTGATTTATAGGTGCGCTTTTTATTTTGCATAATTCCCTGTTGAAGTCTGTTTGCATAGCTATTGGATGAGAAGGTAGAACTTGAGGTACAGATGTTCCTACCATACATCTCTAAAGATAGTCCCAGTTAGGGCCACTTTACAATGATTACCCTCCCCCCCGCCCCAAATATCAATTCCATGTAGTTTCTTATACAGCATACAATGTGATAAATCTTATCACATGTGTTCCATGTGGAAGACCACATAATTAAATTCCTTTGATTGCAGTTTCCTTGAATGCCATCCAGTGGGTTCTCATTGCATCCATCTCATGTGTATATTCTTCTGAGTTTTGTCATGTATGTTTTCAGGCCATATTCTAACCTCAAGGCTACAGTGTACTTCAACCACTCTCCCTGACAAATGATCTCTGCACCACCAGCCAAGCACTATGTGGATTGCTGCCATTTCATTATCAGTCGTCATATTTCTGGTCGGCGAGCATCCCTGATAGGTGTGCACATGAGCTTGAGGACCCACTGCAATATGGCAATGATTCAGCTGTAAATCGCTGAACGTATTTATAGCCAGAGCTTAAATTGCTTGCAATGTGGAGGCAAGTTTCTTGGGTATTTTTCCGGGTAAAATAACACCTGAACTGAAAAGTGGCAGCAGCGGACAGATACCCCACAAAAGCAGAGATCCACTGACAAAGCAGTTTCTGCCACTCTGTGATCAGGTAAGACAATGTAGTCAAGCACAGCTCTTCAAATTAAAACACAGGCAACCAAAGAAAGAGGTATGTTTTCTGTTTTCATAAGGCAACACCAAAAGCCCACATTGAGCAGATGTAAGTTCCTTGCAATTGCTTTCTTCCGTAGCTGCCACCCTTACTAAACGTAGCAGCCATGCATTTATCTGGTATATTCCCCTCTCATCAATTCTCATTCCTGAATGTGTGATTAAAAAGCAAAAACAGACCTATTCCATGTTTCAATATATTAAGACAGAAAACCATTTTCAAACATCTTTGGTAGTACAGTATTTGAAAATCCTAACGTAATGAGAACTCTTTTTTTTATTTTTAATAAAGAGCTCTGGTCTGATCTTGTTTAAGCCCACATTCACTGTTGTATGTAACAGTCTCCCAGTGTTTTATATATATATATATATATATATATATATATATATATATATATATATAAACATCTGTTGGAGGGCCGCACATAAAGTGAGGAACTTAAGGAGCTACTTATCCCTTTCCTCTCTGGTCATATTTGTACTCAAAAATGTCCCCTCCAGCTTTGAAAAAGCAGCTTTGGGTTTGGGTCATTAAAATGGTTGAAGGGGAAAACACTGAGCAGCATTTCCTGCCACTCCTCCATGCAAATGTGCAGCCTCCTCTGACTGTTTTTCATTTCAATTTTAGGATTGCTGAATATATATCAGGGATACAATGTTTGGCTCTTAGCTCTTGTAAGATTATAAACTGTTACAATATATTATTTTAAAATATGCTCAAGGAGAGCTTGTTGATGAAAGTAAGACACCACATTAGCAATTTGTAGAGGTGTATCCACCAAACAAGCTAGGAGACGTAGATTTAAAAACAGGAAAAAGAATAGCCGTGACATCATGTGCCAGGGGAATGAGACCGAGCCCTCATAAATCCAAGAATCTGGCTGATGATAGTTGTGGTTTGCTCAGAGGCACTTTGTAGTATGCAAGTTGTTTTGACAGGACATTTGAAAGCAGTGCCATTCAAGTAATGGTGCGAGGGCTCCTTAATCTGTAAAGTGAGCAGATGGTTATTCCAGGCTGTGCCATTTAATTCTACTGCACGGCTCATGACTGTTTTCATGCGGACTGGCTTTTAACAGATCTCTGTGATCCATCCAATCTGATAGATTTCAGTAAAAGAGACAGAAGCTGCCAAGCTTCACAAACTCAACCCTTCGGCTGTTAACAGGCCTTAAACTAACATTAGCAATGACTTTTTTTTAGTTTAATAAATGTGATTGGCCCTCACAGGCATTTGTGGGTAAGCGATAAAGTCTTTGAAAGGAAAATATGCACATTGAGATAGCCTTTTTCTCTTTTTAAAGGTGACTTCTGCAAAACATTGAGTACATCTTGACAGAGAAAGAAATGTCAGCAGGAGGGCTAAGGGCACACATGTAGAATGAGTTAAATGGGGCTTCTGGGTAAAGTCAGTATTGCAGCCTGAATGAAGTTTGTAGGTGCTGATCTCTTCATACTTCGAAGCCTTTTTAAACTCTCCTGGATTTTTTTGAACATTTGTTAAATGTTGCCTATTCCTCTACCATCAGGAAAGCCACAAGTAATACGTATTTTTTTAAACTGAAACTTTGTGGAAGTCTCCAGTACAAATCTCCAGTATATCTCCAACATAACTGATGTTGTGAGTTATCAGGTGGTTCTCTCTCGCTAAAGCTGTCCATTTAGAGCAGCCTTCCCCAACCTGCTGCCCTCCAGATGTTCTGAACAACTCCCATCATCCCTGACCACTGGGGCTGGTGGGAGTTGAGAGTCCAGTAATACCTGGAGGGGCACCAGGTTGAGGCAGGATGATTAGGTGATTTCTCATGGTCTCCACCCAACCCAATGTGCTACTGTCTCTGTGATGTTCAGTGTTTCTGCCTTTCTAGCTTGATGTCAACACATTCCAACAGGTTCGTTGCAAGAACCCTAGCCCATTGGCTTCTGTAGCTTGGAGGCCTACACAGGCAGATATTTGCACATACTCAGTCTAGATACTGACTTTGAATCCTTTTGGAGCTGCTTGGTTTTTTTCCTTTTCAGGTGGGGGTGGGGGTGGGAGGCCCTTCTGCCTCTTCTCTTTTCTCTTGCAATTCACTTCTCTGGAAAAGTCTAAGGTGCAGCATAGCTTCTATGGTCTGCAGTGATGTCAGTTCCTCACCACAGGCAGCAACAACCTACTTTAAAGTGTTACAGTGATCTCCCCTTCTGGGCTTTCCCCCCAGCTGCCGTCTTATCAAGAAGCAAACTTAAACTTTGTCAGCTTTTCCTGTGTGCCTGCCACCCATCTAGACAATGAAAAAGGAATCGCAGAATGGAAGGGATCCTGAGGGTAATCTCATCCCTGCAATGCAGGGTCAACAGTAGCACTACTCCTGCTTTCTTCAGCAGTCTACCACATCCTCCCAGTCCCACTTGCAGGGCTGGCCCTACCATTAGTCAGGGCGAGGCGACCACTTCAGGCATTAGATGTTTGGAGGGGTGAGAGGGGACACTGGCAGAAAACTCCAGCCATCAGCACTGAGCTTCCCTGGTCATTCCGCTCTTCAAGAACAAAGCTGCGTGCACCACACATTCTGCCTAGGCCAACTTGCTGGTCTCAGTTGTGGAGGATGCTGCCACATTGCTGGTGTTAAGTAATAAGTTGCCAGGCTGCTGGGCTTCTGTATTTGGAAGGGGAGATGTCATCTTGCCCTTTGCCTTGGGCAACAAACTTCTCCTGCTCAACTTGTACTCTTGCTGGCCACTCTAGGAATTGCTGTCCAAGTGAGTACCATACAAGCAAAACTTGTAATGATTTTGTTTTCAAAAATCAAAAGATCTGCCTTCTATGAGGGCTGCACATGCATGAGAATGCCATGCCTGGCAACACCTGAGTTCTGCCCCTCCTTGCAATGTGTGGAGAAAGGTCAAATAGTTGTGTGCTTGTCCTCTTCCGCTTCAAGTTCTTTTGTTCACAGCTTTCTCTTTTTGTGTGTGTGCTTATCACTACCTATGAGAAGACCACCATGGAAAGGTGCCAGCAATCTGACTGACTCAAGAAGGATTTGGTGATTATAGTCTGTGCAGCTGGTGTTTCCAACACTGCTCCATTTACAACAATTGCCACATGAAGCTGACAAAATTAGTGGTTCTGAGCAAAGGAGAGCTGGAGCTTCTGCTGCGTGTGAGAATAATGGAAAAAAACACAAAGCTATCCTGTCCAACCAGGTGGCTTACAAAACTTGCTGGGCAGAGTCAATATCCAGCTCATTTGCTGAGGATGAAATTTAGAGCATAATTTGCAAGGGTTGCCCAATCCTCATTGGATGGATCATGACCAGTGAAGCAAAGTTTGCCAGTTGAAACTCACCTGGCTCATCTGAACTGGCAGGTAGTTTAAATATTTCTGTTTTTATGTACTTTTCCTTTGAACTCCTGTGTAAGAGACAAGGTGGATTCCCTTTACCCGAAACATTCTTACTTGCTTCTGCTACTCCCTGTCTTCTTTGTTTCCAATGACACTTGGACAACATCTGTCAATTTCCACTCCAATACATCTGCAATCCTGTTCACCCCTCATGTTGAACTTGCTGAAAGCTGAGTTCAGGGAAAGTTCACCTATATGCAATTAGAGGAACGGGTTTCAGCATTTCTTGTTTTGTATTTTCAGTCCTCTCATTAATGTGAGCTCATGGAAATGACAAAGAAGGGAAATAATGTTAGATTCTTCCCCAGAAATGTATACACTGCTTTTTTTTTTTTGCAAAGCCTCAAAGCGAATTGAGTAATAGTAAAAATATCAATACAGATTATTAAAATGACAATGCAACAGTGAGACAATAGCAGCAGGGCAGCTGAAAAGTCCAGGGCAGACTAAGCAACTCTTCTACAGGCCTGGGAGAAAAAGATATGCTCCACTCTGGCTGCTGCAGGTCAACAATTATGCTACTGTCCCTTTTAAGGAGGAGGAGATCCATTCAAAGTCTGTGTGCGGAATGCCGGAGAGACTTTTTGGTAGGTTGAATAATGTGTTGGGGGTATAGATCACATTCACTTCATAGCTCAAGAGAGGAGGAGTGGCATGTTTTGTCTCCTGAAATGGAGCCAGTGTGGTGTGGTGGTTAAGAGCGGTAGTCTCGTAATCTGGGGAACCGGGTTCGATTCCCCGCTCCTCCACATGCAGCTGCTGGGTGACCTTGGGCCAGTCACGCTTCTTTGAAGTCTCTCAGCCTCACTCACCTCACAGAGTGTTTGTTGTGGGGGAGGAAGGGAAAGGAGATTGTTAGCCGCTTTGAGATGCCTTTGGGTAATGATAAAGCGGGATATCAAATCCAAACTCTTCTTCTTCTTCTGAAATGATAACATTTCTCAAAGGCTATTTCAATATAAAAATTGCTGAACGTCTTAAGACAATTCCCTAACAATTCCAGACCCCAATTAGAATATAGTGTGTGTGTGTGTGCTGAACTTTGAACATGTTTCACACAGGTCATTCGGGCATTGGTGATGATCTTCTCAGAACCAATTTGAAGATAGTCTTGGGCAGGCGTGCTCACACATAAAACAATATTTGAAGAGGTCCATATGCCCACATGCATGCCAGCTTTGTATTATTGGTCTGGAGGTCTCCTAGAAGAAAAGGGGGAATCACTTTCATTTGTGCAGGGCATGTCTCTTGATTCTCCCCAATCTCCCTTTAGGGCCTGCTGTTCACACCATATCCTCTACTGTTCCAAAGGCTCTCCTCAACCCCTGAGAACAGCATTTTGAGTGGCATGAGGGGCCTTCATTGGCCAGTGGGAAATTGATGAAGATGGGGGTGTCCTGTGGAAATGGCAAAGAATGTTTTGTGATTCTTTCTGGCTCCACCATTTGTGGCTGAGCAACAGATCATAGTGGCAGCCCTACAGAAGTACCCTTGGGTTTACATTGCAGAGCCCTTTTAGAAAGGTGCATTTGACAGAGTCAAGTTGTGCCTCAGCCAAATTGACAGAGGTTTCCAGGCTAGGAAGAAGTTGCTGTTTCAAAACACTGCTGCCTCTCTGTCTTCAGAAGGTTTCTTCCTATCGATTTGTGATGCAATAAACATCTGCAGGGACTCACTAATGCTGCAGCCAAGCCCAAAGCACTGAGTCAGCCTCCAAGGCTCTTTATGGGAGAAAGTGCCGTGAAGCCAAAAAGACGATTCCCTTTTGCATGAGTAAAAAACACTTTCCATGTTCTGCCTCTGGGATGGGCGAGAACTGCTGCATTGCATTTGCTGTTCTAAGGAATTATACAGGGCAGGTCACAGATTGTTCCACCCTAGCTGGAAATGAGCAATATTGTGGTGATGTAATGCTAATACACGAGGAGCTAATGCAACAGCCAAGATGGGCTACACTGAGGCAAGACTGAAACCTTGACATTGTGCAAGATCTTGTCACATGAGAATGTAGAGGGGTGGTTGTTTTTTTTTAAATATTCCCCCCTTTTAAAAAAAAGGGTTTCTAAGCCCTGTGCTTTAAAAACTGTGAGCATGTCTTCAGCTTGCCATGTTGTCATCAAAGAACTAGGCTCTCTTTCAAAATACCCGCTTTCCAAAGAAATTAAAGTGATAAATATCCAAGTGCAGATGTAATTGGTAAGAACACACCCACCCTTTGTGGCCAAGCTTTTTCAGCTCCACCAGAGAGGGTTGCTGCCCTCCACCCTTCCATCTCCTGTGCCAAACTGTTCCAGGGTCTGATTTGCCTTCAAGTGTCCCGGCACAGTTGGCTTGACTAGGGCTTGGGATCATTTGGATTGATTGGAACTGGGAAAGCTTTGCCTTGCTGCCTTGCCTAGCCATCTTAAGTTATGCAGCTCAGTGGCTAAGCAGACGTTTTGCATGCAACCCCCCACCTCCCCTCAGGTTCAATCCCTGAAGCTTTCAGTGTGATGGCTTGGGATTTGGACTCGGAGGCTGAACCTGAGGAATCCCAGCCTGCACAGGAGTCCCCGCCTCCAGAACCAGCTGAGCCGGGGCTGGGGCTTGAGCCTGAAGGGTCCTCACCTGTGCTGGATCCTCAGGTGCAGGCACCAGCTGAGTCTGCTCTGGCTCCTGAGGTGATGGAGGACCCATTGCCTGCAGGTGCTCCACTCTCAGCCCCGTCAGGAGAAGCTGAGGTTGCCTCTTGGTCTGGAAACCCTCCAGCCTCTCCTGAGCTGCAGAGGCTCAGGGCAGAGGGAACTAAGTTCCTGCAAGAGGAGTGCTCGCCTCCAGGCCAGGAGAGGCGAGTCACCTGTGGACCGGGGCCACCCTATGCCTTGGGGCAGATAAAAGCCAGCCAGCCCCAGTCCCAGGTTTTGGGAGCAACATTGTTGGTAGCCTGTTCCTTCCTGCACCCTGTCCTGCTCTGCCAGAGTTCCTTACCTCACCGGACTCCCTGCCTTGGACCCCGCTTCAGCCTTGACGAACAGCCTCCATATCGCACACTTGACCTTGGACTGGACCCAAACCTCGCCACACGGTTAACCCTTGGGACCAGCACATTCAGGTAGGGCTGGGGTGAAAGCTGCTGCCTGAAACAGCTGGAGATGTGTTGCCAGTCAGTGTGCAGACAACCTAGAGCTAGCTGGACAAATGGTCTGGCTCTGAGTAAGGCCAGCTTCCTGTGCTTTTCCTTTTTTCCGCTTTGTGGCTCTCTCAGCAGACATCACACCTTTGACCAGCTGGCTCTTCTTCTAAAGCTTGAACTCATTCTCACCGGCTCCTTTGTACATGGCAGTTGTGGTCTCCACCTGCCCATACAGACTGCCAGTCATGTGCCCACAAGACGAAGCAATTATGCACATGTGAAGGATGCCTCCCCCCAGTGAAGTCGGGATGTATAGTCAATACAAAGCATATCAAAATAAGAGCTGCTTTTCTTACAGGGATGTGCCAGAGACTCTTGGGCAGACTTTAGTGTGAGCTGCCTGTGATCATGTCAGCCTGTGGGAGCTGTAAGGACATAACGAACTGATTGAAAACCAGTTGCACACATTTATGGAATAAATCCAAATGTGACTTTAGGTCATATGTCTTCGAAACATGTTCTTAAGGGTGTGAAGAAGCAGAAGAGAAGACAGTGACAGCCCAATAGGAGCCAGCTCCTAGAGGCCTTGCTCCCTTTGCCCCCCCAATAAAATATTTGAGGAGGCCACCCCCCCCCCCCCAAAATTTGATGGGTATTGTCATTCAAATGGTGTGTGCATGCCACGTCTTGTGATTGATTATGCAGAGTGGGGCTTACCTGCCCCCCCATTTTATTCAAGTTGGCACCCCTGTACTGCCCTGATGCCTCAGCCCCTCTATGCAGAGGTGTGGGACAAAAGGATCACACCCAGTGGTTCAACTGGGTACCATTGTAAAAGAATTACAAGCGAAGTTTCTGTGTGATAGACAAAAGTAACTATCTCCCCCCCCCCCACCTCTCCCGGGCATGCTACTTGGTGATGAAATAATAACTGGGTGCAGACAAGCCACTTCTAACAAGCTGCTAGGTCACCTCTTCAGCTCATGAAATGGCTCCAGAGCTGTCTGCTTTCTGGAAAAGCTTGCAATTTTGCACAATTATCCCAAGAAACTATCCACACACCCCTTTTGGTCTTGGCCGTCAATGTATGTATGTGGAAGTGTCTGGTTGTGGGCTCTCTAATTGCAAAGCTGAAGAGAGCACTGACACGAGAGAGAATTTCAAATCTGTCTACCTCGCTGTGATTTGCAAGGTTGGCAAAATACTGAACAAGGAGAACCGGTGTGCAAAGCTGCTCAGAATCCCCAGAGGGATGACTCATTTTCATGCTGTGAATGTACATTGGCACCCCGAGCTGGAAGGCTGTGTACAAACAGCTGTTTCCAAGAATACACAGAGCACCTAGAAAGAACATACAGGAACACGGCAGGCTTTCTAAAGGACATAGTTACATATGCAGTACCTTATGGCTAATAAGGTGATGCTTTTTAGTGCACCAGCCTCTGTCGTGAAAACAAATTGTCGGGTCTATGAGAGTGCCTATTCCAGCTGAAAAAAGGAAACCTGTGGGAAAGCCACAGGCAGACTTTTTTCAACATAAAGTCCAGAAATATTTCTCTAGCTAGTTCCTCTCCCCTCCCCACCTTTATCCTTCCACAGCTGCTTTAATTGAAGGGACTAGACTGGTTTCCTTAACCGGCTCTGCTTGTTTTACTGATTTGGCTAATGGATCCTTTGTGCCCTCTCTGCTTTCCATGGGCTTGTCAGCATCAGGGAGTGTCTATTGTCTTTTAAAGGACAACAACATGGCATTCTGATTGTCCACACATAACTGGCAAGAGGAAGGTGGGAGGATAGCTTTGCTGTGCAAGAAAGAGTAATGGTCTTCTCACATGTTACATGCAGCTAGAAGGTTTGGGTATGTGTTCTCCTGTAGTGAGACACATATGTATACCCCCCCGAAAGTTACCTTTTACTTAGTTGGTCTCTAATTTTTCTCTTTTATTTTTTTATATATTTCGACTGCGTTAGACCAACACGGCTACCTAACTGAATCATCTACCTACCAGTTGCCTTGCTATGTAATTTTTTTTTTTAAAGTCCCCAGTGTTTCAGTAATAGTGACTATGAATCTGGGAAGGTCTTTAATTGTTTCCCAAGATGTCACAATATTTCTCTTCTAAGGAAAGCTGAAAGCTAATGAATATACATTAGTACCTTGGTTCTCAAATTTAATCTGTTCCAGGAGTCCATTCAACTCTTGAAATGGTTTGAAAACCAAGGTGCAGCTTCCGAATGGCTGCAGGAGCTTCCTGCAGCCAATCAGAAGCCACAGAAGCTGTGTCGGACGTTTGGCTTCCAAAAAACATTTGCAAACCAGAACACTCACTTCCGGGTTTGCGATGTTTGGGAGCTGATTTGTTTGACAACTAAGGTGTTTGACTACCAAGGTACAACAGTATAGGGCTGCTTTTAGGTTAGTGCCAGTGGGTCATTCAGATGGAACCTTCATTCATTCATTCATAAAATTTATACACCACTTGATTGTAAAAAAGAGAGAGAAAAGCCTCGAATCAGTTTAGAAAAAGATAAAACCATAAAATCAGGAAACTTTTTGCATTAAAACATACAAAAGTTAAAATACTAAAATGGATTAAAGTTCATCCTAGCATTTCTAAGCATCTAGGAAGACTTGTCTAAACAAGAAAGTTTTTAAGAAGCACCAAAAAGAGTACAGTGAAGGCGCCTGCTTGATTTCAATAGGCAGGGAGTTCCAAAGGGCAGGTGCTGCCACACTAAAGGATTGAGTTCTTATGAATGCAGAACGGGTATTATGTGGCGCTTGTAGTAGTGCCAATTCTGCCAATCGAAGTGGTCAAGTGGGCACATGTGGGGTAAGGTGATCTCATAGGTAAACTGGTCCCAAGTTGTTAAGGGCTTTATATGCTAATAGCAATACACTGAATCTGTTCCAGCAGAGGATCAGCAACCAGTGCAGATATTTGAGCACAGGTGTTCTATGCTGACAAGGCCTCACTCCTGACAGCAATCATGCTGCAGCATTCTGCACTAACTGCAGCCTCTGGATCGAGTGCAAGGGAAGTCCCACATAAAGTACATTGCAGGAATCCAGTCTTGAAGTAATGAATGCATGAACTACTGTGGCCAGACTTTCCTGGTCCAGGATTGGCCGTAACTATGGAACCAGCCGCAGTTGGTAAAAGGTAGCTCTAGGCACTGAGGCTACCTGAGCCTCCGGTGACACAGTTGGATTGAGAAGCAAAGTGAAGATTGTCAGAATAATATCTATGCAGGAAACAAGACTAAAACCTTTGCCCTCAGTGCCTACTAGCCATGTTCTGCCTCAACTCTCAGATGACGTATGGCTCTGGATACCAGTTCCTGAGAATCACAAGGCGGGAGAGTGTTGAGGACCTGGTTACAGGCTTTTCATTGTCATGTGGGTTGCCCATTTTGAGAACAAATTGCTGGACTAGCCAGGTCTTTGGTATGATCCCGCCGGGCTTTTCTTCTATTTTGTTCTCTGCCTTTAAATATCCGTTGTCACCTCTCCTTTGCAATTGCATCCATTAAAGAGGAGTGTTTTGCAGTACAGGTTGTACAAACACCACCTGCTGGTGTGTAAATATTTTTCTTACCTACTGTCAGAATTATGATAGCTTCCAGGGTTTATTAGCATGCGCTGTGGATTTTATTTCATTAAATTAAGATCTGTCAGACAAGCCGAGACATATTATTTGTCATGCTCCCTTCTTCAAGGTCAGATGTAGGACAGTTGCCCTCATTCACCTCCACTCTCTGAGAACAATCATCTGCTTGGGCTGCACTTTTAGAAGCTAGGCAACGGTGAGGAAACTCTTCATGCTGCTGAATGAGGAATAGCCATCATATTTGGTGGAACAGAGAGGGAACATCCAGTTAATTAATTCGTGGAAAAGACTGTCTTGTTAAATGAATGATTCTAAGCACTGACATAGAGCCGTATTGGATTAGCTTTCCCCCTTGCACAGCTGAAAAGAGAAGGGTTTAAACATGCACACAAATTATTGGGGGAGGAAATGGCAGCCAACCTTCCTTTTGAGGCAACGTTTGTCAAAATGCTCAATTAAAAAGGAAATACAATGCTGAAGATCATTGTTCATGATAATGGCTGGTCAGCTTTTTTTCGTAGCAACCATGAGCATTTTCAGAGTGCAAGAATGGGGTGCCTGTGGCCTTTGAGATGCTCTTGGTTTCCAGCTTATCATCAGCCCCAGCCAGCATGGAAAGTGGCCTGGGATGATGGGAATTGTAGCCCAATCACACCTGGAGGGCCACCCTGGATGCAGTGCTTTGAGCATTCATAGAATTGTAGAGTTGGAAGGGACCACAAGGATCATCTCGTTCCCGCACCCTCTCTCTTTCGTAAGGGCAAATGCAAGACACTTGAACCATCCTAAAAACAAACAAACAAAACCACTCTTTCAATAAACTATTTAAAAAAAGCAACCTTACCAGAGAAACGTATTTGAGAACAGTTTGTAAAAGCCCATCCAAAAGCTCTGCTTTGCCCAAAGGCTTCTGTGAGGCTGAGCAGTTCACATCTCACATCATTTGTTAACTCTTTCGTTGCCCTTAGGCAAGCCACTGTCTCCGTCCCTACACTGCTACAGAATAATACTGACCTACATTATAAGATTGTTGTGAGGATTATAGTGGGGAGCCCCTTGTTGTGGGTTTGAGCCCCACAGTGGGCAAAAGATTCCTGGATGTGTATAGTGTTTGTTGGCATGAGGGATGGGGCTGTGCTCTTTTGATTCTTCCTTCCAAGGGTCTCATTCTCTGGCTGCCTCCCCCACACCCCACCCCACAAGCTGGATTCAATTCCGATTTCAGAGTCACCTGGTGGGGCAGGGTTGGGGATTTATTTCTGGGATTGCATTCAACACTGTATCCTTGTTGACGTTTCTAGTATTGCAGGCAATAGGTGCTAATTTGAATAACTATCCTTTGTTAACTGCCCAACCCCATTATGCCCTTAGGAGGACAATTTCCCAATGTTACACAGGGCGTTGCTCATAAAATGGCACAGCTGATTCTTACGATCCACTGCATTGTGTTGGCGGCTCAGGATTAAATGTGGTTAAGCGCGTTGGACTAGGACCTGCAAGCCAGGGTTCAATGACCTGCTCAGCCATGAACTTCACTGGGTGACCTGGGGCCAGTCACAATCTCTCAGGGTCAAGAGGGTCGTTGTGAGGGTAAAATGAAGAGGACGAGAACCATGCACACCACCTTGAGCTCCTTGGGGAAAGGTGGGATATGGGTCAAGTGGATCTTTGAAGCACCAGGACAGGAGACTCTGCTGTCGCCTGGTGTTTTGGTTTCTCAGGCCCTTAATATTTCAGGAAGGATGTCTGGATCAAGTCATGGAAGTTGCAGGCCAACCTTCACCAACTCAGTGCCTTTCAGATGTTGTCGGACTACAACTCCCATCAGCCCTGGTCAGCACTGCTGGTGAAGGCTGCTTAGGCTGAAGGTTATCTTCCTGTGGCAGCATTGCATAGCGGTGTGGTCGAGCAGGATTCATAAGATAATGGAGGTGAGAGGGCAGGCTGGTCTAGTAGTGCAACTGGGACACTGCCCTGCTAACTTCAGTTAGCCCTCAGGCAGCTCCCATCCGCTTCCAGCTTCCCTCCTCCTTAGTCTCCATGTGGCCTTTGTAGAATTTGTCAGGGAAGAGGAGGCTAGAATTAGTTGGCTCTGCCTCCCATTGCCTCTGGCTCCATAATAATAATAACAACTCTGGGCAGCTTCCAGCACAATATTAAAATACTCTAATGCATCAAACATTAAAAGCTTCCCTAAACAGGGCTGCCTTCAAATGTCGCCTAAAAGTCTGGTAGTTGTTGTTGTCTTTGACATCTGGTGGGAGGGCGTTCCACAGGGCGGGTGCCACTACAGAGAAGGCCCTCTGCCTGGTTCCCTGTAACTTGGCTTCTCTTAGTGTCCGGGCAGAATGATGGGGGTGGAGATGCTCCTTCAGCTATACTGGACTGAGGCCATTTAGGGCTTTAAAGGTCAGACCAACACTTTGAATTCTGCTCAGAAACGTACTGGGAGCCAATGTAGGTCTTTCAAGACCAGTGTTATGTGGTCTCTGCAGCTGCTCCCAGTCACCAGTCTAGCTGCCGCATTCTGGATTAGTTGTAGTTTCCGGGTCACCTTCAAAGGTAGCCCCATGTAGAGCGCATTGCAGTAGTCCAAGCGGGAGATAACCAGAGCATGCACCACTCCGGCGAGACAGTCTGCGTACCAGGTGGAGCTGGTAGACAGCTGCCCTGGATACAGAATTGACCTGCGCGTCCATGGACAGCTGTGAGTCCAAAATGACTCCCAGGCTGCGCACCTAGTCCTTCAGGGGCACAGTTACCCCATTCAGGACCAGGGAGTCCCCCACACCCACCCACCCCCTGTCCCCCCAAAACAGTACTTCTGTCTTGTCAGGATTCAACCTCAATCTGTTAGCCACCATCCATCCTCCAACTGCCTCCAAACACTCACACAGGACCTTCACCGCCTTCACTTGTTCTGATTTGAAAGAGAGGTAGAGCTGGGTATCATCCACATATTGATGGACACCCAGCCCAAACCCCCTGATGATCTCTCCCAGCGGCTGCATGTAGATGTTGAAAAGCATCTAGTGTTGGGCTCCCTACCTCGCACCCACTGGGGGGTTGCACTGGTCCAGCGGGGCCATTCATAATGATAATCCACACTGTGTGATCCTCATGGTCCCAAGGCCACTAGGGAAAGTGAGGAAAGATGGCACCACCTCATGTGCAGAAAATACAGGACTGGACAGAGGTTGCTCACCTGACAGGGTAGAGCTGCTGCTGTACTTATTATGATTATATCCATATTTATTTATATCCTGCCTTTCTCCCAGACCAGGACTCAAGGCAGCTTAAAAAAAACTAGAACAACACAGATAACATACAGAAAGCTAAAAACATAGACAAGATAATAGTTAAAAAGCAAATAAATTATAAAAAACAGCATAAAAAATAAATTCATTAAAATGCAGACAGTTAAAACAGCACTATTAAAAGCCCTAAAAGTGGCCCACTCAGTTCAGTGGGACCTACCGTTGAGTAAGCAAGCGTTGAGATGCAGCAGAGGAACATAGGGAAATGCCAACTCTCTGGCTGCTTCTGGCTGAGCCACCATAGCTCAAAATGGATTTATAACATCAGGCTATAAATCCATTTTTGAAAAGTAGTCTTAACCGTCTCCCTGTGAATGGCTGTCATCAATTCCTTTGTGTGCCGTCATGAAGGGTTTCACAGCTCTTTGATCCATGGTGGTGGTTGATTAATTCCCACCTTTCTCCTTTCCTGCAAAAATATTTCTCTCTTGGTGCTGTTGTGGAGTCATTCGCTTGTCAACTCTCTCAAGCCATAAATCACATTGGGGCATAGGTTGCATCTAGTTTTATATATTAGACAGCCAGATCACCTTGCCTTTAATCCTGGTTCAGAATTCTTTATTGCCTCTGGAAATGCTGCACTATTTTAGAAAAACAAAAAAACACCAAGCCACTTTTGAATACACTTGTGAATTTCAAAATCGACATACTTTGCTCTTGCAGCACCAAATTTGCTGATTGCTCACCGCCTGCTCTTCAAATCCCTGACACTTCTGATTGTCACTTCCCTACCATGAGCCTGTCAGTAACCATCAGTTGCAGATGGATGTAGCAGACTTGCTACCTTCTGGCTGCAATGTAATTAGGAAAAAAAATGAAAAAAAACATCCCAGCGCTGGTAAACTTAACTGCAGTGACCTAATACTACCAGTAGGTGTCGTTGCACCCTTGCACTCTTCGTTTTCTGTAGCTCAACTCTTTTTTAGTTTTTGCTCCAGTGTTGGGTTTTTCTTTCATAATAGATTTTTTTGTTGTTGTTATAGAGGGGATTTTCCTTTATAACACAACTCTTCTATATATTACCGTAACTATGAATTTCCTGTGCTAAGCAGTTGAACATAATGGAAGTTACTTTTGTGTAGACATGTAAAGGTTTGCACTGTTAATTAGCTAGTTAATTTTGCTTACAAAATACCTGAGATTATGGATTAATGTTTACAGGAGACATGGTCAGCTGGTAACAGGGGCTTAGAAATGATGTTCTTTTGATGTTCTTAATAGGATAAGCCACCATTATTTTGTTTAGGGCTTCCCATAACCCCATTCTCTCAGTACCTTGTGATATTTTAGCGCTGACACCCAGGATTAATTAGAAACTTCCTATTACTTCCTATTACTACCCTGGGAAGATGGAGGCATTGTGGGTTGATGGTTCCTGTGCCTTTCCTGGATGGGGTGACACTCCTTTTGAAAGAAGAGTTTTGGAGTTTGGAAGTCTCCTGGCTAGGAGTGCCATTTACTAGCTATGGCTAGACCATTCATGGACAGCCATGGTGATTCAGGCTCGGGAAACCTCAGGACTCAGTTATTGCAATGTGCTCTATGTGGGGCTATACTTGGGCCTACTTTGGAGGCTCGAGCTGATGGAAACCTAGAGGGTTGATAGGAACAAACTATTTCCAGCACACAATTCCTGTGTGGCCCATACTCTGCTCGGACGGTTTCTGGTTTCTTGTATTAATTGTCAAGACCCTTGACAACATGGGTCCAGGATATATCAGAGATCCCGATTCCTTATTTCCCTACCCAATCATGGAGATCTTCAGGGGAGTCACTGTGAGTAGCCTGCTTATGACTTTGATGCATGCCAGTATTGTGGGGCCAATTTAATGGAACTCTCTTCCAGTCAAAGTTAGACAGGTCTCTTTCTGGTTGAATTTCTGTTGCCTCTGGAAGACGACGACTTCTTCTTTTTAATCTCAGCAGACATTTTAATTGGATTCTGATTTTATAGCTTTACCTCATTATTTCCTCTGTTCTGAGTTGCTATATACTGCAAAGAGACCATTGTATTTAAGCAGCATATAAATGGTCAAAATAAATGAATTAAAGTATCAAAGAATAGTTTTGTACAGATAGTTACTGGCCGTGGCACTGGATGCAGAAGGGTCATATCTCCTCCCCGGAGGACATGTAGTTTACTTTATCTAGGTGGAGGCAGGACGAGAGAGCGTGACTGTCTCACAGTGATTATCTATTTTACTTGATGTCACCAATATAGAGATACTGAGAACTCTGGCTGAAGAGGAGGTCAACCATCAAGGCCAACAGAGCTGAGATGGAGTTGACTGTATGTCCAACTTAAGAACACAGAAATACAGTGGTGTCCCGCAAGACGAATGCCTCGCAAGACGAAAAACTCGCTAGGCGAAAGGGTTTTGCGTTTTTTGAGCTGCTTCGCAAGATGAATTTCCCTATGGGCTTGCTTCGCAAAGACGAAAACGTCTTGCAAGTTTGTTTCCTTTTTCGTAAAACCGTTAATACCCAGGGTGCATTGCTTGAAGAGGTGCAGTTGCGACTTAACTTCGAGGAGCAACTCATAGCACTCGGTGTGGTAGCCTTTTTTTGAGGTTTTTGAAGACTTTGGTGATTTTTGAAGCTTTTCCAAAACTTCTTTTGCAGCCATTTGGTAAGTTAAACTTTTAAAACTTTTTGGGGGTTTTGGTTTTGGGTTGGGGTGTTTGGAATTCAAGGACTTGGTGTTGGGGAGGTGTTTGCAAGAATCTGGAAGCTTGTGTTTTTTTTCTGCATTTTTATGATTTTTTGTGACCATTGGGCCACTCTGCTGTTTTTTTAAAAAAATTCTGGATTTGAATTTCTGTGTGGTGGGTGGCTGGGGGAACAGTTGAGGAGGGGTTTGCAAGAATCTGGAAGCTTGTGTGGTTTTTTTCTGCATTTTTATGATTTTCTGTGACCATTGGGCCACTCTGCTGTTTTTTAAAAAACTTTCTGGATTTGAATTTCTATGTGGTGGGTGTGACTTTAAAGAGCACTTAATAAACTCTTGTTGTACCAAATTTGGCTTTGTTTGGACTTTTTTTGACCATAGGAACACATTAATTGAATTTCAATGCATTCCTATGGGATTTCGTGCTTCGCAAGACGAAAAATTCGCTAGACAAAAAAACTCGCGGAACGAATTAATTTCATCTTGCGAGGCACCACTGTATAGGAAGGGCTCTGGTGCATCAGGCCAAAGGCCAGGCCAGTCCAGCATCCTATTTTCACAGTGGATTCACATTCTATTTCTCCACAAACTTGTCCAACCCGCTTTTAAAGATATACGAGTTTGTGACAATGGCTATGTCTTGTGGGAACTTGTTTTAACAGGCGATTTCTTCCCCAAACAATTCCCTGTGTCATGAATTCTGATGTGAAACCTACACTAAAATGCACAGTTTTCTCACACTAACAGTGTTTGCAAGTGACACATTCCCAATGGAAACAGATGCTGAAGATATGTCTATGGTCCCTTGTATCCAATGCAGGGCTACGTAACCACCCTATCAGCCCAAGGATTTTTATTTGTACAGTGGAACTTCCTCCCACTGCACCCTCCCCAAATCTGCTCTGTGGGGTGTGTGGTTTGGGGATGACGACCCCAGAACAGATTCAGGGGGCAAGTGAAAGGGATGAGAGGGAAGTCCCATTGCACAAGTGGAAATCCTTTCGCTGATGGGATGGTTACTTAGTGATGTGTTGGAGAAATGCCAGTAATGCGAACACTTTGCTTACACATTGGCCCTCACTCAAGGATTTGTCATGGGCCACTCAAAGGTCTTCCCAGCACACCCTTTAGGAATCTAAAAGCACCTTAACTCTAAATGTGAGTTTTGATTTCGGTTCATTCTCTTCTGTCCAATATTTGAAAAAGAAAGCACGCCTGTCCTTCTTAAGAGTGGAAGTGGACAGGGGTATACAAATGGACATGTGTGGGGAACTGTGCCAAAGTGCCTTATCCCCATTTGTAACTGAGCTTAAATGTAGCAGCAAAACTCTGCCGCAATCAGAGCAATCCTGGTTTGCTCAATCCAAACATACAAAGCTTGGATGCCGAAGGAACTCTCTTTGATGGCAAAGTTTGTACACAGCACCTCCTCTAACTGGGATCTTTCAATGATTCACACGGCAACGGGACCTGAATGCCTTTTTATGGCCCTCAGAGGCATCAGGCTTGATTGATGTTAGACAAATATCTATAAAGAGAATAGCACAGACATTTGAAATGGAACTTTCTTACCTCCCTGTTTGAGGAACTACTTCTTCAGGAAAGATAAAACATTTCATGATTAGGCACGCAATCCTGGCCATCAAACATTTTGAGCCAAGGGCATCATCGCCATAGCCCTGACCTTGCCTTGCTTCTGATTTTCTTCTTGGAGATCAGACAAACAAATGAAGAGTTCTGCCTGCCACCCCCTTCTTTCTCTTATCTATCTTTCACACAAACACAAACATACGACAGATGCTTTTGAAAATTCTCCTCCATCTTTCTCCTTGGATTTTGGTGTTTCAGGTGACTGAGTTGTGTTTCTGGTGCTTTAAGAATCCTACACTGGAAGCTGCTTTCTACAGAGTCCATCCATCTAGGTCAGTATTGTCTGCACTGACTGACAGCAGCTCATTGGGGTTTCAACCAGGGGTCTCACCCAGTGCCACCTAGAGATGCCCAGGATTGAATCCAGACTTTCTGCATGCAAGGCAGCTACTGCACCACTAGGCTATGGGTCACACTCCCTTTACAAATCATATACTGTTTGTTTCAGTTTCTGAGAAATAGATCTCTTCTTGTGCAATTTGGCATCTCTCTCCCCTGTTCTACACCACTGATGGGCAGCTGTGTGGGCACTGGCGAAAAAGCAAACCGAGCAGCCACTTACTCTGCTTGCATCACGATTCTTTTTCTGGCTTGTGGGCTGTCCTACTGATGTTCACCCAGAAGGTTGCACAATGGCAAAGCACAAAATAATCGGAACGAAATCATACATAATGTGTTTGAGTAGATTACTAACACAGAGAGGGGGTGTTTGGGGAGGAGATGGAAGTGCACGCATTGCATGCTCCTGTTCTGGAACAAATTTGGAAATCAGGAAGAGTGAAACAGAGGGCAGAGTGAACCCACGAAATAAAGGAACAGAACAGAAAATCCGCTTGTCCTTAACACATGCACAAATGCCTGTCAAAAGCCATATTTTGCCACAGCAAATATGACACATTTTCCACCTATCTTCCTAAGTTGCATGGGTGAGGCTGGGCATTTCTTCCAATAAAGTTCTGGTTTTGTGAATAACACACAAAAACGGAAACTCTCTCTCTTTGTGATCCTGGTCCAGACAGGCTCCTGCGCAACAGTGGGCTGCACATCCTTCAGTGCCCAAGAACTCCCCTGCCCATCTGAATCCAGACCCTTCTGTAAATCCTGACCACAGTGATAAGCAGTTCAGAAAAGGTAAGGAGAAGCGCCTAAGCAAGTGACAAATGGTATGAGAGCTGATCCTGCCTGACAAAATGCACAAAGCACAATACTTGCATATTGAGGTGTTAAACTAGAGTGGGGGTGGGGGGCTGGCACAGTCCAGCGAAGAGGATCCGCATACTCATACAAGTGCTGAATCTTCTCTCTGGGAGATAAAAACAGCATTTGGCACCACTGAGCTGTGGCCCTTCTCCAAGTAACACCACCGTGTATGTTTAAACAACACACTTAAAGATAGTTATGAGTACCCACTAAATGTTTAGCATCGCACCATTGGTTTTATACAGTACTTGCAAACCACTTAGAAGTCAGTTTTGGCATTAAATGGTGTATTAATGAATTACTACTCCTTCTACTAGCATGGCTAATGATAGGAATTGTAGTCCAACACATTGGGAGGGCTGCAGGCCCCCCATCTCTGCTCTAATACCTTCCTGGGTGTTGTCTGAAGGGCATCTCCTGCATCTTTATGCAGTGTGGTGTAGTGGTTAAGAGCAGTGAACTCGTAATCTGGTGAACCGGGTTCAATTCCCTGCTCCTCCACATGCAGCTGCTGGGTGACCTTGGGCTAGTCACACTTCTCTGAAGTCTCTCAGCCTCACTCACAAGTGTTTTGTTATGGGGAAGGAAGGGAAAGGAGATTGTTAGCCGCTTTGAGACTCTTTAGGGTAGTGATAAAGCGGGATATCAACTCCAAACTCTATCTTTAATCACTGTCTGAGAGGGAAGATCATGATCACCACAAGTACTACAATGAGAAAAGCCTGCTCACGGCTCTTAAAGGCAGTGGAATCCTCAGGTGTACAAAGGATACAATCCAGAGTCAGATTAATCATGTTAATATCTCACTGAAATTAATATGATTTGGAACTGTGGGCTGATAAATCCCAAATGCTGGTTTAATAAAATATGGAATACAGTTTACGAACATACGACGAAAGAAGGTATAAAGTTCAAGCAAATTTATAGAATGAGTTCATTTTGATATTTCAGAATGGTAACTTTCTGGCCAATATCCAGTTGTATTCTTCTTTTACTTTACTATATTTATCTAATCTTTGTATCACCTTTTTATGTTAATTTGCACTTTAAAAAAAATAATAAGTGGGTGATTCATGTAATATGAGTACAGAATGCCTGACACCCAGGTAACCTGTAGTTTTGTGAGTGGATGGGATATAGGTGATGTGTCTGTGTGAGGATGAGAGAGGTGCAATGAAGATGTAAAGCAGAATCCTATGCATGTCTACTCTGAAGTAAGTCACACATAAGGTAGGAATGATTGTACAAGCCCACTTACCTGGGAGGAAGCCCTGCCGATACATTCCTTGAAAGAAACCAGGACTTTCTGCACATACTTATTTCAAAGCATCAAGCTACGCAGCAGGTGGGTGTGTTTGTGTTCTGGGGAGTCTTGTAATGCAACAGGCTTTCTTGTAGGGACCGTCTGTGAACAGGGAAACACTGGTTTGTGTAGAGTTTTGATGCAGTTTACTGAACCTCAAGATTGGAAAGGGACTATGGACCTAAACAGCATCTCACCCAGCCTCCCTGCACATGCCAGAGTAACTGAAAGCAGACTATTCACTAACCCATGCGTACAATTTGCTGTGCCTACAAACTGACTTGCGTATATACTAGAGACTTAAATGGGGTGCCCCAAGCTCAGTCTGCTGTGAAAGGTGAGATGGGATGTTGGGGTGGAGGCAACAGGAAGTGTGGGAGTGCAGTCCTATACATGTCTACAAAGAGGAAAGTGGTGTAGAATTCAACAGGACACACTAAGGCTGCGATGGCTGCTTACTTGCGAATAGTCTCATCTCTTCAGGTCATACTTGAGAATAAGTGGGCACTGAAGCTTTGGATCTGCACCACGCATTTAAAGCACATCCAATGAACATTTATAGCACAAGACTTTCCTCCAAGAATCCTTGGGAGCAGCAGTTTCCATCTCACACAATTACTGTTCCCAGCATCCGTAACTATCGTTCCCAGGAACCTCTGGAGACAGTAATGCACTGTAAGTGTGCATTGGATATGCTTGAAATATATGGTGTGGATGGGCCTTGATTATGAAGGGATTACTTGGTTTTTCTAGAGAAACAGGGATGTTCAGTGATGAACCAGGAAAGTAGGCTAGTTTTGAGAACACAAGACCTGATGCAACCCAAGCGAAGCATGCTTTTAAAGGCTCATGCATTTCAGTGGGAGAATTAAGAACTTACATGGCTTTTCCTAGTGAAAAACCACGAGTCAGTGCTAAATTTTCCCATTGAAATCAATGGGACTTTACAAAAATGATTACGTTTTCCTGGATTGGGCCTTGAGTTGTCTTTTGCGAATCCCCATGCATAATCTGGAGATGTGTGTGCGTGTGTGCGCATGTATGTGCATAGATTTATTTTAGCACTGTCCTTTGTGTGTATGTCTGAGTGGAGAATGTGGACACTGTAAGGCAAGGAATAGCTATCATGGTGACCTCTAAATGTTGTTTACCCACAACTCCAATTGCCATCAGTCTCGGGCAACATGGCCAATGTTTGGAATGGACCCTGACAACATCTGTTAGGTGTCATGTTGGCTAGCTAGCCCTGATGTAAGCAGTGGGTGTAGGATCCATGGGCATAGCCGGGGGGGGCAGGGGGCAGCTGCCCCCCTAAATCAAGTAAAAAAATAAAAATACTTAATTGACCAGCTGCATCGCAGATAACACGGTTATGCCCCCCCCCCCAACGTAAAGGCTGCCCCCTCCAAAATAAATCCCGGCTGAGCCCATGGTAGGATCTTTGTGTACAGAATAAAGAGGTGCCTATTTGTATGGGGAGATATGTAGACATTCCTTAGCCAAGGGATCTGGGCAGGTGCTGTGTGCATTTGCAAGGGGTGCAAGTGGCCTGTGCTGGTCTCTGCAGCTCTTATCTGTCTTTGTGCACAGAGGTGGTAGAAGTGACCCAAGGAGGGACTTGTGACTGTGCAATGGCTGTGCAAGGTGCATACTGCTCTTGTGTAGGTGAGCAGTTGTGTGTTGGCCCCACGCCAGTTCCTCAAGAGCCAGTGCAAGCAACATACCACTTGTTGGTTTTGCCTAACTTTCCCTGGATGAGGGAGATGAACATATGAGAGAGAGAGACGGCGGCATTGTACCCCGGTGAATGCTATGCACAGTGGAGAGAGGATATCCATAGCTGTCAGGTGCATGTGTGTGAGAGAGACAGAGAGAAAGAAAGATAGATGACAGATAGCTCTGTTTTGGATGTGTGCGTGGCTCGAAAGTGTGCGAGAGAGCAAGAAATCTCTGTAGCCGTGCGGGTGGGGCGCTAACTCGCTCGCGTCCAGCCAGCACCGTGGGAAGTTGCTGGGCTCCGCGGGAGCGCCCTCAGAAGGGCGCAGGTGGGCGAGGGCGCGCGTCTTGCCAGTGGCCCGTCGGAGTTTCCTGCTCTCCCTTCTCCGCCTGGGGAGCGAGCGGGGAGCGCGGCGCTCTTGCGAGGCAGAGGCGGAGAAGCGCGCAGGGGGCAGTCCCCACGTGGCGCTGACGCTGCTGCTCGGTACCACCGGACCGAGCCCGGGCTATAAAGCGAGCCGGGAGCGGGGAAGGCAGTGCTCGAGCGGGCGCCACTGGCTGCGGACGGCGCTGGCTCCGCCACCGACGAGAGTCTGCTGGGCGCGCCCCCTGCGCCGCCGCCGCCTCCTCCTCCTCCTCCGCCTCCCTCGCGCCCCGCGACTGGCTTCAGCGATCCGCGCGGCGTTTCTCGCTGCCGTCTGGGATCTGCTCCGTCGGCGACTGGGAGCAGAAGCTGCCCCTCGCGGGTGGGGAGGTCCTACCTGCCTCGCCGCCCTTTCAACTCTCTTGGACCTCCCGGCGAAGGTAAGCGGGACTTTCGTCGTCTCCCAGCCCGGCGGCTTCTGAATGGCTTCCTGAGGAGCCCCTCCCTTCCAGGCTGGACTTATTGGCGACTTTGCGGGAGAGGCGGAAGACGGGGTCGACTTCGTCCCGTCGATCCGCCCGGAGATGAGCTAGCGAGGGCTGGCAGAGGCGAGCCGCGCGCTTCCCTGGCCGAAGGGAGACCCGGAGACGGCAGAATCGGAGCCGGCTCCCTCCCCAGTGGAGATCGCTGTTGCTGCTGCTCCTCCTCTCGTCGGTTATCGTCAGCGGGGACTGATAGCTGAAGGCAGCGGTTGTTCCTGCTGACTGGATTAAGGCTGCTCTTTCTGACTTCCCCAGACCGGACTTGCTTGATCCACCGGGCACCCAGAGCTCCCCTTCCTCGCAGGGTGTGTGTTAGGGTCACATCCTCCAACAGCCTACCGAGCTCGGGTTGATGTTTAACCTGGGGAGGCCGTTCACCGAGAGGGGGGGAATCTCTTCCCTGGCACACCTGCACCACCCGCTGCTGGAGGAAAGCAGCTACTCCCAGCACATGGATGGCAACGGGAGCCTGAATGGGAGCGACGGTGGGCAGAAAGGGGGCCTCCCTTATCCCATGTACACCACCTTGGCCCTCATCACCCTCGCCACGCTGCTCATGCTCGTCACCATCTTTGGCAATGTCTTGGTCATCATTGCCATCTTCACCAGCCGAGCGCTCAAGGCCCCTCAGAACCTCTTCCTGGTCTCCTTAGCCTCGGCCGATATCCTGGTGGCCACCCTGGTCATCCCCTTCTCTCTGGCCAACGAGGTGATGGGCCACTGGTATTTTGGCAAAGTGTGGTGCGAGATCTACCTGGCCTTGGACGTGCTCTTCTGCACCTCTTCCATCGTGCATCTCTGTGCCATCAGCCTCGACCGCTACTGGTCCATCACCCAAGCTATTGAGTACAACCTCAAGCGCACGCCGCGCCGCATCAAGAGCATCATTTTCCTTGTCTGGATCATCTCTGCGGTCATCTCCTTCCCACCCCTCATCTCCATCATGAAACAGGGAGACCCTGACAGTCAGCAAGCGAAGCTGAATTCGGAGAGCAAGGAACCCAGTTGCAGCATCAACAAAGAGACGTGGTACATCATCTCTTCCTGCATCGGCTCCTTCTTTGCTCCCTGCCTTATCATGATCCTGGTCTACATGCGCATCTACCAGATTGCCAAGAGGAGGACTCGGGTGCCTCCTGGCAAGAGAGCGGAGGCCGCAGAGAGGAGGCAGAATGGTCTGGCAGATAAGGATGACATGCCTGCAATGACCAAGCTCAATGGGGAGAAGGCAGCCGTGGCAGGAGGAAGCCAGGAGAGGGAAGAAGTCAATGGTATAGACCTGGAGGACACCTCTTCATCGGAACACAATGAGAGCCATCAGACCAGGAAGCAAGAGAGGCTGCAAAGGGGCAAGGGAAAGACCAAGCTAAGCCAGATTAAGCCTGGGGACACTTTGCCAAACAGAGTTGATGAGGAAAGAGATGCGAAAGCTTCCCGGTGGAGAGGCAGGCAGAACCGAGAGAAACGCTTCACTTTTGTGCTGGCGGTTGTGATTGGGGTTTTTGTGGTCTGCTGGTTCCCTTTCTTCTTCACCTACACATTGACTGCCGTTTGTAAGAGCTGCCCCGTGCCCGATACACTCTTCAAGTTCTTCTTCTGGTTTGGTTATTGTAACAGTTCCCTCAACCCTGTCATCTACACCATCTTCAACCATGACTTCAGGAGATCCTTTAAAAAGATTCTCTGCAGGATAGACCGGAAAAGGATTGTGTGAGGGATGGACTCAAGTTTGTTTACAAGAGTTGTTTACGGAAGAGAGGCTCAGCTCTGGCTGGGCTTTGGAAGTGGGTGGCGTCTTATCCAGTGACTGGCCTTTGACTTCTCAAAGACTTCAGGTGACTTTGGCCTTGGCCCAGGTGGAGATGTTTCTGCCCAGTGATGGCTCTAGAGACCTGTTTGTAGGTATTGTTTCTATACACTTACAAGCTGGGCTTATGGCAAACTGAAATTAACTGATTGGAGTGTGTAAGCCAGGGAAACAACAAAGATGAAAATATAAGTCATATATTTCAGAAGCCCTTTCTTTCTATTCTTGCCCTTTGGACGATATGTCCCTGACGTCCTTGCAAAACTACAGTATTGCATCTTTGAGATCTGTACATCTTTAACTTTTGTAGGAGAAAGCAGCTTTGAAACCACTTTAAATATTTCTTGAGAACTTGAAATATATGTGGGGTGGGGGAAAAATAAACAAAGACACATCAGAATGAACCTTCAGAGCCATCTCATCCATCTTAAAAATGACAGTATTAAATGCTAAGATTTCCAATGTGGTTTTGGCTTTGTAAACTGATAGCATAAGCTTGACCATGGCCAGTGTTTTATTATACACCCTATATGTATTTTCTTTTTTAAAAAAAACCAATGTTTATGTTTTTTGTTTATGCAGTATTGTTAAAAAACTTTATTTCCTCTTTTCCCATCAGCTGAAAGAAACAAGCATTAAAAGTTTCACAACTGAGAAGCATAGTACCTCTCAAAAGGATGAGCTCCTTTTAGATTTGTGATGCTGAAGAGCAATTGGGTTCTTAAAGGGTTAAGATAAGGTGCTCTTCCCTTGAAGTTACTCCACTGTGTTCAATGCTAACTTATTTCCCCTACCTGTGACTGTAAATAGATAAAATGATAGATGCAGCCTTTTTGTTTTACTTTACAGTGTTACCTGATTTGCATTGATTACATTTTCATTTGTGCAAGGTGTCTGCACAAGAAAACCATATTTCATGCACAAGGACACTTCAGTGTGGGTATGGAATTTTTTAAATTATTATTATTTTGGAGTAACTGTAAGCATGTCAGCTTTCATTTTTTTTCTCTAATTTCAGGTTTGGTTTATAAACATTTTCTTTGATTTGTCCTAAGAAAAAGCAAATTATTGGTGTTATTCTACACCATATGTAAAAAACATTCATAGCAGCACAGGGAGGAAAAGAGTCAATAATTGTGTTCCACACCCCCCACTGTCCCAGCTGATGGCAAATAAATTCCTTGTCCAATAAGACAAACATCCTGAATATGATTAAAAGGGTGTAGGATGGGAAAGCAATTGGGGACACCATTTAAACATTATAAAAAGAGTATTCGTTTAAATAAAAACTGGTCAGGATAGTTTCTGGCTGGTGATGGTGGTTAAAAACAGACATATATTCACAATGCTAAGGTTACCCGAGTTCTTCCTTGAAGGCAAATTTCTTAGTTGAATTGGCCCTTTTTAATTAAAAATGTCTCCATTCTACAGGACACAACTGATGCCCCTCCTTTCAGACCAGTCCTCTTCTGACTGTAGTAACAGGCAGCAAGTCTCAGCGCTGCCTCTTAGCTTTGAATGTGACAGCTCTATTCAGTGAAACAAAACAGCTGTTAGATGTGATGCTACAACCAGAGGAAGGGAAGCAGAGGTAGCCACTGAACACTGAAAGTGTTACTCGTGCCCAGCTTTGAAATGGTTTTCTCGCTGGAGAGCCTGCTACAGCTGACATTTCAAATGCAGAACTTCCTTTTAAAACAAACCAATTTTCTAGGGAGAGGAGATGATGACCCTTCTGTAGAACTGCATACTGGTATATACAAAGTTGTGGTGTATTTCTAAAGTACGCAGGTGCACACATGTGTTTACACAGCGGGACATGCCATTGGCTATGCCAGCACAGTGCCACAAAACGGCAGTCTTAACAATGGCGTTGCAAACCTGTTGCAAAGATGACTCATTCTGGCAACGCAGGGAGAAAATGCTTAGAAATGAACCAGGGGTTTTGGACTGGTATATGTATTTCCCTTCCTTTTTTTCTTTTAACGGTGTGATAATATTCCTTGCAGAAAGAAACCTTTGTGATTTCCCCCGCTCATTGCAGCTACTAAAATATGAAACGCCTGAATCTTAATTATTCCCTATTTGCTAGAGAAAGAAGAGGATTTGATACGGAGGAGTTTTATTTCCGTTTTAGGCAAACTGCCTGCATTGTGGCTCTGTCCAATGATGTCCTGTGCTAGTTGAATAAGGTACCTCATTTGGGACACATTATGGGGCCTCTTCTCTCAAGGTTTCATAGGAGTGCTCAGGGCAGACTGGCCACTTCTGAGCTGGGGTATTAGTCTTTGGCAGATTCTGGCTGGCAAGGAGTTCACTGGTCCTTCGAATGGAAAGCACAGTCTGGTGACTGGTGTCCATCACTCGGAAGGTGGTGGACTCTCCTTCATTGAAAGCTTTTAAACAGAGTTTGGATGGCGTCAGGGATTCTTGAGTTTGGATGGCATCTGTCAGGGATTCTTTAGCTGTGATTCCTGCAATTGCAGGGGGCTGACCCTCAGGGAATCCTTCCCAACTCTTCTGTGCTTCTTTAGGATATCAGAGCAGGCACAACACCACAAGGCACAAATCCAGAAGAAGTTAGAAGTGGTTAAGGCTTATTTAGCTGGAACACCAAAGTTGTCTCCAGCCTGTGCACACATGCCTGGAAACTGATTTCTTATGAGTGCGGTATAGCTTTAGTTTATGTATGGAGCTCTCGTTCAAATGTGGAGCTTCCCTGCCCATCAAAGCTGCTCTGCTGTTATTCAGTGGGCGAACGAATCATGCATACCCATTGGTTTGCACATACAGATGTTCTCCTACCATTGGCATTTACAGGGCCAGAGCCATGTCCAGATGTGTGATAAACCACTCATGGGACTCTTCTTTCGGGCTGATAGTTTTTAAGGCAGAATAAATCACAGTTTTTCAGACAGCCAGTCTGAAGTAGCATAAGTAAGAAGTTAACTGACCGTTGCCAGAGGATTCCTTTTTAAAGAATTGCCTATTTTTTAGGATTTCAATATTAAGTTAACGTATGCATTCATGAAACAAATGGATAATATTTTACATTGAGGATAATATTGATTTTTCTGGAATGTGTTTTTGAAACTTTAATTGCACCTGGTACAACCACCTCATCAATGCCATTTTTTTTTGCTTTTTAAGAGAATGATACCTGTAAACAGATATGGCCATAATGTTTTTTTTTTATTTACAAAAAATAAGAATAAAAAGTTTACACATTAAAAAGCATGTTACATCTCAACTTGTCTGTATTTTCAGCCATTTCCAGGTTTTATGGACTTACATGGAAATGGGAAACTGACCTTTTAAAGCACCTGCTGAAGTCGCCTCTTGTAGTTTGCATAAGTCATTGTTATGCCTCATGTTAATGTGAACAATGGTCTGCTTCATTGTCCACCGACAGACTGACAAACAAGCCTTTGATATTATTTTGCTTTCTTCTTTGCTGGCACAGCAAACCCATTCATGTACCTCTTAAAGAACAAGGATTAGGGCTTACTGTGTGGGCAATTTATCCTTTGCCTGTTTAAGCTGGCCGTGTTTTCCACCTCCCTTCTCTCTGTCTCTCAAGTGAAATATTGTGTCCATGTAGTATTTACAAGCCGCTGACAGACTGTTGACTAACTAGGTTACAAGTGCAAGAAGAAGCTATTAAGAGTAGGAAGAAAAGTAGAAACTGAATTCTACCAGGCACCTGCTGGGGAAAGGCACATTCTCACAATGCTGGGAGACGGGGGCTCATGCTAGAGCAAGCCAGAAAAGATTGCACCTGCTCAGAAATAGATAACAAAGCCATGAATGGGGCAAAGGCAGCAATTTGGTTTTTATAGTTGATTCCTGGGGATTTCCCCTGCAATAGATATTACTGTGATTAATGGAACAGGAATTTTATTAATGTGGCAAAAGATTTGGGCTTCTGCCTTTGTCAGCTTCTCTGATTAAAAAAAAGATCAGAAGCTGAAACATTTTGTTACATAAATAAAATCTCTGTATTGATTATCACAGTAACACACACACACACACAGAGTATTTTAGTGATTAACCAAATTTCAAAAGGGACCCAGAGGAAGCATGTGTGAAGTGCTGTTTGATTATTCTATAGCTATAATGAATATATAGTTCATTATTGTGTTTCTGTGTGTAATATCTATTTCTATATCTATCTATAGCTCTCTCTCTCTCTGTCTCTCCCATGCCCAAATTGCATTGCACATTATTTATAGTACACAACTTCCTAATCCAAGAAGCTGGTTGACTCTGAACAGATAACCACAACCGGTGGTGATGAAGGGCCAATTCACTCATTATCCAATGCTAGTTCAACTCAGAGACCCATTGAAGTTATTGAACATGACTAACTTACGTCCATTTGTTTCAATGGGGTCTACTTTGAGACTGATAAAATCTGGAGTCTGCTTCAAGACCATTAGGTCCAGAGTCTATATTAAGTGTGGTACCACAATGTATAGGTACAAAATACATAGTCTGTATCACTGCATATGGGTTCAAAAGGGAATTCTAAATATGTTAGATTCTGGCTAAGATTTCCACTAACCAGATGAAAAAGGATGAAGGATGAGTTAGAAAGGTAACCTATTGTTTTTCCTGTTCATTCATCTCTTCATCTCTTGTTGATTATTTCTTTATTGCAGTGTCTTGGCAGAAGTATCCCCGTTATTGTTCCTCTAGGATTCCTCTCCACCCAACCGCTTGCCTCATGCTACATAATTTTTGTTGCTGTTCTTCAATATTTTTTGAGCTGAACTTGGTTTGGCTGTTTGAGTTTCAAGAATCAGTGAAAATATAGCACATAAGTGGATGAAGCATATGCAGAAATTGTCTTTCCCTTGGTAACACAAACACAAAAATCAAAGTGTAAGTGGATGATAAGGAAATCCTGGTTGCTATTTGACTACACCTACAATAAACATGAATAGACTATCAGAGATAACAGATCTCAGGGATATCTCAAGTGACAAGTTAATCAAACATTTCTCCGAGACTTCCCTGATTTTTTTCACTCAGAATATGTTTGCTGTTTTCACTTCAGGCACTGTTGAGTGAGAGCTTGCACAAACAACTTGTTCCATGTGTCTTTTAACATGCCTCATACTTTCAGTGCCTGAATGAAGACTATCTGCAGAATGGAAGCTCTCAGAGACTTCATGGGACACTTCCCTTATTTGTAATGGTATATTCTGGAATCCAGCAACATGAGGACAAACTATAACTGCTCTTTGTAATTGGTGTAATGATTTAATCTGAAGCTTTCAAAGTGACTGCCAAAATGTAAAATTGTAAGCATATCAATACAAATCTACAACATGAAAAAGAGGCTCAAGCACCAAACCTCTATGAAACAGTGTGAAACAGCATGATGCAGGCACATACAAAACACTCAACTGAAAGTCTGTAACTCAACAATGAAGGCACCAGGAAAGCAATTCTAGGGAGTGCATTCCAGAAATAGGATGCCATCACTGAACAGCCCTTTCCCCTCAGTCACCACTCATCTGCTCTCTCATGATGGGAGGGCTGGTACATAATATAGCCTTAACTGGGCTGATTTTCTGCCTTTTGGCAGCTTAGAATGGCTCGTCCCCCACCGAGTGTGGAATCTGAACACTACTGCTAGACTTTGGTAGCGTCAACTGGTTACAACTGTTGGTGCTGGTGAAAGTCTTCACATCTTGGGGCAGTGAGGGTTACGGTCCACATTTATTGCCACAATATGGTGTAGCCACACACTAATTATCCTTTTTCCAAATGGAAACACTAAATCAAATGCTAAGGAGAAGGCAGCATGGTGTGGTTAGGATGGTGGAGGCAATTTTTTGCTAAAGAAGTAGGTTTTGAGTGCTTGGATACATACCGAGAGACAGAAACTGGAAGGCTTGAGAATGCAATGAAAAAAGAGGAAGACAAGTTGAGCATAGATAGATGAACTTGGATTTAGCAGAAGTAGCAAGTGAGGGATGGTGAGGAAACGGCAATACTCAAAGGTCAAGAGCTGTCAAAGTAATGATTACCAGCCTGAAGTTGATCTGAAGTGCAACAGGAAGCCAGTCCAGGGAGCAGGGTCACTAAGAAGAGAATCCAATGAACTAGACAGCATGGACTGGAGGGCTGCATCTGGTTCTCCAGTCCAGCTGTAGAGGGAGTTTGCATGTCTACCACGTAATAATAATAATAAATTTTTATTTATATCCTGCCCTCCCCAGCCAAAGCCGGGCTCAGGGCGGCTAACAACAATAAAATAATACAACATTCTAAAATCATTTCATTATAAAACTAATTCAAATCAAATTAATGGCAACTATTGGGCTAGAATTCTGTGAAGATTGCCAAAGTAAGAGACGATGCTGGATAAATCCTCTCATGGATAAGACCGAAATGTAGGAAACAAAAGCAGGAGACACCCATGCTTCCTGAGCCTCCTGTGAACCAATGTTCAGATTCAACCCACCCATGAGATCAGGTGAGGCGACTGCCTCAGGCGGCAAGATCCCCAGGGGCAGCAGATCCCAATGTTGATTTTTCTTCCCCCGGCTTTTCCTGATGTAGAGCTTCACTTACACCTTCTTCCATGGCGGGGAGGGAGGCACCATTTTGGGATCTGCCTCAAGTGGCAAAATGTCTTGGGCTGGCCCTGCCAAGCTCCTATCATTATCCTGTAGCAGAAGATGGCATTGTTCATATCACTGCAACATGCAAACTGTTGGCTTCAGTTCAGGGGCAATAAACAGATAGTCCATCATGCTTACAGAAGAAAAGTGGGTGTTCAGTAACCCCCAAAGTCTACTGGAGAAATAGGGCAATTGCCACCAAAGTTGAGGGCAGAGTTTGAACTGCCTGGCAGTGAACTTCTGTGACAGAATACATTTCTCAACCAAAATGCCTTAATAACTTTTGACATTCTCAGCCAAAATTGATATAATTTCTGATGGATATTGACAACTAACATTAAGCATTTTATGCTGTGTAGCTCCAGTCATTGTCACAGAATTGATTACTGGGCATGAAACTGATTACCAGGGGAACTGCATGATTAGTGGAGGTTTGGTCTACTTGGCATCCAATAGGAAAGCTTAATAAAACATTTTTGTTCTGCTTCTGGAGTACAATTAATATGAATTGATCCATAGAAACATGGGGTAGGGGTCTCTGATTTCTCTAAATTGTTCATTCCTTTAAAATGTCCACTAGAATTGAACCATATCAGACTTTCATGGGCTACAGTTCACTTCATCAGAAGCTATAATGAATTTGTTAATCTTTAATGTACCACAATAATCTTCTTTGTTGTTTTTCAGCAGGAAATTCTACCACACTTGATTGTTCTTTGTATGTGCTAAAATAACCTTTTCCAGGAATTAAGATCAATTACTCAACTTGAAGCACTTCTAAAATTGCACAAGGACTCAGCATTTTCATTCCTACATTTAAATTAATTCATTAGGTAAATTGGATAGCGTCCTTTGGGTTTCTTCCCTTTTAACTCCACTTTTATTTTGTATTGAAGTTTTCAATAATACGTTGAAGTCATGCACATATTTTGCAAATAAACCTAGAACTGCCTTGGGCAGAATTATTTATCGCATATGCTCACAATACCATGGGGAATGTTTCTGTGGAGAGTGAAAACCAACAGTCATATAACCTCTACGTTAATCATTTAGAACAGTCAAACAGCATGACTTTTATCAGAGGAGGAAAAAACTGATTTCAAACCTTTGTTTTATTGTCAAGGACTGAACTGTAGCTAACACCTGGAGGTTGCCTGAATAGAACGTGCTGGTTGCAGTGAGACCTGTATGTATAACTGTGCTTCCAAAACTAAGCACAGAGTGGAATAATTTTCTTACAGCAATCTGGGCTACCAGAGAAACAGTTTCATTGGGTGGTGGTACAAATGCTGATCTCTGTGTTTCTGAGAAAGCTTTGTAAATGTAGGAAGCATGGAGGAGTCAGTTGCTGAGGTGGGTCTAAGGGGAGAGTTGACAAATTCACAGGCAGTAGGCTTGTCAGTGGCACCTCCTCTGTATCCAAAAGCAGTGGGCTCTCAGTACCAGGTCCTGGGAATGTACTGATACAGAAGTTGGGCACTAACCCCACTCTGCTGAGCGGTAGTAAGATTCCAGGGGCTCACCCAGGGTTTGCGCTCCTTTGCAGAATTGAGGACGTGGCAGAGACTGTTGTAGCTTTAAGAAATAGGATTTACTCACCTATTTACACCTTCAGTTTGCATGGAGGGAGTCTAGATCTTAAAGCATGGTTGTTTCAAGAGAGGCTGGTTCCCCACAACCGTGCAGCACTGGAGCGCAAGAAATCTCTGGCCTTCAGCCAGCCTGCCCGAGATGACTCTCTCTTTCCTCCACTTCTTCTTCCCAGTACACCTTGCTCTAAAGACTCTCTTTTCCTGACACCTCAAGCACACACCCCATCACCACGGCAACCTCTGTCTGCCATATCCAAAAATTCCACTCAGATGGGCCATCAACACCTTTTGTCATGTTAATGCCTCTATACCAGGTGAGGCCCTGGCCTGCAACCTGCCCTTCAAACAGGTTAATTTCTGGGATTTAGGGGTCCCCCCTCAATCTATAACAGTACGCTTAGGGTGGGCTTTTCATGTCCTGATTGTGGGCTCCCTGAAAGCATCTGTCTGAACTGCTTGACTATAGATTCTTGATCTGATCCAACAACAGGGCTGCTTTTACATTCTTGGAAAGCACACAGGGACCATTCTGATGTTTCTCCTCTGAAAGGTTGTACACACTGTTTTAGCTCTTCTGGTTCCTAGTTCTTCAATCTAGGGGTGTTCACTGGATTCAGATGATTCTGAATAGAGATGAGGTGGGGTACCTGGAAGGGTTTTTGGGCTACTGTAAGGTCAAGCAGGATCTATAGAAGGTGGGCACAAGCGAAAGCAGGACCCGTGTAGTACTTTGCGGCAATCCAGACATCAGAGCTCCACTGCAGGCAACTGTCTGTAGCAAACAAAAGTGTGTCTCTGAGCTTGATTTCAGGGGGTGACAGGAGGGGAAAGAGGGAGAAGCTTTGTAAAATTTAAACATGCCTCTAGCTTAAAGAAGATGCCAGGATCAGGAGAGGGACCGAGGGAGGGCTTCTTTTGAGATTGACAGGTCTAGTTTGTGATCAGAGGGAATGCTGTTACCAGTGCTCTCTAGGCTCAGTGCTTTAGGAGAAGGGAACAGCTTTGCAAGAGTGAAATGAAGGTCTGAGTTTAGGGAAAGAAAGGGTGAAAAGAGAACTGTATTTTGACTGTCAGTTCAAGCTTGTAAGTGCAGTTGGGGGACAAATTTGATTCAGTTCATATGTAAAGGTGAACCTACCTAATAAGCCTTTCCAAAACAAAATGCAAACTGAAACACAGACATCATTTGAAATTTGCATGTATCTGAAGTTTGCAACGCGGTTCTCCAGCCGAGCAATGTGTACCAAAAGTGAAGTGAACAAGCAATGCATACAAAAAGGTAAAGTGTGCATATAAATGCTTATATTAGGGAAAAATATACTACAAAATACTTTATATCAGGGTCAATTGTTTGCAAAATGTGTATAATAGTCAAAGCTACCTGCAAAAATATGTTTATTAGGAGAAATTTGAACTAAAATAGTACTGAATTTCTATGACGATTTTTTTTAATTGCAAATTGTTGCAGAAATGTGAACAGAATTTAAGATTGGGAAAATGAAAAACCCAGAGAACTAAAATGGATGAATCTGCCCATTTCACCTTTAGTCCCTATTCTATATACTAATAGTGAATTCATTGAGTGTAGCTCCTTATGTAACCCAAACAGCACCATCTACATAAAAGATGGGGAAATCGGAAAGCTTGGGGAAACCCTGATGTTTGCAGAAGCACCATAAAAAATATCCAAGGGGGACCTAACTGGGAGAAAAAAAGGAAAACCCACCCCAAGGAGGATTGAAATTGCTCAAAGGGCATGGATTATTAGGGGGAAATGCTTGCCAAAATGTGTATAAAAATAAAAACTAAAACTGCATATAAAAATATGTTTATTAGGAGACATTCAAACTAACATGCTGAAGAATTTTCAGAAGGATTTTCTATTAAATGCAAATTGCTGCAGAAATATGAAGAACAGAATTCAATACTGAAAAAATGAGGAACTGAGAGAACCCAAGAGTGACAGATTTGCCCATCCCTACTTGTAAGTGTTGTTGTTTAGTCGTTTAGTTGTGTCCGACTCTTTGTGACCCCATGGACCAGAGCATGCCAGGCACTCCTGTCTTCCACTGCCTCCGGCAGTTTGGTCAGACTCATGTTTGTAGCTTCGAAGTTGTCTTTGTCCATGGAGTTTTTTTTTTTTTTTTTAAATTGATATTTATTAAGTTTTCAAAGAATAACAACAAAAATTTCCAAAAAATTTTGAAAATACAAAAAACAAAAATAGTACATAAACAAAAAAGAAAAGAAAACCCAGCCGCAAAGAAAAAAAAGAAAAACAGAAAAACAAAAATATAAAGTCCTTTACAATCTCTATTGACTTCCTTTCTAGACTTCCTCCTCCTCCCCTCTCTTGTTTCTTAATTTTTAATTTTTACAGCAAATCCTTTCTGTTTTTTCATAACAATCTGTCATTACGTTTCCTTATTCTATTTTCCCTCTTGTCATATAAAAACTTTAAAACTCATAGCTTATATTCAATATTTACCAAATTCTTACATCAGTACCATTTTACGAATCATTTACCACTCCTTACTTAAGCCATGTAATTTCATTCAACATCCTTCAAACATTTGTAAACATTCCAATATTAAAAAATAAAAAGAAAAAGTAATAAGTCAAATTCAGTCCAGCCAGCTTCCAACCTCCCCTCCCCTGGACCCGGGATTGTCAGTCCTTTTAACCTCGATAATCCAGCTCCTTAACCTGGTTGTCTCGTATCCGAGGCCCTCAAGTCTCTTTCTTGCCCCTTTCGCCACTCTTGTTGATGATTCCCTTCCAGTCGTGGATACTCCAGCAAGAAAATGCTTTTGACTCTTTGCAGCAAGTCCATCCCAAACCCATTGCCCAAGCCAGACAGCAGATAATACCACTTCAAATTTCCACAAAGCTTGGAGACTTCGGCTACTCCAATCCTCTGATAGCCCTTCACTAGACTCGGAAGGTCCAAATAACCATATAGAGGGGGGTCGATCCATCCCCCCATTTCCAAATCTGACCACATTTCATCTTTCCGAATCTGGTTTGTCCCAAGTTCATTTGTCAAGTTCAAAGGCTGATCTTGCCCGTCCAAAGGTCCCTCCATCTCTGAAGCCTCCGTCACTACAGCAGGTTCATATGCTTGTATAGCCTTTAACTGAATTTCATTTGTTTGCTGCTGTGCTCTGGTAACTTCCATCATCAAGGTCGTCTCCTGACGCATCTGGTCCAGCTGGGCACTTAGTTTTGAAAAACCTTCCAGGAACAATTGTTCAAGCCTTTGTACTAGCATTGTCCTTCAAGGTCAAAGAAAATTCCTTCCCACGACAATAGTCCAATAGTCCTTCTCTTTTAAACTCTCTGCGTTGCAATTTCACTAAATTCCACTAGATGGAAATTTTTTTTTTTAAAGGAATAAAAGCAACAGCAACAATCTTTCTTTTTCCAGAAACACTTTATCCAAAATTCCCCCTTCCAAATTCAAGAGGCAACAGTAGAATCAAAATGTTACCCTTCTTTTAACTAACTGTCGAGCTGGATAAACTTCAAAACGTCAATTCTGACAGCCCGCTCCTGGTTCAGGGCGGTGGAAAATTGCTTTATTTTAAACTCACTTCCGCAGGATTGAAAAGTCCAAATACAACCCCCTTCTTCTCCTGCAGTCAAAGGGGGTTCAGAAATCTTAGATGTTGAATTCTAGTTCTCTCAGAATTTAATTTTCAAGCTTTAGTATATTTTGTCTTTGCTTTCTTCACGTAACAAAAGAACGGAAGGCTGACTTCCTGTTTAGACCTTCGCGTTCCGAGTCCCAATTAAGTTCAATTTCAAGTCCAATATTATTTGTTTATTCACCAGTCTTAAAAGTAGTTCAACTCTTCCAAGATCAGGTACTCACGGATAGATGTTTTAGATGCCAAATTGTCCAGGAAAAAGGCAGCGCTCTCCGATAACGGCAGTGCGGCTTTGCTGCACGGAGGAAGCAGTCGACTCACAGCACCACGCACCTCCCACTCCGGAGCCCGTTACCGGGCTCCTGTACAAGGGGAGAGAGCGCTCTCGGTGCCCGCCGAGTCCCACGTCCACAGGCTTCTTCCGCCTGTGGTTTTGGAGGGTCCCCGCTGCGCCGTAGCGGCAGGACCCAAGCCTCCGTGCAGCGGGTTCCCTTCAGTCCGAAGGGAATTCCGCCATTTTCCGGAGGCGCCACCCCGGAAGTCTGTCCATGGAGTTTTCTTGGCAGGGATACTGGAGTGGCTTGCCGGTTCCTCCTCCAGGTGGATCACGTTTGGTCAAAACTCTCCACTATGACCTGTCCATCTTGGGTGGCCCTGCACGGCATAGCTCATAGCTTCTCTGAGTTATTCAAGCCCCTTCGCCACGGCAAGGCAGTGATCCATGAAGGGGTACTTGTAAGTACAGTACTGTAATCACAGAGGGAACACAATTCCTCCCTCCCTCAACTTGAAAGGAACCTAACACAAAGCCCCTGCATCTATTTGCCTGCAATCTGACAGATTTCTTAAACCTAAGAAGACGCCTGCTGGATCCGTCCAAAGGCCCATCTAGTCCAGCATTTTGTTCCTACAGCAGCCCGTCATATACCTGTAGGAAATCCTCAAGAAAGACTTGAGCACAAGAGAACTCACCCCTCTTGCGATTTCTATATTAGTTGCTTTTGCAGGAAAACTCTGCAGATATCCTTCTGAAATTTGGTAGGATTCATGCCTTCAGGAGTGGGGACTTAGCCTGCAAATTCTATCTAACTCTTGCCAAAATATTAAAAACAGATCATTCTTTTTTGAGAAAAGAAATAGCATTTTAGAGATATCCAGCACAAAAGCCCATAGACCTCTTGCCTGTAATTTGTCAGGCTTCATCGACCATAGTGCCTGCTAATTTAATCCACTTCTGTCAAAAGGGGGAAAATGTTAAGGAGATGGGGAAATTTAACTGTCTAATCTGAGTTAAACTGGCCAGATCATGACACACTTTGGAATGTTGTAGTTTTACAAAGCTCCAAATTAGGATCCTAACCAAGTCTTGCGATCAGTGCACATCCCTGCTTCACACCATACTGATTTTGCACCAGAGGTAATGTGCCCTCAAGTATGGTGTGTGTAATCTGGGTTGAGGGTGGCTGAACTGTGGCCCTCCAGCTTTTGCTCAACTCCCATAAGCCACAGCCTGCATGGTCAGGGATGATGGGAGTTGTAGTCCAGTAACATCTGGAGGGCTATAGCTTAGCTGGAGTCTGCTTGTTGCAAGGGGTATAGTAGAGAGAGGGTATCTCAAGGGAGAAAGTAGTAATTTCCCTAAAACCATTCTTCTGCTCCCTTGCACTTTGCTGTAAAGTTGCAGTTTGATTAGCAATGTTACCAGATGAATGGTCACTGCTAATAGACTTAGTGGAAGGGCAGCAAATTAGAGAATCAATGGGGGATTTCAGTAGCTCCCAAGCAGAGTGTGACACACACATACAAGATTTTGTAATGGACTTTATTTGCTTAGAGGGAAGGTTCTGGGGAGTTTGGCGAACATACAAGGCTTGCATTTACAAGGAGAAAAGGAACTACATTTTCAAGTCTGATATCTGAAGATGATATACCCCTCTAGTGCTCCAGTGACTATGTAATCTAACAATCACATTAATCCCAGATCATCTCAGTGGGTTGAACCATCTGAGGTCCTCCCTGTTATACTGATGCTTGAAGCCTGGCTACAATCGCACATTTTCATATCTGAGATGTTGGATCGGAAGCTACATAGGGATGTGTGAAGCAAGGTTTATAGGTGTTCAAGATAGATGACGACCGAACCATTCACTCAACAAAGTGGCTCGTGGTTTTTGCTGAGGAACAGGTAGTGCAAAACATTTCACTGGATGAGCTTCTGGTATATTCCCCTTTGTATCTACATAATTCTATTTTAATTTTAATTTTGGATGAAACCTAACTGGTTACTAAGCCAAGGTTTTGTGAACCACAATCAGTAGACAACTGTAAAAAAGATTTCTGTATGTTATTTCCTTATCTATAGCACACCCTCTAACTGCAGACTTTGGATGAGTGAGCAAGAGGCATAAAGGATATTATGAAACAAGAATGTGGTCTTAGGCTATAATAATCCATTTCCAACAAACCTTGTTATCTCTGATGCACTGAATCTGTGTTTCAGGCAAAGAGACCCAGATCTGATAACATTTGCTTTCCTCAGATTTTACTTCATTGAAAGTGTCAGCTGTCTGGTTTGAGAGGCTTTTTGTGGTTTGGGTGTGTGGGCTGTTCTCTTCCTCAGACAAGCAGTATATATCAATAGACAATGCCTGCTTGGTAAAAGCAAATGGTTTGAGGTGTGGCACAGATAAACCTTAGCCACTCATTCATTGTGAGGTATCTCCTTGCATTAAAATCTCTTTCCCCACGTCCTAAATGGAAAATTAAAGAAAAGGAAGCTAGGACTTCATTATTTGGAAGGCGCAAGCCATGATGTAATAGGTCTCCTAGGAAAAGCAACTATGCACAAATAATTCAACACCCTAGAGTACTATATATGTATATTAGGAAAGTAAAAGGAAGCTTTGATCTCCCTGGGATGATGGACACTACTGACCATACATGGCAGTGAATGCTTGCATGAACCAGATCAACGTTATGCTAAATAGCAAAGGTTTTATAGCCACCAATATTATTGGGGTTCTTGTGTACCCAGAAAAGGAGCTGACAGAGCCCTTGCAACTTGGGATTTTTTTGAGCTTTGTCATTTATTAGGGTTGACACCTGTAAACAAGCAAGAAAACTCTCTCTCTCTCTCTCTCTCTCTCTCTCTCTCTCTCTCTCTCTCACACACACACACACACACACACAATGTTACAGCAGTTTAACAGGGAAGCTACCATTTTCTGTATTGTGTTCATATGGCCTAAAAAGCTCATTGTGTTTTCTCCTCTGTGTTGGTCTGTTAAGACTGTCTGCAGCTTCCTGATGCATTCATTATTCAGCCCAGGCATGTATAATAGAAAGTGTGTTCTGTTTCCATCATAGGAGCTATCAAGCTTTCTGGCAGACAGCTCAATTGCTTATAAAGGAGATAAGGATTCTCCCCTCTTTAATAAAATTATCCAGATCTCTTATAAATGTTGCAGTTCTGTCCCCAGTAGCCATGAGAGACCAGCATTGATTCATAGCCTAGAGCAGGCAAACAAATCAGTTGGACTCTCACATGAATAGGGATGTTCCATCCTTATCAACAGAGCCTTTCTGTTTACTTAAAAGATTGAAATTATTTACTTTCATGTGAATTATCAGCCAGGGAAGGGAACTACATTTACACGCTGAAGGAATGAAGTTGTCTCCTCACCCTTTGACAAAGAATAGGTAACAGGGCTTCCTAGCTCTTTTTATCTCTGTCCAGAACTTATAGCTACGTCCAGGGATGAGAGACATGTGTGTCCTCCATGTGTTTTCTCCTTTCACACTTGGTATCTTAACAAATAAAAACTGCCCATCTGTTTTCATTGCTGCTTAACTTTTATTTTTTCAACCGGACAACAAACCACAGAAAACCCCATAGAGATGGCATTCTACAAAACACTTGACTTGGGAATAGCCTCCACTCACTCAGAAAGACGAAATATATACCCTAGAAAACATGGGTTCAGAGTTGCAGCCAGACAACTTATCAAGGTAACCAATTAAATCAGGGCTTTTGGGTTAGTTTGCTTCTAGTTATGTAGCACAGATCACATGCAGTTCCTTTCTCTATAGATGTAATGCATGGCTGGGGAAGCTGTGGCCCTTCAGATGTTGGACTACAGCAGTCATCAGCCGCACCTAGCATGGGTTAATGGTCTGGGATGATAGGCTACATAGTCCAACAACTTCCAGAAGGTCAAAGGTTCCCCAACCATAACGTAATGAAATAGAATGTGTGGTTCTTTTCTGCAACCCTTGGCTTTTGGCTTCAGTATTGCCAAAGCGGAAAAGCAGCTTCTGTTGGACTGCCAGATGGGCAAGGCAAGAACCTGCTTCATCTTGGCTGGTGTAGCAAAGTGGAGGTGGGCCTGGGGAGAGTCCTGAGGGTCAGAAAGAGAGACCTTGGGGGCTTCATTTGTCCTCTGGGCCTGAGGTTTGCCACATTTGTTCTAAAGATTAATAAGATGAGGACAAAACTCTGGAAAAAGCAAGATAAATAAACAGAATCACTGAACGCAGTGATAGGAAGCTTGCAACCTTCCAGGTGGTGTTGGATTTCAACTCCCATCAGCCCCAGCCAACACAATAATTGGTCAGGGATGATGGGAGCTGTAGTCCAAGAATAGCTAGAGGCCTATGGATTTCTCATGGCTGACCCAAAAGGCTCAGAGAAAAAGTAGATGCAGAGAGAGGGAGCTGGGAGTCCAAGGAGGGCAGGGAGAACAGCCACGTCTAGCATGATTAATGGCAGTAAAGGGCAGTTCAAGAGCCAGTGGCAGAGATAGACTTATTTATATCAGTGCAGTTTTTCTAACAGCATGTGTTGAAAAACTTTATAACTAGGATGAGAAAAACAGCAAGGATAAGGAAACTAAAGGAGCACCTCTGGTCAAAGTGTACAAAGTGTACACATTTTATTTTTGTGTAGCAGAAGAATGTGTGAGGGTGGTGTTTCCTGAATCTAACAAAAGAGATGAGAGATGTTGCAGATGCCCATTTTGGTCTAAGGACATGGAATTGGCTCTTCAGAGTTTGGGTTGGGAGAGGGCCTGAAGTGCACCTAGTGATGCTCTCAAGCTGAGAGTCTCAGCTTCTGCTCAAGTGCAGAGAAGCCGTAGAATAGCATGGTAATCAGGTTTGCCTGCTGGGGCATGTGACTCGCTGCTGCCTTCCTTCCTTTATTTGCTTTGGGATGGGATGGTTAGTGTGTGGCATTTCTGATGTTGTCTATGGTATGACATCAGACACTGCAATTACACATACCTTTCCTGCTTTCAGTTGGCCACTTTAAGAATGCACGGCTGAGTCGGAACAATGTTTTCCATCGCCTCAACCTATCTTTGTGTTGATATCCAGATCAGAGCTACAGATAAACTTTTCCTGCCTTGGGAAATCATATTCAGTCTAGTGTAGTAGCCTCTGCACTCTCAGCTTGCCTTTGCCACAGAAGGTCCTTTGGGATATGTAGTGTTTGCTGCTTTAAAATGCAAAAAGATCAAGGGAACACCTCATTATTATGGATATATT